TAACTACCTGAAGTTTAATTTGATCACCAGTTCTGCACCCAACAATACACAATGATTATTGTAAACAGGGTGAAATTAAATTCTATTTATAGAAGCTTTATATTACATAGGATATAATATGATTTCTTCAGATTAATACCTGATCCCTTTTTTATTTTTCAATATCGTTTTTGCTACCTGCTTCCTGTACTAGAGAGGTGAAAATATTTCCTAAACCATAACCTAAATTCCCACTTACAAAAATTACAAATAGTATACTATGTAAATCAAATCGTGGGCCAACTGTTGATGTTTGTGTTTGTGCACAATATGAATAAACCTCTGTAAGATTACAAACCAGAGAACTTTGACATAAGTTTAATACATTAAGTTCATCAAAAACTAGGTTATTTGTATAATAGAATATTAAATCAGCCATAGCATGATATTTGTAAATGACAGATTAATCAAAGTAGCCATCTGGTGACACTGTTCATTATTTTATTTCATCTCCTTGATTTACATTAAGCTAGAATATAGTGCCTTTTGAAAGGCAGTTGTATCTAGAACCATCACAAATTTGCCTACACGTACAACACCCTCAAAGAGACCTGTACTGTAGAGTCTGTAGACTAACAAGGGAAAAGGTGCAGGGTGCTTGGACCATATAAAAGGTTGTACAAGTTGTGAGGGAGTGGGAATGTTGCATCAATAAAAACAAAGAGGCCACTAGGTTTGTCAATGATAGACCTCCATTGAAAATTGAACAAAATATTTTATATGGTCTGTAGAGTGCAATGGAGAAATACAGGAAAATGAAAGTACATTGTAAAAGTGCAATTTACATGTACAGGGTATGCTATTGGTTTCTAATCTGAATTATATTATATTTTACATGTAGATGTTCTCAAAAACTTGTTTAGACTTTAGAACTCGCCAAAGGTATATTGCTCACTGTCTTGTGTAGTTTTTTGTCAGGGGGGGGGGGGGGGAGGTGGTGATCCCTCACTTAGCTCTAGATTGTTTTAATTTTCTTGCCCCTCAACTTCAGGTTTTAATCTCCTGTAATTGTGTTTCATGTTAACTGTACTCATCATTATGTTAACCATACAGTTCTGATCATGAGAAGAAATTAAATGTGAATTATAATCAATAAAAACTTCTCAGGTCACAGGACAGTCCTAACATCACTTCTGCAGAATAAAGTTTTAATATAACTATGCACTCGATAGCCTCAAAGCGGTAACTATTTCTACACTTTTTTATATTCCTGGTACGGTTCGGTTTGTTTATATACTGACATGATATGATGTCAGCGGTGGGATATGAACCAACACCATTACACATGACTGATGGCTTAATTTCATTTCTAATGGTGAGCATTCAACATTTTACTGAAGAGATCCGATTCATCCATTTCTTCTTTAAAGGACCGACCAGAACCACTTGTTCATTACGTTACGTATTGATCAAGTGGCTCTAGTCGGTCCTTTAAAGGGATCCGGTAACTTTGTATCAGATTCTGAAACAAAATCCCGGATTTAGCTCATGCTGCACAATGATAAACCTTTAGGTCAGTCAGGAACCCCATGACTTTTACAAGCCGATCGCCCATCTGATTGCCTGTATCAAGATATTTATGATTGGAAATCGAAACCAAATTTGCGTTTTCCTAATGGTTTTCATAACACTTCAGTCTATTGGGGAAAACCAGTTTTTAATACTCAAAGATCTTTACTTTTTTGAGGCACTTTTTGAAGTGCAATTGTTTTAGTGCTCCAATATTACACCATATCACAGACACTGATAATACGTAGGGCCGTGCATCTCAGATTTAACATTGTTAAATGATGCATTTACATGTAAAGAAGAAATGGATGAATCGGATCTCTTCAGTAAAATGTTAAATGCTCACCATTAAAAATGAAGCCATCAGTCATTTAATGGTGTTGGTATCACTCTGGGATCTACCCCAACAGGGATCCACTACACACGGACCCCCCCCCCCCCCTCCCAAAAAAGAGACCACTTCAGGTCAATGTTTTGCACATGCCTGATGCACATTTTCATGCTGATTATTTTTGCTGTTTCTATCAATATTATCATTGTTATTATTATTATTATCATTATTTTCATTATTATCATTATTATCATTATTATTATTATCACTGCGGCATTATTATTATCACTAAGGTATTATTATTTATTATCATTATCATTATCGTTATTATTATTATTATTATTATTAATATCATCATTATCATTATTGTTAATTATTATCATCATCCGCATCATCATCATCTTAAGTGTTATTACTAGTAGTGTTTCAAAATATTTGTAATCAATCAGATTACAATCATTACCAAATACCAATATATTTTTGTCTTGTATCTCTCAAAACAAAAGACAATAGGAAAGATCATTCATGAATTTCCAATAATATCTGAAAATACTCTGATATTTTTATGGTCGCTACTTAACTGCTGATTCAATTTTTCTTTCTATATTTCTCAATCACATTATTGGAAGTGAATACAATGTGCATTTAGTATACAAGTGGGTGTATTAGATGTACAATGAATTATCGTAGAAATGAACATTACATAAAAAATAAGATTAAACTGTAATACTTTGTTTTAAAAAAGTGATTAAAGATTGATTTACTAGTCATGCTCAAGTTAATCCTTTTGCCCCCTTCTCTTCATATTAGATCCAAGACATCAATTTCATGTACTTTTTAATATACTATTATTTTAATGAACAACATTTGCTTGCAGTGGCGTAGACAGGTTCGTACACCTGGGGGGGATGACTCAGGGGCGGATCTAGCTTTTTGCTAATGGGGGGGGGTTGACCAATAATGACGATGCGGAGCATCGTCCACGAGCCACGAAGCGGCGAGCCGATTTTTTTTGGGGTGTTTATTTGAACCCCGTAAGTGATGTTTTCCTGGCATCTATTAACACAATGGAGACCATAAAAAGCAGTGCATGATAACGTCTTTTTAAATCAAGTAACAGTTAAATACACAGTTATATCCAGAGTTATCATGTGTTTGGTTAAGTTACCAGATGAGTTGAATATCTTCTCACAATATTTGCACTTGAAAGGGTTTCTCTCCAGCGTGCGTTCTTTTTTTCTTTTTTTTTTTTTCTTTTTTTTTTCTTCATTTTTTCCCTTTTTTTTTTCTTTGTTTTTTTGGGCCGCCCAAGGGGGGCGGGTTAAACCCCCTAACCCCCCCCCCCCCGTAGATCCGCGCCTGTTTAATCTTGTGGTTATCTTGTGGTTTCCAAACCACAAGATAACCACAAAATACTTGTAAGATTTTTCTTTTTTTTTACCGTCTGAATTGGCTTTCACCGTGTGAATGCGGCTAATAACAATAAACACAATTACAATAATGATGAGGATTATTATTATCATCATCATAATTATTATTATTATTAATATTATAACTGTTATCATTATTATTATAACTATTATTATCATCATTATTTATGACTTATTAAGTAAGCAAATATCACTCCCCAAAACCTGGGGGGGATGATTGTACATGCCATCCCCCCCACCTTGTGAGGTGGGGGGATGCATCCCCCTCATCCCCCCCGTTGTCTACGCCCCTGTTTGCTTGCAACTTTATGATCTCTCTTACTTGAAAATAACCCATCAATGCCAAACATCCCACATACACAAATTATATTTTTTTTAAATTTATCTCATATTAGTACCGGTAAGCCAAGAATACTTCGAAAATCATATACAAATATATATTTAAAAAATATAGATGCAAAGCCAAGGTAACGATAACGCAGACACTTTGGACTCGATGCAGTGAAATACATCATTAACGGTGAAGTCTATAGATCTAGAGAAGCCTGGACGGAACAAAGAACTCCTCATCACCCACACAAACAGAGCACTCCGAACCCAAACAATATCATGCCTGCATGCCTGCCTGCCTCCTGAACTAGCCAGCCACTTTGGCCTAGGACACAGCTCAGACAAGAAAAGCCATCCATATGTGTTGACGCAAGGCCAAGACACAAAGCACACACAATTACAGTGGCACAAACGTGCAGACGTTAACTTCATGACAGCAGCAGCAGCCGGCAGACAACCCTGCCACAGATCAGCTCAGTACGTCGAGTAGCTGGATAACAAATGACCTTTACATTATGATCATAATCTCTTCTGATAATGGTATGATGATTTATATCAAACTAATATCATCATCCCTGTCACAAAGTAAAAATATATATCAGTTGTAATACTGGAATATATAAATTATGCTAATTCAAGTAAGAGAGCACACATTAATTACAAATACAATCAAATCATTTTCCTAATAAATTAATCAACTCACCGCTCGCTGGCTCAACAGATAACATCTCTGACAAAAACATAATCTTGTAACATGATGAATTCAAATATATGTGTCTCACTTTCCTCGCTTGACCCAAGTATACTGGCGGGGTGAACTTATTATTGCCTGGACCCTGGCTCGTAAAAATTACTCGGGACCCCTCGATTATAATGCTACTCTTTCACACAATCCTGATTTTCATAAAATAAAATCACAATAAATACACGTGCAACAGAAGATAAATTATGCTAATAAATTGAGTATTTCATATTTCTGGTTTTCACTACAGTATTTCTAAATGATATTGTACGGAATAAACATGAATATAATAATAAAGGTATTCATCTTACCAAATTTCGAGCCTTTTGAACGTGAGAAAATGGTTGTACGGTGTTGTATTACAGCAATCGTAATCTCAAAGCTTCATTCTGTATGTAAATATATCTAGCCATGACTCGCACAGGATGAAAATATCCTTCCGCATACCAACAAGTCCGTAAGTAGAAAATTAAAATATCTATTAAAGTAATTCAAGAATTAAAATTAAGCTGTCCTAAATTCATATTTCATTAATTATCATGAATCTGAGCAGTTTAATATAATTTTGAGCTTCTCAAAGGAAATGAGAAATCCGCGGAAGATTAAGTTGACATGCTCATGAATATTCAATAGATCAAGATGGATGGAGGAGGTGTGACAGAGGTAAATGTTATTGTCGTGGGTTATGGTTATTGTCGGATAATCATGAATGAAACATTTGGAAATGAAATAGTATATATATATTTCTCAACTATTTCGGTCGAAAATTCCTTTTTGAATTAAAATGAATTGATAATTGGGTGTTATATTTTGTTGTTGATGAATGAGTAGTCCCGTATGTTCACATTTGCGTACCGGTATTGATAACAAACTGTTGTTGTGTAGATCTACACAACTTTTTATTTAGCTGAGACAGCTGACAGTGAGAGTGGTGAGGAAAGAATAGAAGGAAAAAGAAGATTTGAAAGGATGCATTTTTTCATTGAATACATGGTCTATTCAGGTGACATAGATTGGAGACCTTAATAGCTTAATTAATGCATTGATTGATTTAACATTAACAAATCTAAAAAGAGTGAACTTGAATTACGGTATTGAAAGTGAAACAATTAGTGAAACTGAAACTGAAAGTGAGATTGATTGATTGATTAAAAATTAAAATTGCTTTATTTGGAGAAACGTAGTGTTCAAGCCTCAAGGGGCAGATCTGACAAAACCTATGTTGATTCAGGCATTCAACAATTTATTTAGTTTATCATCATCATACCCAAGAAACTATATGTGACTGATATTGCATAGATCTAGTACTAGAGCCTTAGAGGTGGCCCTAGCTACAATAATGTTACATAATTCCTGGGTGAGCATTTATTCCCAGTGACAGTGGCTGCCGCAAAGGTTGGATGGCCTTCCGATGCTTTTTCCAAGCAGCTCTTACCATTGAATCCTTCAAAACAAGCTCTCACTATGTATTATATTTTGGAGCAAGCAAGCACCATGAGCGCCTAGCTGGATCTGGCGTTGGTGCATATACCGGCCCTCAGATGACATCATTGTTATTATTAAAAGATAAATAATAACAACAATAATTTAATTTCTGTTAATTTCATTTATTTTCATTTCCGATGTTAATAACGATATGAATAGTCATTGATCCATTAAATAACGTTTGGGTTGTTGCTCATCAAGTTGTGATATTCAAAATCAATTTTCGAAAGATGAAACAATTTGAGATGAATGGGTTAAGCTTGTGCATGATTATATGCTTTTCTTTTTTTTAAATAAAAACATAGGGATACAAGCAGTGCTCAACATATATATGTACCGGTACGTGTGGAATCCCCCCCCCCCCCCCCCCAAAAAAAAAAAAGTCTATGCTGGCCCTTCTGATTTCAATGTGGACCTCCACAAGATGTGGTTTTGATAAATGTACATTGTTAGCTTGACTTGACTGTAGTTCCTATTACCACGTATTTGAATCAATGTTTAAAGCATAGATTGAAGATTTGTTAGCTCCTGGCCTTCTTACAATTCTTTTTCCTTTTTGTTCAGGTCCAGGAGCAGCTTGGTGCTCTATCCATGCCCAGAGATGAAAGGACAAATGATGAGAGACCGGAGAAAAGACTAGAAGAGGAGGAGGAGGAGGAAGATGATGATGAGGATGATGATGAGGACGATGATGATGAGGACGATGATGATGATGATGAAAATGAGGAGGAAGCAGATGAACCTAAACTCAAGTATGAGAGAATAAGCAACACACTGGAGGATATCCTTAACACTGATGCAGCCAGCTTCTTGGCTGTTCATATAAAGGTGATTTTCTATTTTTTAAATTTAAAATTGAAATATATTCAACATGAGTGTGAAGAGTGCAGTACATAAAATGGTTTTAGTTTAAGAGAAGGTACAAAACATCTCTCATTTCCAATAGCAAACCTCCTATAGAACTTATAAATAGAAAAGTAGTTTTTGCCATGTTGAAAATTTATTTCACATTGATTTATGTAATCAGGCTACTTGGATCCTATGATAAGACAATATGGGAGACCAAATGACATTCTTTTACGTCTGTTTAACCTTTTTATATCTTTGAGACCTTAAAATAAAACTTTACCTCACTGTTGTTTCATATTTGTAGATCATGTTGTTTCTTCTGTTTGTTCTGTTCAACAGTTTCTTGCTATTGGTACACATTGGGGAGTGCTTCATGTTTTGGATCACCAAGGCAACAACATCAGTGGGAAAGAATTCACTAAGGTAAGTTCAAAGATGGTCTTGATGGGTTTTCTTTGTGTAATGCATCATAGTACATGTACTCCCATTTGACTTTCATTTCATACATCTTCATATACAAATCTTGCAAAAAGTGTAGGCCGTTATTTTTCTATTTTGCATCAATGTCGATGGTTTCATGTTTTAGTAGTCCAATCCTAGGTGTGAACTTCAAACCAAACCTAAAACCCACTTGCAACCCTAACCCTTATCCTATATCTTTGATGAAATGAAGCCCGTAGCAATCGCTACCAGCGCACTAGGCGTTGTGGCGTGCGCCTGTAATCCAGCTAACAGTGGAAGTTACAAACTCATTCAGCCGAGGACGCAGGTTCGAAACTGAGTCACGTCTTTCGGAAGGTGACGTTTAAAGGTCGGTCCCCAGACGTAAATAATCATATCTGATTGATACACGTCTGTAAAAACCCAATACACACACAAACGCTACCAGCGCATATGTCGGAGGCTCAGAGCGCCAACATTAGATCTACAAAGTCATTGAAATGATTGAAATTGAGCCCTGTACATGCATTTTATTTATGTTTTAGTTTCTTTTTGTTTTTATGTTTTCCTCCTAGCACACCACCACAGTAAACCAGGTCAGTATGGATATGAATGGGGATTACCTGGCCAGCTGTTCAGATGATGGCAGGGTAAGTATTGTTCCTAAAATCTTAAAGGGATAGTTTGCCTTAAAGGAATTGGGTAGCTTTGTCTCGGATTAAATTGATTGAATCTTTGTGCAGCACAAAACGGACAATCATTCGGTACAAGGGTCTGAAAATCAGACTAATACTTAGGTGATTGCAATCACTTAAGTTGATTTGACAACTAATGATTGTTATTTTCCACTAAAAGCCATTTCAAGCCATTTCGTTTTGAGGGAAGTTCTAAATTAGTATTGTCTTTCAAATGCAGTTGGAATTTTACCTTTTCTTCCTTTTTGGCCTGCAAATGGGACATAGTACCTTTAAATAGCCCGAATAAATCTAATATGAATTTGGATAAATGAAAATGTAGTCCAAAAAATAGTTGTTCAAGGCTTGTTGCAAATTATCAGCAGTGTGATACCATCTGGAAGTCCAACTGTAACTTGAAGTATTAATTGTGCATTATCGTCCAGCATGGACTGAGAACATTATCTTTTAACTATTACGTATGTGTATAATAATTTGCATTATTTTGCTTTAAAATGACATAGTTTATTGATGTTTCTCTTTGTGCTCCTATCTCTCTTTCTTTCTCCCTGCCTCTGTCTGTCTGCCTCTGTCTGTCCCTTTTTCTACCGTTATCTTTTTGTCTCTCCATCTCGATCTCCTCCCTCTTCCTCTCTCTCTCTTTCTCTCTTTCTCTCTCTCTCCCTCCCTCTGCCCCTTTCTCTCTCTCCCTCTGTGTCTAGGTTGCTATCATTGGCTTGTATGAAGGAGAACACAACCAAGTCCAGTCTTTTGACAGGCCAGTCAAGGTACTCATTAATTACAGACATGTATAAAATGATTATGAAGACATTTGAGGATATGCCATTATTTAACATAAACCATAACAAAGTGTAGAATTGCACTGTTGAAACTAATACGCTAGCCAGACTTATGGGGCCAGTGTTCTTTCTCCACCCTAGATAATTATAGTAACTTTTTGTTTCCCAAAAGTGTGTATAATCTTCAAGGCCAACTGGTCAGGGATGATATTATTTAGACACATTGAATGATGATCATAATTAGCAATAACTGTCCAATCCACTTTATTCCTAGAATATCACAATTTATCAAGTTGATCACTGTAGAAGAAAAAAGTGGCCAATGAGAATCAGAAGTACAAATCATGTCATATAGTTTACATGTGCTTTCATTTTTCAACTTTGTTTTTAGAATTTTCAATCAATAATTGTACCTCCTTCGTCTGTCTGTTGAAAGTCGAGAAGAAATTGTGCAGCATTTCTTTCAGGAAGGCTGGTTTGTTTGTTATATAAATTAAATTTCTTTTCCTCATTGCAGGCTGTAGCTCTTGATCCAAAGTTTTCTCGTCCAGGCAGCGGCAAGCAGTTCATCACAGGAAGTGATCGGGTATGTATACATCTTAACATCAGGGCGGATTTCCCTTTTAACGTATTTTTGAACAGACGAGTAATAATTTCATGCACAAAGCATGACATATGAATGTATTTTGGACTGATGTGCTACAGGATTATTTGTTAGATGGTTTAGACTATTACTTACTGGCTCTATAGCTCGTAAGTCGATTCGACAACTAATAGTCGTTATTTTGCCACTTAAAGACTTTTTCAAGCCCCCCTTTTTTTAGGGAAGTTCTAAATTAGTACTGTCTTTCAAATGCCGTTGGAATTTATCCTTTTCCTTTTTTTTTGGCCTGCAAATGGGTTATAGTATCTTTAATGTACATATATTTAACATTCTGACTATTGGAATATAATTATTTGTAACAGGTAAATGAAATAATTTGTATGGAGGCACTTTACAAAGGCGTAGGCATTAAATTTGGTTACATTACAAAAATGGTCTATTGTGAACCACCCCAACCTTACTTGTAGTATGTTTTATTTTATATTTTCTCATTCTAGCTTGTGCTTCATGAGAAAGGATTCTTGGGGCGTAGTAAGTCCACCATTCTCCATCACGGTGAGGGTCCTATTAGAAGTATCAAATGGAGAGCTTCTTTGGTAGCATGGGCCAATGACTTGGTAAGACTCCATTTTTGTACTATGATAATATAATAATCCGTTCTCAAATAGCGCATAACACATCATGATATACATGTAACGTCCGTACGAGGTTCCAAAGAGCTTTGGACATTATTACCCTAGCTTTCGCTCCGGTAGCCTTATCAGCGCACAGTGCAGTTCAAGGAATAATCCTACCAGGTACATATTTGCCTCGCCTGGCTGGAGTGAGGCAAATGAGGTCTTTTTTTAAGGTTTATTGAACACAAAACACCAATGGTGTAGACCTCTCAGGCTAGCACAAGAACATCTGTCACAGCTTCTTCTACACTCGCACCCATAGCATTACGTACACTTCAACAATACATGTGAGATACTAACAGTAATGATAAAAGTCGAATTCTTTGTTTTTTCCTTTTTTAGGACTTTTTTAAGTTGAAAGTGAGCTGGAGAAACTAGAATTGCAATGCTTGAAATAAATCATAATTGGCAACTCTTTTTCAGTACGTTCTTTGCAGCTGTTTTTGAAGTTCAGAAAGTGAAAAGGATTAAAGATAGATCTCATTTGGATAGCACTCAAGAATTTAGATGCCTTGTAAATCCTGATGTAATCCATTTGCTTTCTTGGATTTATCAAGACACCTGCATTTGTTGCGAAAGCTAATACATTATCTGTGCTTGTAATCATCCGAGTGACCAATGGCTGTTAATCCTATCTGAGGGACAAGTACGTATAGTTCATGGAAGATTGCTGTCTTAGTCTGTGTCCGAAACGTAACCCCAAACCTTAACTCAGACCTAACGTTAACTTAAATTTAAACTCACCTTAAACCTAAACTTAAACCTAAATTTAAACATAAACATAAACCTAAACTCAAGTCTCAAACCTAATGTTAAACCCAACATTTAACCTAACTTTGAACCTAACTTTGAATGCATAATATTAATAATAATAATAATAATAATAATAAACCTAAACTTAAACCTAATATTAAACCTTACCTTAAACCTAACATTGAACCTAACTTTGAATGCAATCGCACTCAGGCCCTGACTCTGTTTCTCCAGAAAATATAGAGCAAATGTTGTGGAAACAATCTGTAAAGGTCATACAGAGGAAATACTGTAGGATAATGGGGCACAGTAAACATATGGCTTTTATTGATGCACTACATGGGGATAGGGGTAGTATGTTCTTCAACAGTACATACCAAATGTAATTTCTCATGACCGCTGCACATACGTGGCCTAGATAAAAGTTAGTCTCCATTTTAAGACAGGCTTTACTGAACATGCCTTGTGAATTACCCTGATGAGTTAGGTGAACTGAATATCAACTGGTTAATCTTTTAATGTTGTGTTATTTTCATGATAGGGAGTGAAGGTATATGACATGCAGTCCAAGCGACGTATCACATTCATCAAGCGGGATCACCCAGAGGCAATGAGACCGGAGCTCTATAGATGTAATCTCTGTTGGAAGGATGATAATACTCTACTCATTGGATGGGCAAACACTATCAAGGTAATAATGTCCCCCCCCCCCCCCCTCCTTTTCTCCTTCTTTCTCTTTCTCTGTATCTCTGTCTGTCTGTCTGTCTGTCTTTCTCTCTCTCTCTCTCTCTCTCACTCTCTCTCTCTGTCTGCATATCTCTTTCTGTTTCTCTCTCTCTCTCTCTTTATCTTTCCTCTTCCCTCTCTCTCTCTCTCTCTCTCTTTATTCAGTCTCTCTCTCTCATTCTCTCTTTCTCTCTCTCTCCCTCTACCTTTCTCTCTCCCTTTACCTTTCTCTCTTTTTCTCTTTTGGTATATTTATGTTTCTCTGTTTCTGATGCCTTTTCTGTCCCTGGTTCTATCTTTCACACGTGTGATATGAAATATGGACCGAAACCCATTTATAACGAGTGTAATTATAAATTTCTGATGAATGCTGTTTGTTACTCTCATCCAAATGCCACCAGATCAAATATTTGTGAATATAATTTTATTTTGACTTTTAGATTTGCTCTGTGAAGGAGAGGATAACCCCAGACAACAAGGATTTACCAAGCAAATATGTTGAAATAAGTGAGTATATTGCCAAGATCAAGCATGCAAATAAATTTAAATTGTGTTGTCAAAATGAAGCTGCCAGGTCATATACTGGAGCGAACATTTGTTGTTATTGTTTTCTTATGAGCAAATTACATTTAAAGCATCTTCCATTTGCGTTAGGATAACATTTTCTGTAAAAGATGTCTGTAACTTGTTTGTAGAGAAAATATTGTTCTATGACACATCCTCAGGAGACAAATGTATCTAATTCAATTTCCTATACCAACAAAATTCCCAATTTCAACTCTTGATTAAGCTCTATACCCAACCCTAACCTAAAACCTAATTCCAACCCTCCCCCATATTTTTGATGAATAAGGCCTGGAGCAATGAAATATTACCAGTACAGATGTTGGGCCACCAAACGGCAAGTTACAGCTTTGATATCATTCCAAAGTCACCAGTCAGTTTGATGGCATGGATTTGTATCCCTCTGCTGCCATAGAGTTGTGTTATTGGGTCCACACATTAAATCAAGTAACACATGCCAAGTAACTGCAAGGAGTAGGTTCAATGTAATGTTCATGCTATCACGGATATTTGATATGTTGAATCACCATTTTGGTAAGACTCTTACATGTACATGTCACCTCCACCATGTTACTATGCATGTATAGTAATATAACAATTATCTTTCATCTTTTAATTTACAGCTTCCATGTTTTCCACTGATTTCACTGTATGCGGACTGGCTCCGCTCGGTGATGCTCTGGTTGTTGTTGCCTTTGTCACGAGTGGACCAAAGAATGATGTAAGTAGGACAAAACTTTCTTCTTTCTATGATTGTATGTGTCGTAGCTATGAAGAGATACCGTCCATGTGATGCAATGTACACTGTAAACTCAGATGAAATACTACATAGCCAGAATCTATCGTATGCGTGAAACTATTGTGAATTTGCAAGCATTTGAAATTTACACAAGTTTGTTATGTCAAACATGGCTGTTAGAAATGTTAATAGCTTGTTAGCAAACAAAATCACCTAATTATATTTCACAAATGATTCTGCTTTTACAGTATAATTTTTGAATTTTTTTTTAGACAATTTCTATTGAAAAGTAGTTTATTGTACACCCATATCTGTCAAAATTTAATTTTGATTACAAATTTAATGGAAAATGCCCAGTGTGGATATTTGTTTACCAGTGCCTTGAATTGTTTGCAGTTACATGTATCAAGTTACATGTACAGTATAAAATGTCAAAAAAAATGGGGTCGTAGGGTCGAAAAAAGTTGAGAACCAATGATAGAGAACGTTTCTGTGTCTGTTTTTTATGACAGGGTGAAGACAATGGAGCTCGTAGACCACAGTTAAAGATCATAACCCCTTTCTCCGATGATTACCAGCTTGTTACCAGTGATGCCCTGTCAATGCGTGGTTTCCAGTCCTACAGGCCCAATGACTACCACTTAGGTTAGAATTGAGAACTCATGTTTTGTAATTTAATATAGACTCTTTTTTGGGGGGGGGGGGTGGGAAGTAGCTCAGTATGTTAGAAAGTATTTGGAACTCATCCTTAACAACTTAAATTAATTTTTACACACAAGCATCGTGATTGCTTTATTCAAGGCTCAACAATCACAGGTACCCTGGACACAAATTCTAAGTTTGTTGCATATTTTGGATTGATTCTATTATGCAACATGGCCACAGCACAAATGTGATGGCTCAGTGGTCTTGTATCCTGGAGATCACAGGCTCAAAATCAATTGAATATGTTGGTTCCCAGTGGTAAGGCATAAATGATCATCATCAATTCCCTTGGATAAGACATTAACCCTTACTGTACTGGGCTATTTTGAGCACCCTCTCACCCTCGAATGTCCGATGAACACGAAAATTTGCATATTTGTAGATATTTTCGTAAGGAACAAGATGGTATAATTATTTTTTTCCTAATATTCAAATTTTTGTCGTTATAGCCTAATTAATTATGCAATTATTTTCTGTAAAATGCTAATTTTATGCATTTTACAGAAAATGCTACATATTTGTCCGTAGACTTGTGAAGAATCTTGAAAATGTGAAGAATCTTGAAAATGTATTGAATTAATGTTTCCTTCATCTCAAATTCATGAGGTTTCATTATTTTTATGATATTTGAAAATGCATAGGTTAATTTGCATAAATTTGCAAATTACGCATTCATGAATATCAAATCAGGAACTATATTTAGGGAACTGGAATCATTACAAAAATTGTCAGACTCCACTTTTTGAATGTTGAAACTCATTATTCATATGAAACTTCTTTTCTAACACAAAATAGTTATTTGATGTAATTAATAATGATAATTTATGCAAATTTGATGCGATTTTCTACTATTTATTTTCTTATGTATTTTATTGTTTTTTATTTCTTATTATATCTATTGTTTTATTTCCAATGTATTCTTTTGTTCTGGAATACATCAAGTTACTCTGAGAAACATATAAAAGCAATTTTATATCAATTCATATCTTCACATTTCTGCTTGTACATGAATATATGCAATTATAGCACTTTTTTTAATTGACATGCGCATACTAATTGTTATGTAACACCTTACAGGTATATCCGATTTTGACGAAAATGGTATCAAAATGTGCGCAAGACTTGAGGGAAAAAAGTCATGAAACGACAATTCAAAATTCCAAGCGGTTGCGGCGTGATCTCCGAAAATGTCGAGGGGGGGCCTCCCAGGCCCCCCCCCCCCCAGTACAGTAAGGGTTAAAGCCCTTGGTCCCTTTGGTTGCTTTTCTAGAAGCATATACTTTCTTTCTTGACAGTCAGGTGAAATAAGTCATCTAATCAAATCTTGACTCCTTTGAATATTTCAGAGTATGAATCAGATGAAGGAGTGTTCTATATCGTCAGTCCAAAGGATGTAGTGGTTGCTAGGCAACGTGATATGGATGATCACATCACATGGTTGATGAACCAAGAGAAGTATGAGGTAAGGTCATATGTTCACATTTTTTCATACGTTTTTGATGGTGAACAAACTGGGCTATGAATCATCATTATCTTATCATCATCTTATCATAATCATATGATCATCATCATTATCGGTGTCATTACCAATGTCATTATTCTTTTCATATCATCATCGTCATCATTGCCATCGTCATCTATTATCATCATTCCCAGCATATATTATCCATTTTTGCAAGGTTTGTCAGTATCAGATCTTGGGCTGAATGAAAGATGCTATCCTTTTTTTAACTACAATATTTTGTCGCATTTTATTATCACACATATTTATCATTATCGTAGGAGGCTTTGGGTTAGGGTCAATAATAAGGGTCACTAAAAATGAAGTTGATTTTAAAGGAGTCCCTCATCATAAAAATAATGAATTTTTTTTGTCTGTCAACAGGAAGCATTGTCTGAGGCTCGTCTGAATCACAAAGACCTGGTCAAGATTCGACCTATGGACGTAGGTCACAAATATCTCAATCACCTCATCAGCACTGGGGAGTTTGATAAAGCTGCAAGGTTAGTACTGAAATACAAGATATATAAAAATGGAATTCTGTTGATTAATTATTACTCATATCACACTGCAAATTGAACTTGTAAATCTGGCAGTTTTTCAAGAAACTTGATATCAGTAATAAGTTGTAATCAAAAGAAGGTACTGAAATCCTTGCATTTGATGAGCCGTAACTTAACATATTATCGAACTGTTGCACTTGTTATAAAGAAGAAGTGTTATGAAACAGGACCAAGAAAGGTGCAAGATTTATTTAATTCAACATCCAGGATTTCTCTTGATTATTAATTCTGCCTGTCCTTGTATGTGTGTATATCTGTCTTAGTTAATGTAATGTCTATATTGTCAATATTTTGCTTTTTATACTGAAGATTTTACTTTTGGGGTTGTAGAAAAAGGGGACCAGCCTAGATAGGTCAAAGACCTTTTCTGGTCCCTCACATCCCTACTCCACCCATTAATCATTTTTAGTGTTACTGTTATTGTTTTATTTGTTCTTATTATATTTTATATATATTGCATTTTATATAATTGTATTTTGAATGTTATAATGCTGTAAGTTTTTATTGGATGTGAAATAAACTGAACTTGAACTTGAAAATGTAATAGTATAGACTGGGAAAAAGGTAGCGGTAGTTCACAAATTTGGCTAGTTTTTATTATTTTTTTTTTTTTTTTTTTTTTTTTTTTTAATTTATTTATTTATTTTTTTATTTTTTATTTTTTTTTTTGGGGGGGGGTTATAGATGGGCACACAAGTCTTACTAGTCCTCTTTTTGTGCATGATTATTTTATAGTATGTATTGAAGCTATGGCAGATTTGGCTGCATAACACTTGCCTTTCTACAAAAAAAGATTGTGGCCCAGCATCATTTTTAATTCACTACACTGGCTAGGTAACACTCTTGTCTCTTGGCAAATTGTGCTACCCAATATAAGTGCTTTAACTGACTAGCTATTCACTGAAATCTCTACTTGTTTCTGATATTTGCAGCTTGTGTCCGATGATCCTTGGGAAGAACAAAGATCTTTGGGAGGAGGAGGTGTTCAAGTTTGCCAAGCTTCACAAGCTGAAGGTCATCAGTCAGTACATACCCAAGGGTGACATGAGACTGTCAAAGGCCATCTATGAGATGATCCTCAATGAGTATCTACAGACAGACCTTCAGGTCAGTATTATTATCATCCTGACTTCAACCCTGCACTCATAGGATTAACACTATAAAGGCCTTACTGTAAACCATGCACTTTTGAATAAAGGCTGGAGTTAAAAGAGCAAATATCGAATCACACTTAGTACATACCTAAAGGTGATAGGCTTTCTTTAACCATCTCTGAGATGGCACTTAACAAGTACCTGCAAACACATCTGCAGAACAGTATGATTAAATGACATTTGCTTGATTTCAGACAGCAGTTGCTTGACAGTCTGATACTAGTTCCCAGATCCTCATTTCAATCCTAAATATAACCTGAAACCCAATTGCAATTCAGGCCCTAACCCATGTTCGTAATTAAATAAAGGCTAGCATAGATGTTGTTCAAGCACAAATAAGGTGACTAAATTGTAAAAAGCTATGAAGCAATATATATATAAAATACATTAAGACAAAGAGATAGATGTACTTTAGTTTGGGTGAAGCTGAACATATGTTGGATGGTAGTCAGTACAATGTATGCATTTTCTGGTTTTATAGAAACACTGCTTTTATATGGACGTAATCCCCTTTCATGCCTTCTTCACATGTCTGCAGGGCTTCAACAAACTAATCAAGGAGTGGCCACATGACCTCTACGACCTCATGACGGTGGTCTCAGCCGTCATGGATCGACTCAATATGGACCCAAGGAACGCTGTCCTGATGCAGACACTGGGGGAGCTGTTCATCTATGATCAACGTTACGACAAGGCTCTGGCCATTTACCTGGAGTAAGTTTCTTTACATTTTATTTAGAAGGCTTATTTTAAGAAATGTAATTGTTGGTGTTGGAGGCTACAGCAAGCTCCAGATGTGCTTCTTTAAAACATCCCTAAATTTTGATATTACAGATTTTATGTATCCCAAAGCACCCCTGATTTTATAATATCAATGTCAAAGAAAAGAACATGGATGGTTGGAAAAGGTACAAAATGATAATGCTTGATCGTTGGATCAATTTTATAAAAAATGTAAATTCTGAAGATTTGCGACGTCCCAATGGTGAGAGCATACATGCCAACTGTTCAGATTAAAGAGGAACATTCCTCTTTTTGGGAGAAGATAATTATCATTTTAATGCAGGTGTTCCTCTTCCTGTACAAATTTGTCTGTAGTATTGAATAGGAGAGTTAGGATTGTTCCTCTTTTTTTTTTAAATAGCATAATTTGTACAGATTTCTGATTCTCAAATGTTGGCATGTATGGTGAGAGCACCCAGTGGCATGAATGACCTGCCATAGTTAAGTCCAACTTAAGTCAACCTCAGTCTTTGTGAAACACACCCCATGTCTTCTTAGTAATCCTTTCCATTCATATATCTTTCCTTCATTCTCTCTGTGACTTACTAGGTTAGGGCACGAGGATGTGTTCAAGTTGATTCACAAGCGCAACCTCTTTGACTCAATCCAGGATAAGATCGTTCTTTTGATGAAGTTTGATACTGCTCAAGCCATCGAGATGCTCATCACAAACTCAGATAAAGTAGCTGTAAGTCATCATTGTTTATTGTTGATTGTTTGTCACTCTCAACCCAGTTGTGTTTAATACCCACTGCCTACTTTAACTGGGTAATCCCTGCATTAAGCCTAAGGGGATAAGAGAATTTAGTAGGCAACCGGTTAAATGGGTATGTGGTAACGCACTGCATTCCACTGCTTTAGGGCAGCTTTGCTAAAGCCAAGGTAATAGTAGTCATTTGTACGTGCTTTGAGCATCATCACGTAGATTGGATATCTGTGTGATGTAAATGTTGCTATTATTACCATTTGTATTATGCTGACATAATTTTGTCCTATTTAAGATATTTTATGCTCATTGCAAAGAAAGATATATACAGAATCATTAGTCAACATTTGGACAGGCATATTGGATCTTTCCAATGATGACTTTTTTATGAGAAGCTATATTCTTTTAATTATATCATACCAATGAGTATTTATATTAGATTAACATACGAGCATCAAGTCACTTTTAATATTCTCTCTCTCTCTTTTATTAGGTTTTATTGTAATCGTTGTCTTTTCATCTGATTTTTTTTTCTCTTTCCCCCTTTTACCATCTTTATCATTTTGTTCATTTTTCCACCAGGTCAAGAAAGTGGTATCACAACTGCAAGACCATCGGCAGCTATTGTATCAGGTACTTTGCATGTTTTAACATTGGTTTGGACATGAAAACTTCACAGTAACTGTTCAAAGGGTTTATCCCGATGGTGGTGATGATTTTGCTCCTACTTCTACTGATGATGATAAGGAGTAGGCGGAAGACGATGAAGAAGAAGAAGAAGAAGAAGATGATGATGGTGATGATAAGAAGGAAGAGGAAGATCAATTTCAATTTCAATTTTTTTTTTTCAATTTCATTTATTTCCACAGATTCATAAAAGACAATGTAAATTACAATCAAATATAAAAGTATTACAACAAAAGATGAACCTGCAGAGGGGGTGATCAAAAACCACAGAGGTTTATCGGGGATCATCCCCTGCTTAAAATCACAATATAAAAATACAATAGTTTTTTTTTTAATTAAACAATAACACATACATGTACGAAAACATATATAGATATTACATGCAAATCTATGCGTGGGGTGAGTAGTAGTGGGTTGGTGGTACCAAGAAATACAATATAAAGAGGAAATGAATGATATACAGGAAAGAAATATTGAGAACAATAGAAAGAAACACCGTACAAACTATATCCTAAGAGTTGGATACGAGATCAAATATTGTTTCAACTTTGACTTGAAAGAATAAAGTGATGAGCAGCTGACAATATCATTGGGAAGTAAATTCCATAGTGATGGTCCACTAAAATAAATGTTCCTTTGAAGAAAAGTTGTTTTAACAGAGGGCAAATGAAATTTATTTGAACTTCTTGTTTCATAAGAGTGAATTTCAGCATTAACAATGAACATCTCATTAAAAAAAGATGATGAAGGAGAAGAAGATGATGTTGATAATGTGGATGTAGGTGATGAAGATAATGATGAGAAATAACAAAAATTTAGATTTATTATGATTATGATGTGGATAATGATGATAAAATTGATGATGATGAAAGTAAAGTAATGAGGCTGCTGATGGAAATGATGATAATTTAGATTTGTTACTATGATGATGATGATGATGATGATGATGATGTATTCCCTTCCCTTTTCCTTGTCTTTTGTAGTTAATTGTGAGTATCGGTTCATGTATCCCTGTAATCCCCCTTTCCCTCTTTTAGCGTGTATTTGTATTTTATAAACTTTACTTTAGTTAATTATGTCATTTTTAGTTTTAAGGAGCCTATCCACAACAAGCTCTGCTTTTCCATAGGCTCTGCCATTTTATCTCTTAAGTTAAACTTAATGGACAATATTCTGAATAGTGTGTACCGGCATTGTATGTACATGTATAAAATAATCATTTTCAATATGTTGTTACACTCTTTGTAAAATGAGATATTGTGGAAACCAATAAACTATCTATCATGGTAGTGGTGGTGGTGGTGGTGGTGGTGGTGGTGGTAGTGGTGGTGAAATTGATGATTATGTTCACAAAGATCATCTCTAACCAATTTTCCCTACAGTACCTAGACGCCTTATTCCAGAAGGACCCCAACGAAGGCAAAGACTTCCATGCCATGCAGGTTGAGCTTTACGCTGAGTTTGACCGACCACGCCTTCTTCCGTTCCTCAAGACCAGTAACTTCTACCCGTTACAGCAGGCCCTGGAGCAATGCGAACAGAGGAACTTCATCAAGGAGATGGTCTTTCTGCTCGGTGAGTCAGAGGGGACAATCTAACATTTTCAATAAGTTAAATTATGTGAAAGTTGAAAAAAATCAGAGAAAGCAGCCATACAAAAATTTGAAACTTGGAGACATGGTAAGAGATTTATGAATGTTAAAAGCCGAGTTTACTAGATCTCTATGACACTCAAATTGGCAATATTCCCATTTACGGCACATCTAAATAGAATTACAATTTTCTTCTACATGGAGGTACACATAACTTTTTCTTTGGGGCTGTACTCTGGATATTTTATTGATGGCATGCTGTTATATATCATTAAATATCCTCCCATTAAATAAACAATGATAATGATCTGAATTTGTATGGCTCTTAATACAAATGACCTTCTCTAAGCGCTTTACAGATATCATAACCCCGGTCATCAGATTCATTCAAGCACAATGTGCAAACTCTCCAATCCCTGGTCACCTTGAGGGCATATGGCAATTACTAACACAAAGGCTTTCGTCATCCTACCAGGTCCCCATTTCTATCCTGGGTATTAAGTGGCAAATGTAGATTAATGCATTGCCATAGGACATTAGTGTCTTGTCGGGGATCAAACCCACAACCTTTGCATTTCAAGTCAAGTGCTTAAACCACTCAACTATGACACCTCTATCAACAAGTCTTCTCAGCAAGAAAATGTATAAAATAGCCATTTTATGTATAGGAGCCAACGGGAGAGTTCTTCAACAATACATCATAGTGATATAAAAAGAAATGACCTTAAACCCACTACAGGTACATTGTGTAGGTTTTATACAATGGTTTCATAATTGGTGCCATGGGAAATAAAAGTATTGTTTCTTTGTTACAGGAGAAATGTAGCTTTTAAATGGACAAAATTTTCCAAACTATCTCCTTTATAGTATCCACAAACCAATCATATATATCGCTATTTATTTTTGTTATTTAGGTCGTATGGGCAATACCAAGCAAGCTCTGAGATTGATCACAGAGGAGTTGAAGGATGTTGAACAAGCAATCATCTTTGCCAAGGAGCATGATGATGTGGAGCTGTGGGGCGACCTCATTGATTATTCCATGGACAAACCGCGTAAGCTTACACTTTTAGCCTTAATTTTGTTGTACATGTAGCAGTAACAATTTTGTTGTAAATCTTACTTTACCCCTTCCGCAACTGAAGACCTCTTAATCCATTCTCCTTTATGTACCAAAAATCTTTGGAGGCACAAAACTTACCAGTGTTTTCTTTTCTAGTCCAGTATCACAACATTTCAGAACAAACTTTTTCATTTGATTAAGATCATAAATTAAGCTTTGTCCAAAGGAAACTTGAACTAGGGGATTGTTAATAGTGTCAAGGTATTTTTGTGAAATATTTCCCAAGTATTTCACAATTTAAGATGAATATGTAAAGAACTTGATTTATTATTTTGGGGGCAACTGTGTTTTATTGTTCTGCTGTTTTTTTCATCAACAGCTTTTATCACTGGACTCCTGAACAATATTGGAACTCATGTTGATCCAATTATACTAATTAAGGTAAGTTTTGCAAGAAAGTTATGAATTTATTTGCTCCATTCTCCAGTAAAATTCATATAGATGATTTCTTATGACCAACTTTTTTGTATTACTTTCACCTTTTCCTTTGTTACCTTTTGTTTATATTCATCATTTTTAATCTGTCTGTATCTCTTGTTGATTTACGTGATTGCTCTCATATTATTTTAGTGCTCTTCTCTTAACCTGTTCATTTTTCTCCTCTGTTTCCATATATTTTCATTTGTATATTCTATGTTCTTGATACTGTTCATTCTTCCTTATGATATTTCTAATGCTATATTATTATGCTCATTCTCCTCGATAGCTTCTTTTCTCCATCTTCCTCATCTTCACCTATTACCCATTCCTATTTATATCAAACTTTCCATATTTTGTTCTTCTTTTCTCTTTCTCTCTGTTACAGAGGATTAAGGAAGGAATGGAGATTCCGGGTCTAAGGGACTCGCTGGTCAAGATTCTGCATGACTACAACTTACAGGTGAGGGTAGCCTAGACCTCATCACTGTTCTTAAACCTATTTCTATGTGACACAATAAATGGCCTATGAAATACTGCAACAAAATGTATGACAAGAACAAGAAGTAGAAGAAGAAGAAAAGAAGGAGAAACAGAAGAAGGAGTTGGTGGAGAAGAAGAAGGAGAAGAAGAAAAAAAAAGGAGGAGTACGGTAGGAATAATAATATAGGCAGATCATCTTTTGAATGTATCCAACATTTCTTTCTTTTACATAGATCATGTTGAGAGAAGGATGCAAGAAGATTCTGGTGTCAGATTGTTTCTCACTGATGCAGAGGCTCAACAAAATTCAGAAGAGAGGGGTCAGAATTGGTGGTCAGTATCCTTGATTCTTTATTTGTTATCACTTTAGATATAATTGAACTGTGTAAACTATGTAAACATGTATGTAATGTTTCCGTCTTCCACCCCCTCTCTTCGTCTCTCCTTCCTCTCTCTCTCTTCCTCTCCCCCTCCACACCTTCTTACCCTCCTCCCCTTCCTCTCTCCCCCTTCCCTCCCCTCCCACTCTTATCTCTTTTTTTTTTCCTTACCCTCCTTCCTCCGTCCCTAGCCAACTCTCTCCCTCTCCCTCTATCACACTTCACTGTCAATTTCATTTCTACCTGTCATATCACCATCTCTCAGTGGCATTTTCTCACTCCTTTTCATCTCTAGGCATAATTGCCATTTTAGCTGTCAGGTATCATTAGCAAACAGATTTTTGAATATGATAATGAAAAAAACTTAAATTAATAAACAGAAATGAAAACCAACACACAAAAAAAGAAAAAGATGGAACAAACAAACATCATGGTCATCGTTATTAATCTAATTGCACATCTAATCACATGTGATTTTGTGTAGAAATTTTCCACTTAACATTTATGTTATATGGTTATAGTAAAAGATTTTGCATGTTATTTACAGTACTACCGTATTTGCAAATGTATGTTTTCTTGTAACGTGATTTTTACGAAATGAATAAACTAAATTGAAAATTGAAATTAAATTCCCTTATCTGTTTTTTTATCTTTTTCCTATAGATGTTCAGACATGTGATTGCTGTCACCAACCTCTTCAGAACACTGGTGAGTATTTTAGCCAAGTTTCTTACCCAACATGAAATATATCATTTAAAATGTAGATAATCAAGTGATAATGAAAATGATAAATAAATATTTTGATTTCGGTGATTACAGTACAGATTACATTTAACTGTACGGATTAATGGATAATGAAAGACAGCCTCTCAAATCTTCTAGCACGTAATTCTCTGTTTTTTTATGAGTATGTTCGAGTATGTTTTGTATTAATTGTAAGATAGCATAAGGTTGTAATTTTTATATTGAATATTTTTTGTAAAAATTACTTTTTGTTTACAACCACTGGAACTTGCCACTGTTATTTGGTTAATTTTTTTCTGTCCCTGGCGTTCCAAAGGTTATATTATCTTTTATCTATACTTGTTCAATTGTCTCATGTACTTCTTTATTGCCAAATAACATGATAATAAAAATAATGTGATGGAAGGTATTCTCCTAAACGCCCTTTTTCTCTCTGTTTACAGAGCCTCCTCCAGTTGCAGTAGTTTTCTACTGTCATCATACATTCCATGAAGAGTGCATACTCTCTCAAAACATGGTGAGTTGATAATTATATTCATATCCGGACACCTACACCCTGGATATCCACCCACTGGATAACCACCCCCAGTCAACTACCCCCTAGGATAGTTGTCCGGGGGGTAGGTGTCCTAGAGGATGGTTGTCTTAGGGGGTAGTTGTCTGGGGGGTAGTTGTCCAGGGGTAGCTGCCCAGGGGGTAGTTGTCATAGGGGTTAGTTGTCATAGGGGGTAGTTGTTTGGGGGTAGTCGTCCGAGGGGAGGGGGTAGTTGTCCCGGGGGTAGTCGTCCTAGGGGGTAGGTGTCCTAGGGGGTAGGTGTCCTAGGGGGTAGGTGTCCTAGGGGGTAGGTGTCCTAGAACCAATAATAATATATGAGATTTGTGAGGCGCAGAATCCACTTGAAATCAAATGCACCGTTGCACTTTTGAAACAAAACAACAACAACAAAAAAGGATAACACATAAAATCAACTGCATTATGAAGAAAGGAACAGAAGTTAGATAGAACATACAAAGTTTACGGTACAATTAATTAGATGCTGAATTAAACGTTTTTAAGATTATTCTTGAACTCTTCAACTGATCTGCTATTACAAATCAGCTTTTCACAGCAAAGGCCCTGCATGGGAAAAGGTTCTTTCCCCACGTTGTATTGAGATTAGGAAGACCAAGAGATGACTGGTTAAACCCATGTTGCCATTCCCATGTTCCAGGGAGAGACATTACCCCCAAATTCACAAAGGAGGTACGAATCGAAACCCATATCCATAAACATAACAATTTTTTGTTCTTCTTTCTTTTCTTTGCTCTCAGTCTCATTGCCTGATCTGTCATTCTCAACGGCGAGGACCAGGAAGCATCGCCTCTGGATTTATGAGATGATCAAAGCTATTCCATTAGAGAGATAGACTGAAGGACTAAATATAACTAAATAAATGAGCAGAGATAGAGAGAAGGACTGAATATAATTACAGAATTAATGAACTGATTCAAGCCTTTTTCAGATATGTAGCAGTCAACCCCAGCAGTATTTGTATGATGGCAGAAAGTGTTATATGCTACGCATTTCCTATTCACAGAGCTAAGTGAATTTAGGCATCTAGGGCCATTGTTGGATGCAGTTGCTGATCATTTACACCTTTTGTTTTAAATGCTGCGGTTTATGACTTCATATCTCAACAAAGAGGATTTGAAACTGAATTTAATTATGGATCTGAAACTAATTCCCTTGACCACATTACTACAACCAACCACCACCAAATGTGACTTCTGTCTTCTGACTCCTTTCAGCATCTGGCACACAGAACTTTACTCTGTCAAGGTGCCAATTTCAAACAACAATATTTACCTCTTGGATATACAGTGTATGCAAAATCACAGTATAATGTGCTTACCGTATACAATCAAACCTGCTTTAGTGACCACCTGCATAGAAAGACCACATTGTTTGTTTCCCTTGAAAATGGTTTTCTCATTGAAACATGTACAAAAGGATCATGTGCATAAAAAGACCACCTGTCTATAAAGACCACTTTTCTTGTCTCCCTTGGGTGGTCTTTATGGACAGGTTTCACTATAATATGCATCGTTCTTTTCCCTTGGATTTTATAAAATTCACAAATAATTTTACCTATTAAGTTTGTTAGTTTATACATGTATGTATATTTTGGGACATGTTAAGAATATTTGAAAGGAATTAAATGAATCTACTTTCTTGTTGATTTAACAAATGATTAATACACAAGAAAAATTACATTTGATGTGAATATTTCAATGTGGAATCCTATTTTATTTCAAGGTTTTGAAGGTCACATACTTTAAGAAAAAAACAGAAGACTCACATATTTATCTATTGCTCCTTATACACTTAAAATAAAGCTAGGGTAAATGATGGCTTGCTTCACAATTTTCTACTTTTTAAAAATATTTGTGTGCATGGACTACTGAAATTAATCTATTATTTATTTGTTTAAAGAAGATTTATGACACTTCATTTTTTCCCTGGCCATCATGTTTTCCAGGGATTTGCCTCAAATTCTGAAAGACTTGCATACCGGTAGTACCTTTAGTAATATTTTTTATGTAGCAACTCATCAAAATGTCTAAGGATGAAAGTTTACACTTTGGACTTTGAATGGTATTATTATATTGTTACTTTTAGGGAAAGATATTTTACTTGTGGTTATAAATTATAACTCCTGGCAAGGCCATGCGTTTGTTGCATCAACTAAATAATTTCTTGAAAATGAAGATAAAATGATTGTGAAGGTACCCCCTCCCCCCAAGATTATTTTTTCCTCCTGTTTTAAATAATGTGCTTGCCAAAGTATTTGTTTCGTTTGTAGTTGCATGTAAGCTGTACATATATATGAAATCAATTTATATTACAATAATGAAGAGCAATTATGATATTGTTGAACATGTATTGTTCAGAATTGCTTTGAAACTCTTCTTTGAATAAAGAGCCATATATTATGCATTCATGTAGATCGTTTATTTGTGTGTGTGTGTGTGTGTGCGTGCATCAGTTTTTCTATTTTCCATTAGATATGAAGGCATTCTATCCTGCTCACTTTCTTCAACTGTTTCTCACTTTGTCTCTCTTTCATCAGTTTTCCCTCCCTTTCTTTTTATCTTTCACTCGTGCTTACCATATCTCGATCAATACAATCACTCACTAGTTCCACAAATCAAATGAAGTACAAAGATGCACATTTCTTAATGTTTTATATTTTGATAGTTTTTATATTTTCATGACAATATTGATGTCTTCTGACTTTCATACAATTTCTATTAAACTCAAGTTCTCACAAACCAATGGAATACTGGATCCAAACAAATACATCTGCTCTACATGTTTAGCACACAAATATTAAGAAATACATGTAATGTGCAAACAAAGCATGATGAAATAGTATTAACAGTGTATACTGTGTGTAAAATCATAGTTTATGAAAGGTAGATGTCTAAAAGTTTATAAAGCAACATCTGGTGTAAGCTCTAATTTATGGTACTTCTGTAATTTGAAATGTACCAAAAGTACAGAAGATTTTGAACAAATAATTCCTTTAAAAATTATGAAAGGAGTGATTTGAACTTGTTACAAAGAAATGGTGGGGGGGATCAAACACACTGGATCTGTGAGAAATCTGGAAAATTAAAATCATGTTATGCGTGTGTCCACTCTAATGGATGATGTTTCAACATTTTAAAGCTAGACTGGATGAATACTTTTGTAGACGCATTGCAGACATGCTGGTTAGGTCCAAATACGGTCCAGACCATGAAAACCGTGACAGTGTTTCATCTTTTGACAACTCCTGCTAGCCAGCTGTTAAAATGGTGGTGACGATACTGTTGATAGCATAATTTCTTCACTTCCATTTGATCGGCAATGCGAAGAATGCCTCTAAGTCCAATCGGTTGCCAATCAGTCAATGTCCTTCTCCAGTTATATCCACTATGTCTATGGTGACAAGCCATGGCGGCCAGGTAATGTCTTTTCACCAGTTCATGTTCACATATCGTCATGGTTACGCCCACAGTAGACTGAGCAGACCTGGCTCTGGCATGCCTGGTTCTCCTCCTTTCTTGAATCCTGCAAATTGAAATAAGAGGCAAATTGGAAGTGTAAGATAAATATTTAACGCAAATTTATTCCAAATTTTAAATTCACATGCAAACTCGCCTAAAAATAGAATCATGATTTTCATTGTACTACCCCCCCCCCCCCCCCCCCCCACAAACACACAAAAATGCAGTTAACAAAATAAGTTGTGTCATTTCGATTCTTGACATTTTTTTCTTTTTCTTTCTGATAAAAATGCCAGTTCCACCCAAATTCTGGTCGTTAATTATTGAACTGAAGAGCATTGTATGGATAGGTAAATGGATTTGTGGTAATTTTGCTGTTCATGTTTCTCATTTATTCGATTTAAATTTAGAAAGAATTTTCGTAATTGCTCCCCCTTTCACATTTCTCTCTTTCAATTTTCATCCTCGGTTGTACATTCAACGACATGATAATGAACGTGAGGGACCGAAGGTCCACATGGTTATGTTATAGAATACTCACCCAAATACAAAATAAATGGAATGAATCCAAACTGGAATGTGAGTTTGCCCACGTTGACCACATCCATGATCCTCTTCTTAGTTTCAGGTCTAAGATTTGCCATTTTTACAAGATATTTGTACTCTGTCACGTCTAACAAAGTTAATGGATGAGTTGCGTTTCGTCAGTAAATAGCTTAGAGGTCAAAGGTCAACGTCCTTGTGTTTGTTTTCATACAAGATCAAAATGATGAGACTCGCAAGTGAGGTGGATTGATTTCGGCTGATAATCAAGCAGTCAGTAACATTAAAACGAACCCAGATCGGCTATTAAACGTAAGTATAATATATATTAAACATGTATGGACAAAATAGTTTGTTTTCTGCTCTTGTTTTTTCAATGTATCAAATGTGAAGAAAGAATGTGTCGCGTCGCGTTTGTGGAGCAAGTAAGCACCCGAGCTAGCCTCACCGGCCCAGGATTGCCGCCAGGCGGGCCCCGGCTGCGGTGAAGCTACGTGGGGCTCCGTCGCGCGCCGCGTGTAGTCATGGTAGCTGTAGTCGAGAATTGAGTCTGACTGAGAGACTGAGAGTATTACTTGCACAGCACATCACATCACATCACATATCGTGCATTTCCTTGGAATTCAACAAACAATTCTTATTTCCTTGTTGGTTATTGATTCATGACGACACACAGTGTGCAATCGCAATCTGGGGCCGTAGACTAGTAGTTGAAGTAGAATTTCCTTGGATTCCTGGAAGAAGAAGAAAATGTCACAATGATGCTGGTCACTGCACTGTGACTGTCTCACTCTCACTCTCACTCACTCGATTGATAATAAATGTCACAATGTCAATGACAATGATGAATTATAATGTTCATGTTGGACGATGATGAATGAATGATTCAATAAAGTGATTAAAATTGAGGATGATGTGAATTATGTGATGATAATTAAATAACGTTGAAGTCGATGCTGTCTATGCATGGTGATCGATGATGTTGATGACTTTTTTTGTTCACTCCTTGCTATTAAACTGTCATCATTAAATGGCAGTTATAATAATTTCAGAAGAAAAAAACTAGAGGCAATGTAGATCTGTGATTGAAGAGCAGTTCAAGTTGCCAGTAACAGAATGAAGAGAGAAGTTTGAGAAGATGAATATCAGAAACAAACTGACTTAACCCTTGTTTTTTAATCTAATTTATAAGTCTTTAAACAAATTTCTTGTCTGTTTCATCTTGATCAATTGAGCTTATGCATGTCTATGAATTCCTAAGTTGAAAACAATTAGTTCCCCAGTCAAATTTAGCTTGAAAAATGAATTAATTTTCTTCCCCTTGTTTCTTTTCCCCCAGGTGATGACTAGGTACTCTGATTCTAATCATGGCTCTGTCGTACTGACCCAACTGCACTCGCTTCGGTCGGAAGGTCTTCTGACAGATGTCTCTTTGCAGGTCAATGCCGACCTATTCCCTTGCCATAGGAGCGTGCTGGCAGCATGCAGTCCTTACTTCAAGGCCATGTTTACTGGGGGGATGTCCGAAAGCCATCAGGAGACAGTGGCTCTCCAGGACGTTGAGTCATCTTCGCTGAGGCTACTCCTAGACTTCCTCTACACAGGAAACATCATCCTGGACGACCAGAACGTCCAAGATGTCTTCATTACTTCAAATTTGCTGCAGGTGGTCCCACTCATCCACTTCTGTGCAGAGTACTTGGAGAAATCTCTCAGCATCGCTAACTGTATCGGAATGTACTGCCTTGCCACCGTATACTCCTGCACAAGTTTGTTGGAAACATCCTGGGAGTACATTAATTACAACTTTATCCTTGTGAGTAAGCAGGAAGAGTTTCTGAATGCACCTGGCAACGTTGTTCAGAGCATTGCAAGCAGTCGTATGCTGAATGTCAGTTCTGAAGGAGATGTCTTTGAAGCTATGTTCCAGTGGTATGAGAAAGATCCTACTAGCAAGGTCTGTACAGCTCAGGAGATCCTTAAACATGTTAACATGGAGTCTCTTGATAGGACACAAGTTGCAAGGGCTAGGAAAGAAGGTTTAATGCCTTTGGCTTCGGAAGTGGGACCCACTACAGCAGACTCTAATCAAGGCTTTGGTAGCGGGTCACATGGTTTGGCTTCCCCGTCTTCTTTACAGAAAGCATCTGAACCTTGTTCAAGGTTGGGTATGAGTGCACAAGAGCTTATTTTAATGGCTGGCAGACATGGACGCCAAAATACAATATTCTGTGTTCATTTGCCCACCAGGAAGTGCTATTTCCTAGAATTGCCACCAATCTGTAGAACGTTTGGAGCCTTGGTGACAGTAGTGGACAATGAGGTCTATGCTATCACCAATGACTATCAAGACAAGAGCATGTTCCATTACAACCACATACGAAAGAAATGGATAGCAGTCGCCCAGCGTTTGCAAGGACGCACCGACTTCCAACTCCAGGTAGTCAACGGTAATATCTATATTTTGGGAGGACTTAACGACTGGGAAATCCTTAACAGTGTGGAATGCTATGATCCCTCTGCAGACGAGTGGAAGTTCATGACCCCTATGCCTCGCGATGTGATAGATTTTACCAGTGCGGTGTACCGTGATAGCATCTATGTTTTCTCCGGTAGCAGGACTATGAGCTACAATACCGTAACCGATCTGTGGACAGCGACCTTACCCGCGATGACTACCCCTCGGCTTCGGTCCGCGTGCGTGACTCACGGCAATGAGATATGGGTGATTGGTGGTTCCTCGGCCCAGTCCAGCACTGAAGTCCCATGCATACAGGTGGAGAAGTACCTCCCAGACGAAGGCAAGTGGGAGAACGGTGGATACCTCCCAAGCCTCATGAAGTTCTGCCTGGCAACGGTCTACCAGAATGAGCTCTACCTGTGCGCTGTCTGGTGTGGGGTGCATGAGATGGGGGTGATGGTACCTGTTCAACTCCATCCTCAGTTTGATCTCTACCTCTATAACAGCCAAGGAGCCACGTCCACATTTAATGACGTTGGTATTGATATTCCTTTGCAGGATGTTCTTTCTTGCAGCACTGCAAGGTTATTCACTGAGAACATTACACCCGTTGTGCAAAGATAAATTAATTACTTTATTTTGTTTTACCCAAGTTTTTTTAAAGGTATTATCTGTATTCTCTCTAATACCCTGTTATGTTTTTTATATTCCGATCTGAAATCATGTTTGATTACAAAATCGAACAAACAAGATTTTAGTCATGGGGGTAGTTTACAGGTATAATATTAGGGGGTACATGTATTAGTCCTGATATGGCTAGAGAAAAGGGATTTTCATGCACACCTGAATTAAGATTCTAGAATTGTTTATTTTTATATTATTAAAGTATTAATTGACATAGTTGAAGAAATTTGCTTTTCTCTGGATGTTAGTGCAACCTTGTGATTATTGTGAACGATACATGGGGGGGGGGGGGGTGTAGGCTATTTTGAAATACAGTACAAATGTTAGAATTACATTGTTGGTATCTCTTGTAGATGTACATGCTTTTTTGGGGGGGTATTTGTATGCTTGCAGTACCATCATATCCGAAGGCCTTTTCTAGAATTGTCTACAAATTACTATTGAGAAACCCATTGTGTTTGACGTGCTAGAGCAGTATTTTGTATGATCATTGCACAAAAAGTAGTGTTCCATTATTTTATAGGAACCGTTTTACTCATATTCAGAAATTTCCACAGTATGTTTAATTATGGCAGGACCATTATCATGACGGTAGACCCTAGATGTGTACAGTAGCAGCCTGGCATCGCGATGACATTGTACAGATAATTACATGGATTTTTTTTCTTAAAATTTACAATATTAAAAATATATACATTTACTGTACTCATTGTAATATAATTATCATCATTATCATCTTTTTAGTAATGTTTCCGGTAATTGTTTTGAAAAAGCAGTTCCAACAGATGTTATGAATCATAAGGTACCATAGCGCTTACAAATACAAATATATGAAAAGAGGACAAAAATGTACAGTACAGGAATGTATATCACATAGATCATTGGGGGAAAAGGCGAGTTTGAGGGATTTCTGGTTTCGTGTCATTTGTTCTTTACCTGTCTATCATTGCTAATAAGTATATTGCTTGATTGTCAAAAATCAAAATACACATTTGGTCAAAAATCTGTGTCCAAACTCTGTGAGCTGGAAAAGATTTGTTACATGTAAATGAAAAAAAGGGAATTGTCCACTGTCATCTCAAGCCAGGGAACTCTATGCCAATTTTTTTTTTTGGGGGGGGGGCTCTTTAATGACTTTCGGGGGCTCTTTTGGGCAATTCGGGGGCTAATTCGCCCCGAGCCCCCGTGTATTTTTTTCACCGTCTCAAGCACCTTTGTACATGCCTTGCTGGAACGTTTTGATCAGGCATCTTATGAATAATATAAAGTGGAAAATATAAATTCACTGTACAGTAGATACATCATATTTTTTTTTTAACGACTTTCTTCTAATTATATTTCATTTTGATTATTTACACAATGTATGCATATTGCATTTGATATGTTTTAAACATGTACATGCAAACTATTTCCATAACTGTATTAAATCATGGATCTTTTGAAATTTATTTGTTTTGTGGATATGTACATGTATGTATTTGAAGGTTAAAAGTTAAACAGACTTTGAGAATATCAGTCCAACTTTTGTTAACTCTTTGTTTGCTTTGTTCGCCGATTTGCACGGACGTAGGCGTGCCAACTTCGCATTTTTGCACAGATGTATACGAGTCAATTAGACATTCATAATACCGCTCGCAGTGTGTAGCCACGCGTTGCGTTTACTATTGTTTACATTGTATACATCGCACACTTTCCGGTAAACTGTTTTTCTTCATAGTGTTACATTCGAAATTACCGTGTATTTAGCGGTTTTCTTTGGATTTTTTTTACTGATGTTACGATGGCACCTGCTGGAAAACGTCAACGTGTGTTTAGTGTAGAGGAGGCTCGAGATCTTGTTACTATGGAAGCATGGAGCATGGACTCTGATTCCGACGAATCGAGCAGTGACGAAGACTCTAGTGATAAAAGTGTTCCCTGAGAGTAGACTGATAGAATAAGAATGAATAAAAATTAATGAAAGAGCTAGAGATGACAGCAAGAAAGAGAGTAGACTGATAGAATAAGAATGAATAAAAAAAATGAAAGAAGGAGATAGAGATGACAGCAAGAAAGAGAGTAGACAGTGATAGAATAAGAATGAATAAAAATAATGAAAGAAAGAGATAGAGATGACAGCAAGAAAGAGAGTAGACTGATAGAATAAGAATGAATAAAAATTAATGAAAGAGCTAGAGATGACAGCAAGAAAGAGAGTAGACAGTGATAGAATAAGAATGAATAAAACTAATGAAAGAAAGATGTATCCTGTCTTGCCGTCATCTTTATATCTTTCTTTTATTATCTTTATTCATTCTTATGCTATCAGTGTTTACTCTCTTTCTTGCCGTCATCTCTATCTTATTATTATTATCATTTTCCTATCTATATGTACCCTATGTCTTGCCGTCATCTGTATATCTTTCTCTTATTATCTTTATTCATTCTTATGCTATCAGTGTTTACTCTCTTTCTTGCCGTCATCTCTATCTTATTATTATTATTATTTTCCTATCAATATGTATCCTATGTCTTGCCGTCATCTCTATATATTTCTCTTATTATCTTTATTCATTCTTGTGCTATCAGTGTTTACTCTCTTTCTTTCCGTCATCTCTATCTTTTTATTATTATCATTTTCCTATCTATATGTACCCTATGTCTTGCCGTCATCTCTATATCTTTCTCTTATTATCTTTATTCATTCTTATGCTATCAGTGTTTACTCTCTTTCTTTCCGTCATCTCTATCTTATTATTATTATCATTTTCCTATCTATATGTACCCTATGTCTTGCCGTCATCTCTATATCTTTCTCTTATTATCTTTATTCATTCTTATGCTATCAGTGTTTACTCTCTTTCTTTCCGTCATCTCTATCTCATTATTATTGTTATTTTCGTATCAATATGTATCCTGTCTTGCCGTCATCTTTATCTCTTTCTCTTATAATCTTTATTCACAGTAAAGTCCTTTCATTTCATATCACTATTTCTCTCTCATAATGTCTCTCACGTCCGTTCTCCATATTTTATTCATTGCATACTCCACTCGTCAATCATTTCTGATAATAAGCTCTCTCACAATAAAGTAAATGGAAAACAATGCAATATAGTTTATATTTTAAGATTGATTCATTCTTTCTTTGTATATCTATGGCTGTGATAAATGTACTTGAAATCAATTTTATTGAGGGGTAAAGAAGGTGAGAGAACAGATGCGGTGAACATTCATAATGAGACATTTCAATAAGATGCTGATTATGTCATGTATATCACATATAATATATTATGCCTATACCATTTTTACATGCTCATACCAGTGGGCAAAATCAATAACATTCTCTTATTTCTTATTGACTTATCATGGCACAACAAAGAAAAACATCCCCACGACGTCCCTTTTCATGCCCCGCTAAACCGGACATTGACAATAACCTGGGGTAATAGGGATTTCAATGGGCAGATTAGCCCATTGTCAAGGGTGGCTGAGCGGGGTACTTTCAAGTCTCTCCCTATTGAACTTCTTTTCTTCAACAACCTAAATACTAACCTTCTGAATTGTTAGAATACTTGAGCAAGGTATGTAAAGAAAGGTAAGAAGTCCACCTTTCTAATAGATTCGATTTGAAGATGTCTTATCATTGCTAAATAAGAAATTCTAGAGGGATAAAAAACTGCCGTAAATAAGAAAAATTAAACATTATATAATTATGATTATTATAAAAATGATAATTCAAAATATAACAAATGACGGTTCATCGAAAAGCACGTTTTCCGGTCTACAACTTTGCTGCACAATATTTTTCATCATGATCATCCAGTGAAGAGTTATAGCCTCTTGATTCAGCAGAGTCAATAAAGATTCCCTCGAAATGTGTGACCCTAAAAGAATGTGGCACAGGGGGGTTTTTTAAGTGGCGCATAAAGAGTTAAGGGCAGTAATATCTCCTAAGAAAACATAAAAAATACAAAATTCAAGAGAAAATCTCAGTTTTTCAGAAAGATTCTATGTGTTTTCTATTAAACAATGAAATGTACATGTTTGTTTCTTTGTCTGCTTGTTTTTTTCAATTTGTTTGAATAATGATTCATCCCCTTAAACAGATTTCTTTGCTCTTCTGAACACCCAAGAGAGACCTCAATGAATATGAGACATGGACACAATTTTACATAAAAACTAATATGTTCCATTTAATTTTCTGTTACAAACAATTAATGATCATATGGGATAAGTCAAAGAAGAAAAATATTCTTCATGTACACACCTTTATCATTATGGAATTACTTAAAACTAAGGGATCATCTTAACTGAGATAGAGAAAGAGGGGGAAGAGACAGAGAGTTGTTGAAGAGGAGTGGTTTGAATCTTGGTCATCCATCATTTTATTTATATGAAGTTTTTAAACATTCAGTGTAACTTGTATTTGATATATACCTTGAGAATTTAAGATCTGTCAGAACCATAACTCATAATTACCTTTACATCTTTTTCCCATGTACATGTATTATGATCTTACACAATAAGTCCACAAGAAAAGTCACACACAAAAAGCACAAAGATAACATGCATGGCAAGACAAAGCACTTGGCACATCTTCAAAAATATGTATTGACCAACTAATACTGATTATTTAAGGCTATTCGTTGATTGATTTTCAATGTTTTACAAAATTACTTCATTTTACATCCATATCTTTAGGATCAATTAACAATGTCCAACAAATAACAGTACACTCCGCTAGCACACAATAAAAACATTAATGACAAAGGTTCATGTTTTGAACACATGTACATGCTATCACAATTTTACACAGAAATTACTACTTTGGAAATCCCAATTTTCAAGACCAATTATCAATGTCAAACAAATAACAGTAAACTCCTCTAGCACACACTAAAAACATAAATGACAACGGTACATGTTTTGAACACATGATATCATGATTTTACACAGAAATCACTCAATTGCTGTTCCTGACAGTGACTACCTTGGAAATCAATTCAAACAGTATGCATTAAGCATATCATGGGCTATGTTCATGAAACTTTTGACAAATTATCACTGAAATGCTACCAGTCTGGATTGATCTGAAAATATCTCTGTGTTGAAAACGCCATTGCAGGAGCTTTTTTTAAATTATTTGTGGAAGTTCAAAATTTAGGGTTGTTTCACTTTACCAGAAAATAAGGTTGTCAAATATACCCGGTAGAGATGATTTTACCCCAATCTGTTCAATAGGCAGCAAGAGCCATCATAAGAATTTGATTGTAAATAAGGGTAAAAACCTGTCTATTAAGAGTAAAAACCTGTCTATTAAGGTCATCCAAGGGAAACAGAACAAGTGGCCACTGCAAACAGGTGGCCTATGAAGAGAGAAGTCTACCAAGACAGGTTTGGCTGTACCAAGAATGGCACAAGCCTAATCAGTGACAACAACATATATTCAAAGCAAATTACAATATTCTATCAAGAACAAATGTGCAATATATACATGTACTGCATTACAAAAATACCATGTCTTGACTGGCAGTAAACTAGCATTACAGAGACTTCGGACATATGCATACATTTTCTTAATATATTCAGATGTTCATTGCAAGGAACAAATATCAAAGGAACACAAAGAACAGTTTGTACATGGAAAAAATATTTACACCTAAAAATATTGACTGCAACATAAAACAAACTTGATTGAATTCACAAAACACAAGCGATTATCAAGTACTGAGTCGCAGAAATCTTGAGTTGAGCTAGCTTAATTCATTTTCTTATAACATGTTTAAACTCATTCATACAAGTAACTAGAGGATCCGATTGTCAGACAATTCCATGAATTCCTTTTCAAGGGATGGTAATAAATGTTCCCTGATGATTGTACTCTTGTAAATAAATAAAACCAAATAAATGAAATGAAATAGATGAAATGAAGAAAACAAAATATACTGTTGATAATATATCTTCAGTCTTTAGTGTACAGTGTGAAGGCAAGAAATAATAAATACCAGTATTTGTTTACTTTGCTCAGCCTCACAATTTCCGTCAGAGTTGTTTGGAATGTTTATGTCTTCAAAAGTTAGATTTAAATTTATTTAAAAAAAGAATGGACAAATAAAGCACACATATATTACATGGAGCACTACATTCGACTTCTCATGATTTATGTAATCACTAGTTGCATAATGCTCAGCACATATCTAAGAAACCCATATCCAAACCATTTGAATGCGAGAGAATTGCCCATGTCCTACATAGAGCTTGGAGTTCCAATGCATTGACTATAAACAATGTTCTGTAACATTTTGTAAAATTATTCAGGATTTAAAAAGATGAATTGGATTGCATCAAATGAAATTGAGAAATGAAAAAGGATGAAATGAGGAAAATACTACACATCTCTAAAAATGACTCAGCCTACATTTATGTTAATTGATCAACGATCTTGCGAGTTTCAACAATGTGAAAATTCTTAATGTTTTCATCAAAATTGCTGACTGCTATTTATGTGAAATCAGATTGTACTACAGGGTACGCTCGATACAAATAACAACGAGCATGGATACAACAAGGTTCCGCTACAATGAGGAAATTCTCTCAGTTCATGAAGTTCTGTGAGTAAACATTATGTCACCAAAGCAATTGTCAGGGAGGTGTTTTTCAAAGACTAAGATCAACGTTAAGTTGGATTTAACTACGGTAGGGTGTTCATGCCACTGTTTTCTCTCACCATTATGATCTTTAGATAATATTTTTTCATTCAATAATGAATTATCAACAAAATTAAATTCTGTAGATTTGTGACCATGACTTGTGAGTCCCTTCAGAGACCAATGCCAGTAAATGATGAGAGCAAACAGTGGCATGAACGGCCTGCCATATTTAAGTCCAACTTAAAGCAGATCTTAGTCTTTGTGAAACACCCCCCTGGTCTTTGATTTCAGTTGTCAAAGTTCCCCATGATCTTGATGAGTGGGTGCATTGTCTGCTGTGGTGTCTTGATCATCATTACGAACCGGTAGAACAACAGACTCTCCTCCAAGGAAGATATGATTCAAAGCTTGGGCGGTCTTTACGATCCTGTTAAATGAAGAGAAAGATTGTGATAAAGATTATTCATTCATTCATTCACCCATTCATTCACCCATTCCTTCATTCATCCATCCCTTAATCCATTTATTTGTTCATTCATTCATCCATCATTCAATCATCCATCAATCCACTCATCCACTGATCGATCAATCCATCCATCCTTCCATCCATCTTTCCATCCATCCTTCCACCCACCCACCCAAACACCCACCCATCCATCCATCCATTCAATCACAGGTTTATCATCACGATGATGACATGATAAAACCCTTCAGTGCTTTTGTGCATTGAGCTCCACAGTCCTATTCTACTGGCACTGCAGCAACCACAGGGACATCGCATGAGGTTTATCTATGTCTAGGTAAATAGTGCTTATTCAGAACAGAATAATGCTGAAAAAATAATTTAACTCACGTTCTGTGAAATACTAGTTTCTTCTTTTCCCAAAATATTTGAGCCTTTTCAGCGATGCTTCTACTTGATTGCTCATTCCTCTCAAACTTGGTGCTGAGTCCCTCCAAGATACGTACTTTGACTGCATGTGACATATTCAATCCTATTAGAGAAAACGTGTGAGAGAGAGAGAGAGAGAGAGAGAGAGGTGTCAGAGGATTGTTAACAGTCAAAGAATAATTAGTGGACTTTATGTAACTCTCAAGAACTATAACAATTACCCACCTTAGCTGGAATTTCCTAACAAGTTTATCTTAAAGTATGATTTAAACCTCCATCAGTATGGTATATGCATGGCGTCATGTCTAATGAACAGTGCATGAATACACTATTCAATATCATATGCTTTGTTTTTATTGTCAACAGTGAACATCAACCCTGGTTTAGATAATGGCTTTCATTTACAAATCTTTTGTGAATTCAGGCCTTTATAAATGTACAGTAAAATCAGTTTTAGCAACCACCTGTAAAGAAAGACCACATTTTTTATTTTCTCTTGAATATGGTTTCTCATTGAAACCTGTACAGAAAAGACCACCTGCCTGTAAATACCACTTTTCATTTCTCCTCTTACTATGCAGGTTTCACTGTAGTCAGATTTCAAACCTTCACTAATGTTAGCAGTAGCGTACATTTTATGAATAATGACCATTAAATATAATAACACCAGAAATCAACGAGATCACCGTACCTTATAAAATGTTATGGTTTCCCATTGAAACCTGTACTAAAGGAACCTGTACATAAAGACCACTTTTCACCCTTTCTATGCAGGTTCTGCTGTAGTCAGATTTCAAACCTTCACTAATGTTAGCAGTAGCGTGCTTTTCATGAATACTGACCAATGAATATAATAACACCAGAAATCAAAGAGATCATCGTACCTTCAAAAATGTTATGGTTTCTCATTGAAACCTGAACTAAAGGAACCTGTACATAAAGACCACTTTTCACCCTTTCTATGCAGGTTTCACTGTAGTCAGATTTCAAACCTACTCTAATGTTACCAGTAGTGTGCTTCTTTATGAATAATGACCATTAAATATAAGAACACCAGAAATCAAAGAGATCATCCTACCTTCAAAAATCTTAGGATCGATGCTTGTGGGTTCGGCTGTATCACCTTCTTTGGCATCCGCTTGATGAGCGTTGAGGAACTCTGTGGCTTCCTGTATGATAGCTTGCTCAGTGGTATTGACAAACACGTACATGTAGCAAGACGGTGTGTCAGACACTGTGTGCACGTTGTGAAAGGCCCCTGCTGGCAACTGCAGCAAAAAGAATACAATTTTTTCTGCAAGTTAGTTTGGGGGATGCCTAAATCTCCAATTCTTTCAAATGAGTTTTCAAGAATACAAGAGTTAGGAGAGGGGAATCCCTTTTAAAAACGTGCTATGGCTTGGCAGAAATGTCACCACATGTTCTAGCCTGTTTTCAATTGGGGTCACACTAAGCAGTGGCAACAGGACTGATGTTTTCAAGCACTCACAACTAAGTGCCCCCCCCCCCATCCTCGCCCCATTCAAAGTTTTGAACTGGAAAATGATGTGGTAACTGTTTTCACTTCTCAGAGATAATTTCAGAGTTGCATCCCCCCCCCCCCCCCCTCTTTTAGGCAGGCCTATGTCAACACACTATCACAAAGACCTACAAATTTATGATCCAGACAAAAACACAAAACAAAAATGTGCCAATTATGCAAAATGAATGTCCAGCAGAGGCAGATCATCATCATCATCATCATCATCATCATCATCATCACCATCATCATCATCATCATCATCATCACCATCATTATCATCATCATCACCACCACCATCTTCTTCATCATCATCATCATCATCATCATTATAAGTCTCACCTGTATCCTGTCTCCAATTTCAAGAGTGATGTTTCGTTTTCTTTCAATCAACTCCACCATGATTTTACCACTCAGAACCTGGATGGTTGTGTTCCCAAGATCAATACTGATGTAGTTCTCAAGGTACATTCCTGATCAAAACAAAAACAACAATAATAATAAAAAATAACAGGTGTCTTATGTAGCACTCACGTCTGTCATGATGTTCCTAGCACTACTATATCATTACCTCAGTCAAAGTGGAGCCATGAAATAGCCTTGTACTACTACTACTACTACTACTACTACTACACTGCCATCACATCATCTCAACTACCACCATCATCTTCATCACCATCAACACCACCACCACCACCATCATCACCACCATCACCACCACCACCACAACTACCACCACCACCATCTCCACTACCAACACCACCACCATAACCACCATCACCATCACCAAGATCACCACCACCACCACTAACAACACCACCGCCGTCCCCACAACTAAACCTGTAATCATTTTTCAATTTCGCCATACCAGGAAAATCAGCCACAAAGGTGATATCCAGTTCGTCATCAAGCTGGTCTTCAATCTCATTGAGTTTAGTCCTCCAATCAGAGAGCTCCGTCAAGAGGGGCATCAACCAGGGCGTGGCACTAAAGGGGGACCACTCTGCCCTTATGAGATCCACTGTTGGGTTAAACATTCTATAGGGGAGAGAAAGGAGGGGGATAAATTAATTTCTAAGCCTACTTAATTTTTAACTAAATATCCTTGGTTGTCATATCAAAAAAAAAAAATTCTTCACTTTTATTCACTGACAATAATTGTCCTCCAAATCTTTTCTCTGGTCCTATGAATGATGATAAATGGTACTAGGGGCTTCCTGAAGTACCTATGTCTGTCTGAGTTTCATTTAGGGAGCATTAAAAAGGGCATGCCCATCAAATGGTGTTCAATAAATATTGCATCAAAATGAGATTTTTTAAAAGGAAGTAAACAAATAATAATATGGCAGGCATTCTTTATCCTTGCTTTCATCAAACACAACAAAAAAAAGTACATGGAGACTTAATATTACTCATTCTATGTCTGTAAGTTCTTTATAATTGTTTACCGTTGCTGGAAACGACCATTCATAGACTTCCAGACATCCATGTAAAGCTGAGGTTCAGATAGAACCATCTCCTCTAGATGATGCCCTATGCAGGTGGCATACTGCTTGGTCATGTCACTGTGGCTCGCCCATCGATTGCTCTCAGTCCAGTACTACACATTCACACAACATGAAAGGAAGGTTTAGAGACGGTTGAGTTCTATTAAGAGATTAAAGATGATTTTTAATCATTCTTTTTCATCATATGTGCAAAATAACATGCACTGTAAAGTAGCAATGTCACATAAAAATATTGCCATTGATATGCCCAGAGCTGCCAACCTTTGGAAGTACAAATTAGTACTCAGCACCTCTAAAATTAGTATTTTACCATCAAAATTAGTATTTTTCAACCGGCCTTCCTTTCACCTATTAAAAACATATTGATGTCGTAACGCAGCGCAAATGCATACCGTTAAGACCATATTTTTGCTGTAATTGGTTTTTTTAAAACTTACTCAATTGTACATGTTGGCCGGGCCAGTCAAATTTCAGAAAAATGTGATACTGGTACGTATGGTCAATTAAAATGTTTGCTCTTTCATTAAAATTTTAAAATTTTGAAATGGAAATGAAATGAAATGAAATGAAATGAAAAGAAAATTGTAAATCAAAGTTTTTGTTGGGGTTGTTGGGGCTTACTTGTACATGTTTCTATGCGATTTCGTGGTTTTTATGGGTATAAAAAGAATATTTAAAAAATATATACACACAAAAAAAAAAAAAAAAAAAAAAAAAAAAAAAAATTGTGTGTTTGTTTTTTGGTGAAAAATCATATTTTTAAAAGGCGATATCGTATTATCGTATTCCACTCTTATTATCGTATTAAATACGATTAAATCGTACTGGTTGGCACCTCTGTATGCCCATTCTACAGATCTACCTATGTACTGACATTTCCCCTAAAAAATGAACTTCGTATCTGGTGACAACTAGCCTTCTCCACCAGTCTTTCTATTTATATATTTTCATTTTTTTATTGACATCATCCCAAAGATGGATATTTCATTCTCATTCCTGGTGACAAGTAAGCTTCTGCACCAGCCTTTCTGTCAATATATCATTATTGTCATCATCATCTGTTTTTTCCCCACTCTTTGCCCCCTCTCAAAAAATGAAATGGAAGCTCTTATTACCAATCATGTGAAAGAATATGTTTTGACTAATACGTGATGATAACAATTTTGCAGGGAAACCGCCTACTTATTGATATATTTGGTAAATTACAATATACATCTTTCTATGTACAGTGCTTGTAACTTTACCAAGACTCGACCAAATTTCTTATCATTTTGATGATTCCAGAACCTTGCAGTACACACCAATACTTATATGCTAGATGATCAACCCTTTCTGTTCGATTCCAACTTTTCTTTCACAATGCAATCGCATGACCAGAACTGGTCTATACCTCTATTCTATTATCATACTTACATCTGGTGACAAGTAGCCTTCTGCACCAGTCTTTCCATCGATATACTTGACTTTGACATGTTGAGTATGCCATGAATGTATCATCATATCCCATGAGTAGCCATACAGACCATTGGTCCAGTTGTTGTACCCCTGTAGATGGATTTCATCAAATGGTAAAATGATTAAAAATAGCTACTCCTAAAATATGCTTGTTCTTGGTTTTAAAAAGCACTCATAAAAACTCAGCTTTTAGCAGCACTACAAAGATATAAGGCGATCTGACATACAAAAAATTCCTATTTAGCAATGTTATTCAACGATTATAAATGAATGGCATAAAAAGAACACTATAAACTCATGTTTTAGACAATAACAAACACAGTAAGATTTGTGATCTTTAGCAGTACATTACATTTTGCACTTTGATTGCTGAACAAGCAAACAGAAAATCAAAATATTTATATGAATCTAAAAACAATTCTGACAGGTACAGAGGACAGACTCCACCGCATACCAATTGTTTAAGGAGATATTTGTACAGCTTTGCTTAGCATAACAAAATAATAAAGTATTGATCGAGCCAAGTATTGCTAGTAGAATAAAAATGAAAAAATAATTGAAAAATATCTTTCTTTGCATGTTACCTTTGTAATGAAATGTGAATAAGGCAGGAAGAGTTGGATGGATACATAGAGTATGAATCCTATTACAGCAGTATGATGTCCCCAGGTTGCCGTGGTGTTCTTAGCCTTCTTACTGCTGAAAGCATCAGATTTCTGTTGAACAAAACGAAATCGAGTGATGAATAAAGAAAGATTCATTACAAAATGCAGTGGAAAGTGTATTTGATGAAAGTATCCAAACACTGCAGAGGGAAAACAGAGTCTGGCATGTGAAAATGGGTTTGCATAACAGTTTGCTCAACTATATTCTTCCTATTACTTTTCACCTTGTACAGCACTATAAGATGGTGACAGCCCAACGGGTTTGGAAATAGGGTTACGGTTTTATTGACTGTCGCATAATGCTTTGCAACAGATAAACCCTATACCAAGACGATGTCTGGTTGAAGATCTTTCTTGACAACACAAAGCACTTTTTTTCCTTCTTGATTCACACAGTAAAACTATTTTTGCCCTATGCATTTGATATGTTTATTTCAAAATTATTTGTAGTTGAGAATGTGAATTTAAAACTTTTTTTTCCTTTTCTTTGAGACTTGTTGAGACATATCACTCGGGAAGTATTCAGAACAAACAAACTGTTGAACTAAACTACATTTGAATCAGTACCTTTTTGTTTTCTTTGCTGGGAGCATAGATGCATTTTGCACTTGGCTGGACGGTATTAGAGAAGCTAACGGATGGGATGTTATTTTTCAGGCAGCTAGGGAGTATGCTGCAGAATGTTCTGGGCCAGGAAGCAGAAAAGAAGACGGTTGTGGATGCAAGCATGGCATAGGGAAACATTCCTGTAAGAATAAACGAAGAACAATAATACAAATACTGTATATGAGGAAATGACTTCAGTTATCATACCTGAACATTAATAATTTGAATATGCATGGCATTGCATCCATAAAAACAGTTTATGAACATTGACAAGCCACACGCCATAGATTGATAGTACAGTGAAGCCTGTCTAGAAAGACTACCCAAGGGAGACAAGGAAAGTGGTCTTTATAAGCAAGTGGCCTTTATGTACAGGTTTCTTTAGTACAATGAGAAATAGTAATGAGAAACCATTTCCAAGAGAAACAAAAAATGTGGTCTTTGTAGACAGGTGGTCACTAAAGCAGGTTTGACTGTACAAGCATAAGTCAGAATAATTACGAAAAATACAACGTAATGAAAGAACTTTTATGGAATAAAGTGAGAAATGAAAATGAGAGAATAATAGTGCAAGCTCAATCTAAGTTCCCCCTATTTTGCTGCCATCCATTTAAATAATTTGAACAGGTTGGAAAAGTATCTCTCTGTGAGGAAACATGCGAATCTCACATCATTTAGGCCCAAATTCACAAAGGAGGTTTAAATTTAACCTATGGTTTAAACCTTAATTTACATTTAACCCATGGTTTAAAATTAGCGCAAAATAAGCGCAACACAGTCAAGAGGTCCAATATTAGACGCGCGCAAGGTAAGGTACGCTTATTTTGCGTTAATTTTTAAACCATGGGTTATGTAAATTAAGGTTTAAACCATGGGTTAAATGTAAACCTCCTTTGTGAATTTGGGCCTGAGTTTCTAACTAATATATGGTAGATACTGACCTATGCTGAAGATTTGAGAGTTCATAATGTGGAAGGAAGAGCAGAAGAAAGTTCCAAACAGACGAGTAGAATCAAAGAAGAGCAGGAAGCCAGCTGAAAGATCCAGGAACAGACCGCCTAGGTGAACCATAAAGTAATCAATCTGTTCATCCGTCAGCAATAACCTGTCAAAATATTAAAAAAAGTTAAGGACAAATCATTAAATACATAAAAACATGATGGGCCAGGACCTCTAAAACTTGTGCTTGTTTGGCCCCTATCTAGGTTAAAATAACATTAAATCACATTGCAACAGAAATAAAACTTGCAAGGTAATTTATATATTTAAAAAAAAAGACATAACAAATGAACATATAATTAATCGTCATACACATACTTATTTGACATGGACTTTATTTATGGCATAGACATTATTGGCAAGGATAAAATACATGTATACATAAAATACATCTATTAAGTTTTCAGAATGTGTTCATTGCCCCCTCCCCTATGAAGCCGAGGCTGTTTTTATCACTTTATTTTTCACAATGCACACCACCCCCCCCCCCCTCCCACATCCTGTATCCTGTAATTCCTTTTTTTATATACCTATAATGCAATTCCTTATTTTGATCATCATGGATATACACCATTTTCATTACATGCCTGACATACCTGAAAGGTTCAAATATCCAATGCTTTGACAAATATTCCATGGAGTAGCCTCCAATCCAGTCAGCATCCAATTTCTTTAGACCAGCGTAGAAATACACAACAAAGATCTAGGTTGTATACAAGTGGAAAGATGAGAAAGTAAGAATCATCAGAATATGGAAAAACAGTTATGATCAAAATACTTACAACAAGAATACATATCACTGAGGTATTCAACACTCATTGTGGTTGATACATATAATTACAATACATTAGAGCCACTGCTAACGACAGACAATGGTGTCTGAAGTAGCAAATTGCTGTAATGCTGGCGATACTAATTACTATTCCAATTTCATGGCACCTTCTGCTATGGATTCTTTAGGGTAATAATGTGATGCCACAACAAGTCAGAGTTGTATCTACTTGAACGTATGTGATTCTTTCAAGGAGATAATACTGAATTTCATTTACTAGACAAAGCTATCATCTTTAATAGTGTTTAGTGATTTATTCTTTACCTGGAGGCGAATGATAGCAATATTCCACAGAGGAACATTGGCATTTCTAATCTTGGGATTCAGCCATCCATCCACAGACCTGTGAAAGTCGAAAGAACACAAAAACATTTCACAAGTGCATCATTTGTTCATCAAGCCATGCGATCATTAAAAAAGATGGAATGATACACAGTATCCAGCTCTATATTTGCACTAAAGTAACACACTCTTTTCAAAGTACACTGTACAGGAAAGCTTTGATGCACTTTGCAAACACTAGTTACTAATATGGAGGGTAAAGCTAAAACAAGCTCTCAAGTCACCATGAACAATTTTTGTTTACGAAGCATGGATGGAATTAGTAAACCAGTACCGGTATACTCTATTACTCTGTACAGTATGTATCAAATGTCGGATAAACTGGTATGATACTAAACATGATTAAAAAAACTACATGAAATGTATTCCACTAAGGTATATGACACAAAATGCCTAGAAAAATGGAACTTAATCAACAGAGAACATTTTTAGTTCGTAATTTGTTTAGTAACCAATCCCCTTAAACTCACCAGAAGCGGTTCCCGTCCATAAATATGAGTTGTAAACTGATGAGACCATAAAGGTAGGAATGATTATTCCAAGTTGTCTTGTCCAAGAAGAAGATATACCAGTATGGGATACAGAAGAGAAGGCAGCTGAGGCGATAAAAAGCTCCCAGAAATATACCAACTGCACCTGTTTGTCAAAAATAAATGATAATGTAGTTTGAAATTAACAAAACACTGAATGATATGTTTATCCTTAGAAGTTTATACCCCCTCCCCCTCCCAAGATTTCTTACATGAAAAAATACAATAAATAAAATGATAATAAGGAATTAGATACACATTCATTAAGTTTATATTTTTCCACATTTTTTTCTCTCTCTACTTAGTATCATTCAATTCAATTTCTAATCTTCGTTAATTTAATCCTAGTTTCATCACCTTGTTCTTTTACTGAATATCCTCCCGTCATTTTTCCTTTTCCTCACCTCTTAATGCTTCTCACCTTTCCTCTTTCTTCTCTCTTGTGTTCTTCTATGTTTCTTGTTTCTTTCTCCACTTCTCTTCTCTGATAACAAGTATACCCAAAAAATATAATTTGATATGTCCTAACTACCAAGAAACGTAAATCACTATCATTACTACTCCTGATCATTACCTAAATACATAACCAAGTAAACCAGATACATCCAATCTACGGGTAGCGGTGTGAGGCCATTAAAGAGCGGAAAGCGGCATTCATTAGCATCTCCCCAGCGATAGTCGGCATACGCCATCCCTCGTTCCTGAGGGATGTCTATAATCATAATGAAGCCTAAAGGAGATAAAAAAAGAATTGTTATCAAGCAAAGGTATTTTGATGTACAGGTAGTGTGACCAGTAAAAGTAATTTAAGTAAATATTAAAAAGCAGTTTTCACAATATGGGTGTCTTACTTTTCAATCCTGAAATAGGACATCAAAAATTAATATAAATATAGGTAAAGCTGACTAATGAACTTTAAAATTTGAATGTTTTCATAACATGAAGAATTTGTTTCATAATTGTACAGGCAATTGTCAGCTGTAGTCATGTATTTTTCTTTACTTATCTTATAAGTACTGCTGTTTTAGGTTTAATTAACTCCCTTACTTGAAGTGACAAAATGTTCTCTAAAGTCCTTTCTAAGAACCAAATGAAACATAACATTTTCAGCTTTATAAATTTAAGTAAAACTATTAATCTGAAACTTATTTCAGTGTCCAAAAAAAAAGGAGGAAATAAGAAGAAGAAAAAAGAAGACAAAATAAGAAAGAAAGAAAGAAAGGTAGAAAGACAAAAGCATTGTTAGTACTTCCAAGACAGGTAGGCAAGTGTTCAGTATCTGTCCAGACAGAACTGATAATATCTCACCAAACAGCATTCTCCATACTCCCATGGAGGCAGGGTCCCTTGGAGAATTTATGAGCTTCACCAGGGAGCTCCAGGAACTAACATCCGAGAAATCAAATCCCAGAACGGTCTTCATTCTACTGGTAGTCCCCCTCTGGGGTGATGTAGAAACAGTTTGTCTAGGCACAGGAGCATCGCCAGAGGCTGAGGGGGTCCTGCTGCTATCTGGAATATCAGATGCTCCCTTCCCAGGCTTGGCTATTCTTCTTTTAGTAGGCATGCTGTAGAAAATAAATAAAATTCATTGTAGACCTAGTTCAACAAATTCTTCAACATTTTGTTTTTTCAATTTAAAATCAACATTTTTTCGCTTTGCACTAAAATTAAAGTAAAAATTTTTTTTTTTTTTACCAGGTTGATAGTTTTGTGATTGATTTTTTTTTTTAAGTATCCTTTCCAAAATCATTGAGTTGAATTGATTGTATTTTACTGCTATTAAATTAATTAAGGTGTCATCAATTGTCACTAAACTGAAAACTCTAGATTGAGAAGTCTAGTAGACTCTAGATCTAGATCCATTTTTTTAGCAGTTCAATATCCATTCTTAGCAAAGGAATTTTAGCCCAATTTTTTACTAATTTTAATCATAATCATATATTCCATTTTCCACCTGAATTTGGATCACATCCGAAATCAGGAAACCCGTTTAGGGCTGCAATGTCGACGTCGTCGCTCAGTACCCTCTTTACGCTATAGCTCTCCGGATAGCTCTGGACCTCAAACTGAAGCCATCAGTCCAAAATTTTGCAAACTTCTTGTATGGTTTATGGTATTACGCGCATGCACAATACCATAAACTATACGAAAAGTTGGCATAATGTTGGACTGATAGCTTCAGTTGGAGTTGCAAAGCTATAGCGTAGTGACGCTAATAATGGATATGAAACTGCTAAAAAAATTGATACAGAACTACACTCACACCGATCTATTGTTGTGTTGATTTTTAGAGATTTCTGGTGATTTTTTTACATTGGCACTGAACTGAATGTTTTGAAATTTTGAGAATCAATACAGGGCCAGGGACCCAGGGTGTTTTTTTTTTAAATAAAATCCTACACACAAGTACTATAATAATGTTTCTATGATGAGTGGTCACGACTATATCCCACCGGCTTCGTCGGCGTGCGAGAGGCGGCCGACCCAGGCTGTTGCCAGTGCCAGGTACCTGTCTGGCGACGCGCTGCGCGCTATGCAACTGCCGAACTGCTGCGTTTAATGCTAACTTACACGAATGTCTATGTATGGTGCATCCTGAAATTCACCCTCAACAAATAACATCAATAAAAACAAACGTAACAAACAATAGAATGCAGAGATGTATATAAAACTATACAAAAAGTCAAAACTTGTTTTAAAGTAATTATATTTGATATCTCTGAGATAAAAAACAGAGTTTACGAACCTTTTTAACTCTAAAAATTCAACAATATGCTCTGCTTGACACTTCTGCTACAATACTTGATACAATGCAACCTGAAATTTGATTGGCTTACGGCAAAGTATCATCGCAAAAGTTTGAAAGAACACGGCACGTGGTTGGTCCATCATGTGAGAGCGAGTTTCAAGTGTAAGACTCTCGACTCTCGAGTACGTCTTGATCTTGTCATCTCTTCATCGTTGGTTTTTGGCAGAATTCCAGTTCAAACAGCCAGTACACTTGGTAAGACGGTTTAAATGAAGTTGTAAACAAAATTGTTGATGACCTAACATATTGAAGTAATAACGTGGTTGTGATTTGAATCAGTGCAGCTGCAGCTAAAGACAAGTGTCGAGCTTTTTCTACAGCGAATTGAATGAGTGACACTGACAGAATTATTGTGGTTGTGGAGTGGACAATATCTGGGAGTTTTTGACAGTCGTCAGTCATTGTCAGTTTAAGTTCTTTTATATTCAACTTGTTCATTACATCTCAGAAGTGTAAGTATTTGTGTGCATGGTAATCATCTTCAAATAACAGAATAGAATCATATTATTTAGTGAGGATTTGATGACATTTTGATCATTTGATGATTTGTTTCTCTGTCAATTATCAAAAAAGTTTCAAAGACAAAGGTATTTCAAATTTTATGCGATTGATTGACTTAAGTCAAGAAGTCTTGCCCTTACTAGACTCGATTTATTGCAGTATTTTAAACCTGAATGTACACCATGTATATAAACGAATGTCAACATCTGCAATTTTAATAATTTATGTGACATTTCTCCACTCATTAAAATTTATAAAAATCACTGACAGTGATACTTTATTTTGATAAGTGGCTGTGAAACCCTGCCTTAAAAATTCATTTTGCTTGTGTAAAGCAGAGATAAAGCTGGAGTCTGTTACTGGATGGAAGAACAGGTGTCACTCATTTATTTTTATTTTATTTTGCAGGGCCCCGTTCCTAGAAACCTATAAGTCTAACTTCTTGACTATCCCATTGAAACGTGTGTTATAGAACTAACACGCGTTTCAATGGGATAGTCAAGCAGTTAGACTTATGACGGTTTGTAGGAACAGGCCCCTGGGGGGTAAATAAAAATGGTAGGTCTATTGCTTATTTATTTCATTTTTTATGTGTTGTATTTTAGTAATGAGTAAATTAAGTAAATAACTGTTGAAACTTTTATTCTAGGACAGGAGAGAGTGAATGAAATTGAATTTGCAATTTGATGTACTGTTTTTATAGTACGAATCAATTCAAAAACTGTTATTGAGAGTTCAAATAAACATGAGAATTTGGCATAGCTATGATGATAGAGATAGGGGATTTAGATTTGTACTTTATTCATATAAAAGATACCATACAATTCATGTTTGTATTACTTATCCATACAGTTAGAAGACCGGTAAACAAAATGGCGGCAACTGGAGGGTTGACAGAGGAACAGAAACGAAGGATAGATGAGAACAAAAGGAAAGCGTTGGAAAAACGGGCTCAAAGGGCAAATCAACAAGGAACGGCTTTCTCACCCAAACCAGCAACAGCGAGCAACAAGTTGTGGCGACCATCATGCGTAACATCAAAACCAGGCAACTTTGGACAATCATCAACAAGTGCAACAGCAAATAGTGCTTGCATCCAATCTGGTGCAATGAGTATTCCAAAGAGCCCACCAGCATATCAACAGAAACAACCCCTACAACCCTACCAGGTGCAACAACCAGTGGCTGCCACAGGGGCAACTCAAAAGACAATAACTCAGTTTTACAGCAATAGCAGTAACAGTAGCAGACCAGGCGGTGTCTCCAAACAGTCACCACAAAGACAAAACAATAACATTCTGTGGAGCAAGGGTGGTGGTAGTGGTGCGAGTAGAGGTGGTGGTCGTGGTAGTGGTAGTACTCAGAGCTGGGGATCAAACAATGTGTTGAAACCAGGAGGTAAGTTATATCCATGATTCTGATCATCATCAAACACTACTGAAATCTCATTTTCCCTGGCCTCACAGATCAAGTGCAAATGCGAAATTGATAAACCAAAGTGAATTAAAAGTAAACAGATGGCTTCGGACAGAATGGTGACCTGTCATAGGCATGCAAATAATATAAAAGGAATATAAAGAAAATAAATTTGCCAAAATTGTTTAGATTTAGTTCTGCTACAGCGGATACGATATTCATCCCTATGCCAACTTGTTAAAAATTAAAGAGCAGTGTCAGCAAAATATAGTCAAACCCGTCATCAAATCATACTTCAAATCTTGAGCTGAAACGCATCAATAGCCTACAGGAAAACCAATTGATGAAGACTATCTATTGGAAAATTATGACACCATCTACTGAAAATCAGCTCCAGGGGTATTGTTTCCACAGTAAGATACCTGACAGGCTCTCAGCAGATGACAAATTAAATACATTTTAAAATTTCCTGAATTAAATGCCTTCTTTTTCATCTGGTATCTATAACAGGTTCTTTATCGAATGGCGTAAGTATCACAGGACACTGTATCTTGGTTTCCAGATCTCGATTTGTGGCGGACGTGGGATATCATGCCAAGCTGATTGAGATCTTCAAATCTATACCAAGTAAAAGTTATGGTGAGTATGACAGCGGGTTGTGTCTGGACTTGGTCGTGTACAACAAAAATAAAGCCTCCTCTTTTGCATTTAAATTTAATGAAAAATATTGATTAGATAGCTCTAATCATCATGAACATTAGTCCGTTATGATATTGTCCAGCATAAGTCTTCAAAGTTTTATGAAATATTGCTTATAAACTTCTTCAAATTACTGTTTGAAATCATAACAAATAGTTTTACAACTTGTGTAATGACATGACATTGAGAAATGAAAAGTCCTATGTTTGAAGATAGAGTCAAGGACTTGGTCATGCAAGAGAGATAGGAAAGGAACTATCTGTAGAAGTCATTTGGAATAATAGTAGTCCATAAAAACTTTTGTGAATACATAGTAAGGATTTAGAATCGTGATTATATCAAAGTGACAAAGTCTTGCTGAAAGTCACATTCTATTTAACTCTCATTGAATATTGCAAATTTAGTGTAAAAGGTGCCAAGATTGCTTTTTCATTTAATCAGAGTTTGACACTTGCAGGTGCCTGGGACACAGGGTCACTCAAATAAAATTGTAAGTCCACAATGTTTACACAGGGCTCATGCATTCTCTAAACAGTTCAATCCGTAACCTCTTCGTGGGTCGTGGGTTCGAACCCCGGCCGCGTCAGACCAAAAGACGTTAAAAGATGGGAGTTGCTGCTACCTTGTTTGGCGTTCAACAATAAGGGATAGAGCAACGTCGATCTGGTGCTGCTTAGTGGCTGCCGGGCTCACGATCAATTGGACATAAAGAATTTCCGTTTCAGTTTAATAAAATTTGGAGTGGACTTCAAAAGATTATTATATTATTATTATTCTAAAAAGTTAGTATGGAGCCCTGATTGAATTATTAAATTTTCTGTTCCTGTCTTTTTTTTTAAATCTCTATTTTTATTCTTTAATCACAGATGTCAATACAAAGAAGTGGTCCTTTTCATTAAGCCACTACGATGAACTCGGTAAGTAATTAATGATTTATTCATTATCTTGAACAGAGGAAATCCCCTCTAAGGTTTAAAAGCCGGAGGTGGACTTGTGTATCATTTTGAGTAGCATTTACTAAAATGTTTTTTGGCTTACCAGTTTGCATTTTCATATTCTAATGTTATATAAAGTATTGACCACTTCTCTTATTTTCTTTTTTTTCCCCCTGTGTTTCGCAAGTTTACCCAAATAGTCACTTTTGAGACTACACCATGTTACTTTTTTTTTGGGGGGGGTTATTTCTATTTCCCTTGCTCATAGCAAAGATGTCAGTTTTCATGTTTGATTCCATTCCATTTCAGGCTTTTTCAGGCTTCTTGTTGCACAGCATGTAAACAAAAACTGAGGCTCTTTTCATAGGGTAAAACCACCCTAAATCCCTGATTTTGGACTGATTTCGTACCATATCTCCTCATGTGCAAAATAATACCTTTAAAGGTACCATGTCCCATTTGCAGGCCCCAAAAATGAAAAGGTTAAATTCCAACGACATTTGAAAGATAATACTAATTTAGAACTTTCCTAAAAAAAGGGCGGCTTGTAAATGTCTGTAAGTGGGAAAATAACGACTATTAGTTGTCAAATTGACTTAAGAGCTATAGAGCCAGTAAGTAATAGTCTGATTTTCAGACCATTGTACCGAATGGTCATATGTTTTATGCTGCGCAAAGATTCAATCAGTTTAATTTTGGCCATTACAAGAAGTGGGTAGTTGATGTAGACAAATGCTCATGTACCCTTTACAGCTCATTTTTATGTATGTTAATTACCAATGAAGAAAAAAGCCAGTCAGTCACTCAATAGTGTCTGGCAGTGAAGTCTAGCAAGTAAACAGGTTTCCTTGCATAATTTTCAATATTAAATTTAAATTTCACAGGACATACATGACATATTCATAATTCCTGCAAAGTTCTACAGAATTTGATGTTGGCTGCAAAAGGGACATAGTATCTTTAATAGCTATTTCCTATTCGTTCGTTTCATCCTCTATACAGTGAAGGCAGTTCAAGTATTGAAGAGTGAAGTTGTACTGAAACCGCTACCCAACTCAGTATGCTTGGCGTTCCGTAGCCAGCGGAGTGGAAAGCACACTACCCTAGAGGTACCTGAAGCTGACCTGAGCGGGGTCGATACCAAGCTTGCACAAGGTCTAATGCCGTTCCAGAAGAAAGGGGTTGAGTAAGTAAATGAATTAAACAGCAAACTCCACGGGGGTGGGGAATGGAGCAGCGGGAGAGGGAAACACTGTCCGATTCAGTATGCTTAACATACTAGCCAGTAAGTACCTTAAGCAGACCTTAGTTGGGTTGAGACAAAGCTTGCCCAAGGACTCGTTTGTTTACCTGATGTCATTTTGGGTTTTGAGGGGTTGTGATGATTAGGGTTCAGGTAAGAACAGAGAAAATACAAACAAAATAATCATCAGCCTATTTGAATTTAGCGACGTTACAAAATGACTTGGCTTTCTACTAGACAGTTAAAATTTTAAGCTCACCTTAGCCCTTTTGTTTGTGAGAAACCATGCATATAACTTTGCTGTCTGCAAAAACAGCCTTATTTTCAAGATACATATAGTCAACTGGCTAATCACTCAAGAAATGATCTCCAAAAGCAAATTTGGGAAAATAGTAATAAATAAATAAATAATTAATTTTAAAAACACTTACATTTGCTACAATTTAAGTAGAAATATTTGGTCATTCAAAGTGATCTTGAACTATCTGTGATACAATTTCTAAATGATGGCAAAATCTGCAGTCTTCATTCTCAGTAGTTTATACACATATCTTCTTTTCTTTACCCAGCTTTGCAATCCATCGAGGCGGGAGAGCCCTGATAGCAGATGACATGGGATTGGGAAAGACAATACAAGCCATCTGTGTAGCATGCTATTACAGAACAGAATGGCCCATCCTGGTTGTTAGTCCTTCATCAATGCGCTTCTCATGGGCAGAGGTAGGCATCTATAGGCGATTTAATATGGATGGGGGCATAACCAGCCCATGACCCCTCCCCCTCTCCTTCCCTTCATACTCTCAGTACACAAATTAAATTATGCCTTCCTATAGTGTTTTTATGCCCTAGCTTCCACCCCAACCCTCCACTTTAAACTTTGAGACCAAAACACTTTGGCAGAAGTTACCCAGAAAATGCTGGGAGGGAGGGAATTGTTGTTTTTTTTTCTTTTCTTTTCTTTTCTTTTCTTTACTTGTAAGAATTTTTTTCAGGGTTTTGCCCCCTGTTTTGTCAAAAGTTAAGATCCACTCCTCGAGATAGCTGATGAAAGGTGGGGGTTAAAGAGAAGTTACATGTATATCATAATGTGATATGCATTATACAAGAAGATATCATTACCAAAATTATTATATAATTTCTTTTGTCTCAGTCATTCTTGAAGTGGATTCCATCCCTGGAGGAGTATGAGGTCAACGTGGTGACCTCCGGAAGGGAAAGTGTTTCCTGTGGGCTGGTCAACGTCATCAGCTATGACCTCATGGCCAGGAAAACCAAAGCTTTGCAGGCTTCAGGTTTCAAGGTCATCATTATGGTAGGTAATAACAATAGTAATCTTTTCTTTTGTGCCAACTAATACATAGACAACTGTGTAATGAGAAGATATGTTTTGATTTTTATGACAAAACGTATAACAGCATTCAACAATAAGTTAACTTTAAAAGACCATTAATGAGGTTGACCCAAACATAGTGAGAAAGGAAAAAAAATGTAATCATATATGATTGATAGATATTAGGAAAACTGTATAATACACACACATAGCAATCGAAGCAATGCTGAAGGCCAGACCTGAAATCAGCATTATTGATGCAATGTATTTTGGGAACTCGGAAACATAAAATTATGGACGATTGTTACGAGAGTTAGGACTTTTGTTCAGTCTAACATGGCAGCATCTTGCATCTTGAAGCAGTTGACATTGTTTTCAATATTACATTGATGTAACTTACAAGAAAGTTCTTGCTAGCCTGTGGTACCCAGTACTTGAAGTGTTCATTCTGCAGATGTGCAGTTACATTGGCATGGTGAATGCATTTGTCATATTGATAATGAACCTTTAAATGCTAAAAGGAATTCATTGGTGAATATGAACAGACGTGATATGTTAATCTTTTCTTTCATTTTCCCCTTTTTGTCCAGGATGAGTCTCATTTTCTGAAGAGCTACAAGACAGCAAGAACCAAGGCAGCACTACCTTTGTTAAAGGTTAGTTCTTTCAAGGTTATTTCATTTCAAATTGCGAACAATTTGCCAATAGGTAAACCACAAACAGAAGTTTCGTGGTCTATTGTACTAGTCCCTGGACTGTGAATCAAATATTGTGGTTCAAATCCCAAACATTGAACTTATCTTCTTTGGCAAGACATTAATCTAAATTTGCCACTCTCAAGTCTCAACCCACGCATATTAATTGGGTACCTGATAAGAAGTAAACCCCTGAATACATTCAGTGTCTGAGGGCAGCTTTACTAAAGCTCGGGTAACAGTAGAACTAGTAAGGTACCTTGAGCGCCCTTTAGAATTGGTAAATGTATTTTGGCAAAGCTGTCATTAATGTTTTATTTATTATAATTGTACAGTGTAACCTGTCTATAAAGACCACCCAGGGGAGACAAGAAAAGTGGTCTTTACGGGCAGGTGGTCTTTAAATAAAAGTTCCTTTAGTACATGTTTCAATGAGAAACCATTTTCAAGGGAAACAAAAAAGGTGGTCTTAGTAGACACATGGTCTTTCTATACAGGTGGTCACTAAAGCAGGTTTGACTGTAATAATTTCACTGTCTGGAGAACTGCCATTTTTCTTGAATTTTATTTTTTCTTTTGTCTCTACTCATGCAGGCAGCCTCCAGAGTGATTCTTCTCTCTGGTACACCAGCCCTCTCAAGACCTTCAGAACTCTTCCAGCAGATCAGCGTCGTCAACCCAAGACTCTTCCCGTCGTTCCATGATTTCTCTCTTCGATACTGCGACGCCAAACAGGTATGACCAGCTCTCATCCAAACTATTACCTTGATTTCTTCATAAGTTTCAGAGATGCTTAGGGTACATAGGGTGTTGGAAAAACTTTTGCTTCCTATTTTGCTGAAATAGCCCCATCCCCCCCCCAAAAAAAAAAAAAAGATAAATAAATGCATTCCTAACATTTTGATGTATTGGGAATTATTCCTGCTAATGCAAAGTATTAGACTTTCATTTAAAACTTTCATATTAAACTTTCGTAAGACCATTTATAACAATATGCAGCAAATATTCTTAAAAGGTCTAGGATTTCAATTTTTGTTTTTTTCAAGGCAGCATCTTTTTCCGCTGCCATTACTCCCATGAATCTGGTAGTGGGCAGTCTAAGGGAATCCATAGTTTATTTGTAAAATACTGAACAAGCTGTACTGTAATAAACAGGCTTATACTTTTTAAACGACGCTTGTTCTTGACAATCAGAAAGCTTGCCTGAGGTTTGCCTGACATATATGTAGCAACAAGTATTATATGCAAACTGGATTCCAAGTAAGGTAGTTCAGTCATGAACAACCGGTTAATAGAATAACTCATCACTAGATTGCCGGGAAAGAAACATCCACACATTTGAATATGTTAGTAAACTGGTCTATTTGTATTAGAAATTCTAGCTTTGAACGTAAAATTAGAAAATGGTGAACAAGCCGCAATTACATGTAAATCTTCAATTTTATTGATCAATATTTAATGAACTAGTTTCTACACACGGTGCACATCAGGATTGATTTTTTTTTCATTTTAATTTGAAGACTCAATTTGGATGGGACTACTCTGGCTCATCAAACCTGAATGAGCTTCATCTACTCCTAGAAGAGAAAGTGATGATCAGGAGACTCAAGAAAGATGTCCTTGGACAATTACCATCCAAAGTTAGACAAGTGGTAAGTGTGTACCCTTTCAGTCTGTTACATGCCTGTATTCCCTGATCATTTAATCTCTCTCAATGTATCACTCACACCTGTCTTGTATATCATCCACCCTCCATTGCCCCTCCCCCTCTCTTCTTCCTTCCTTTCTTCCTTCCTTCCCATCTCTCTCTTTTTCTTTCTTCACATCCTTCTTTTCTGCCTCTGCCTCATTCCCTCCTCTCCCATGTTCATCTAACTACGTCCTTCTTTCTCCTTTTCTCTTCTCTTCCACTCATCATCCTTCACTCTCCCTCTTTATCCTCCCCTCTCTCTACTTTCCTTCCTCTCTCCCACCTCTTTATATCTCTCTCCCATTTTCATGCTGTCATTCCTTCCTCACTTTCTCTTTTTCTCCCTCCCTCTCTCCCTTCACGGTGTTGATTCAATGGGTGGTATTCCGGTAGCGCGTACTAAGTTAGCGCGTACTTAGTTAGTTCATACTTCTATGGAGTGCCTGTTGCAAACTAATTTACCCTGTAAAGATTATTTTAATCCTTCAATGAAAAGTGTTCAAAAAATTAATTTTGCAATTAAATGGGAAGAAAAACATAATATGAGTATGAACTGAATTTCAAAAAAGTTTTTGGTAGATTATCTTTGTCATGAATATTGAAGGAGGAAGATGAAACCTAGCATTCCATAGAAGTGTGAACTAAAATTCTTGTTTAGTCTGGACTTAGTCCCGGCTTAACTTATGAGAATACCACCCAATGACTCTTGATTTTTCAATCAAACAGAAAACAGAATTATTGTTTCATTGCAATAATATCTGTTTGTAGGTATTAATTGATCCCATTAAAAGTCAATATTGTTTCATTCCATTTTAATCTGCTTACAGGTTATAATGGATCCGAGCTCTGTAAAGACAGGTAACCAGTCACTCAAATGTGCGGCAAAGGATATGGAGAAGAAGAAATCTGATACACAGGGAACATTACTCAAGTATTTCAGTGAAACAGGACTGGCCAAGATACCTGCATTGAAGTAAGATTATAAACCAGAAATGCGTTACCTCATCATTTTTGTGTAAAGCGTTAATGCCCTTCTCTCAGCAGATACCTTGTTCTAAATTCCGTGAATGGTTCTTCAAAACTTTTGAAGTCTTACTTCTTGTACCCATTTCTTTTCTGTGCAGGGAGTATGTGATTGACTTGGCAGAGTGCGGACATAAGTTCCTTGTCTTTGCTCATCATCAGAAGGTCATGGATGCGCTGGCTGAAGCACTTCTCAAAAAGGTAAGATTCATTGGCTATGAACCTTGAGCCCTGTGATCACAAGTACAACTCTTGAGGAAAAATCATGCATTCATATTGAATATTGCATGTAGCTTTAATACCTGTAACTGTTCCTTCTATGATGATGATGATGATGATGATTATGATGATTATGATGATTATGATGATGATGATGATGATGATGATGATGTTGATGTTGATGATGATGATGATGATGATGATGATGATGATGATGATGATGATGATGTTGATGATGATAATGATGAAGATAAAGCTGGTCATAATGATGATAATAATGCTGATGGTGATAACAATCATGGTGGTGATGATGATGATGGTGATAATGATGATGATGATGATGATGATGATGATAGGATGATGATGATGATTTTCTTTTGTATGAGGCAGCAGAAAATGTTATAATATCTTCATTGCTCTTTTTTCCTGAACAGAAAATCAAGATCATCCGGATAGATGGCAACACTTCATCTTACATGCGTAATGAGCTGGTAGAGAAGTTCCAGACCAATGATTCCTACCAGGTAGCAGTCCTCTCCATCACGGCTTGTAACGCAGGGATCACCCTCACTGCAGCATCCACTGTTCTCTTCGCGGAACTCTTCTGGAATCCCGGAATCTTGGTTCAGGCCGAAGACCGAGTCCATCGTATCGGTCAGCAAGAATCAGTGACCGTTCGTTACCTCATTGCCAAGCAGACTGCAGATGACTACATATGGTATGTCAAGTACACAATTATTAAAACCTATTTAATTATTGTAAATTCAGTCAAAAATCATTTGCCTTGGTGACATGTGCTCTGAGCTCTGTTTCATTTAAGATAAATGGTTAGGGTTAGTGTTGTCATTGGGCATTGTTGGGCTGGGATTAGGTGTAGTGATTAGTCCAGGGTTGAAGTTAGGAATTGGTAAATGTAGCAGAGTAATCGTTGGGAAGCCATACATGTATGTATGCCGTACTGAAGGCATTCCAACCTTTGTAAGGAATTGAAATTTGTGAAAGCAGAAGTACAAGAGAAACAAGTAGGTGACAATTTGAAGGAATATGTTTGAAGTGGAAGAAAGTTATGATATTTGCAAAGTTTTGATAAATACATCCATGTGAATGTCACAGTGGCCAATTGGTCTCTTGACTCCCTCTTAACCCTCTGCTTACTGAAACTGGGTTATCCCTTTATTAAGCCTATGGAGATCAGAGAACTCAGAAGTCAACATGTTAAATCAATGTTGCCTCTGGGCTGCACTCAAGATCTATCAAGATGTATTGTGCAGAGCATGTAGATGTATGTTTTTACGTTTAAAAAAGACCCCACTTTGCAATAAATGTTTTAATGTCAAAAAGAATTGAATATCTTATCCAGATACTGTTTTTTCCCCTGTTTTGTGTAACTTTTATGTTGTATTGCTTTCCTACAGGCCTCTGATTCAGAAGAAACTGTCCATCCTGAGCAAAGCTGGTCTGTCCAAAGATGACTTTGGGGAGGCCGATACCACAGAATTAAAGGTAAACATTTCCTACATGATCAATTTAGATGAGATGTAAATTATGTTAATCCATCGACTACAGACTTTTCTTCATACACATAGACTCAATACGGGAACCACCAAGCCGTCAAAAAACTGTCATAAGTGAAACTTCACCAAAATCCCGTTGAAATGTGTGTTAAACCTTATACACGCATTCTATTGCGGTCTTTATAAGCAGGTTGTCTTTAACTACAGGTTACGTTAGTATTGGTTTCAATGAGAAACACTGATCAGGGAAAAAATAATGTGTTTATAAGGAGGCGCGATAGCTCAGTCGGTAGAGCAGTGGTCTCGTAATCCGGTGACCCGGGTTCGAAACCAAGGCGATGCGCTAGTGCCCTTTGGTAAGGCATTAATCCTCATTACCAGGTCCCTCAGAGAGGGCCTAAAGCCGTCGGCCGTCTGGTTGCTTACTTACCGGCATTTATGCTTTCTTAGCAGTCAGGTAAAATAACCAACCAACCAATGAAGGTTTTACTGTAGTTTCAAATATTCATCTTGTCTTGTTGTCAGACCCAAAACAGCAGCTTTGGAGCCAAATGGTTCAACAACTTCTCTCGTATGCCATATTAAGCTTTCACAAACAGGGTTATGAATGTTCATCTCGTCTATAATTTTCTCTCAGGATCCTAAGCAGAAGAGCATCCTGTCATTCTTTGAGCAATCTTTCTTTGAAGAAGATGACCAGTTCTCCCAGGAGGACATGGACATGCTGGAGGCAGCCGAGGCCGCAACAGGTGGCAGCAACACAGACAGCAACAACTCCGAGCAACACAGCTGCAACACGCAGGAGCTCATGAGCCAAGATGCATGCGGTCTATCGAAGACCAACACGGGACTGTTCAGCTCATTTTACTTTGAGAAGAGCCCAATGGCTACACCTAAGATTAAGAAACCCAGGATGAACTAAAGTGAATTTCAAGGGGGGTGTTTCACAAAGATCCTAAGTTGGACTTAACAATTATGGAAAGCCTTTAGCATCTAAGAAAATATTTGTAAACGTTATTTTAAAAGGCAAAAAATGTTAATTCAAATCATACATATTTTCTATTATCAAGGAAAGTTTATGTTCTTGATGTGGAATTTATGAAATGTCTAAAATACTTGAATTCATGCTTTTGAATATATTTTATTTTGAGGCTACAAATGGCTCTCCATAATGTGTGAGTCCAACTTAAAATTAAGTTTGACTTGGGATCTTTGTGAAACACCCCCCAGGAGTGGTATTTACCAGGTTCACTACTCAATTTTAGTCAGGTTCATGAAAAATATGGGTAAAATGAAAAAAGTAGAGTAGCTCATACTTTATGAGCAGTGGAATGGAATTCCCATTGAAGATAGCCCTGTGTATGTTTTCTGTGACCAAGAAAGCAAGAATGAACTGTAGAGACCTTCTGTAGGTGGCCATCTGTGAAAATAGTGTTCAATTCTAGGAAGTTTGAGAAGAAATGTTGGTAAGAGGTAGAGAAGAAAAGTAGCTAGCACTGTATCAAGCGGCGGTACAGCACCTTCTGATTGGGGCTATTAGTGGAAAAGTATCTCAATTTTAGTCAGTTTCACAGGAAAAAAAGAAGGTAGCTAGTGCCATAATGAGCAGTTGTGCAAGGCACAGGATTGTGTTATCGAATAGAGCTCTGTAGATGTTCTTGTGTTAAAAAAACCAAGGCTTTACTGAAGTAACAAGAACTGGCCATTAGCAGAAAGAAAGCTTACTTTTAGTTAGTTTCTTGCCAAAATGAAGCCAAGGTGAAGAAGAAAGATAGCTTGTACTATATTGAGCAGGAGTTTTGTTTCTTGAATCGTATTGTGTGGATATTTCTGTACTCATTACACCTATCTGAAGGGACCATTTGAAAGTATTTGTTGGCTGGAGGATCAAGTGTGTCAAATTTGGTCAGCTTCATGCAAAATTTGGATAGGATGTATCATGTAGAGAAGACTAGTAGATAGTAATGAAGACACTTGTCTGCAAACACATATTTTGTAGTAATATTGTTCATAGGCAAAGAAGATATCAGCATTCACAAAAATACTTGTAATCACCATAAAAGCATTAAGGGTAATAATAAAAGATGTCTTTTTGTAGGCAGGTGGTCTGTACGTATCGTCTCTTTGGAGCCTGAAGGATGTACATGTAAACTCTATGTTAGGGTATATGAGTTAACGACCTCCTAGCTCCCAACCATTGGTGTGTGCATGTGGTCACACTGAAGGATGGTTTGACAACTGAGACTGTAAGAAATTGCAGCTGATATTTATCAAATTGGCAATGTATTTTCTCAGGACCTTTAATATACAAAGCACAAAGTAACAGTCATTTCACTGATCCACATTTTGTATAGCCAAAAAGAGGTGAATGTTGTTTTAAAAGGAAACAAGAGGGGGCAGATGAGCTGAAATTTTATGCGGATATTGAATAGCTGCATTTCAAATAATTGTTCAGTCATTATCTGCAGATCTTTTCATCATCCTTTTCAAGCATGGCTACCACATGAATTACATAAAGTTTAATTTGTGAACACTCACCAACCATGAAAACGTACACAGAAATTTACTTTGTAATCATTAGCAATACATAAATGCTTATCACAAACTGTGCCTTATGAATCAAATAATAGATAGTATTTCTATAACAGTAGAATTTGCCCTGAAAATTCAGCCAATAACTAAAGATCATTTTTGCCTGTGGTGGCTTGTGAATTTTTATGCAAATAGTAAAGCATGGCGATTGCACTTGGTTAAGATGTAGAATAATGTTGATAAAAGATTCTATTTTTGTGACAGAAAGTACTCAGAAATTCTGAATATTGTAGTACGTTATCTGTGCATTTGAAAAAAGTGCAAAGCACAAGGAAATGTAGTGATGTGAAACATTTATTTGGAAAGTGTAAATTCCAGCTAGCTAGCTAGCAATTACACAGAATTTATGTTGATATTGTAGGAAATACACTGAAATATTGCTACATTACTAATCAATGTTGAAAGTTTCTTGAATGATTCAGAATCAAATTATGTACTGGTAGATGATAATTTTTGCAAATTCTCATGCCTTATGTCAGTAAGCACATTTGCTCCTTATCCACTCTCTCTGTCCATCTCTCTCTCTCTCTCTCTTGTTTTTTCTTCTTCTTGCCATGTATTGTTTATATTTTTGCTTGGAATATTGCATTTTGAAATATCAATCTACCCTACAGCCAGGATGATATACATGTAATAACAGCTTTAAACAAGTGCCTGTTTCCTCTAGCAAAAGTGCTATACAAGTCCATACCGTATGTTGTTAACATACAAAATTGTATATGTTTGTTGTGTGCTTGTAAAGTATTATTTGACTTCTGGTATTATATGTTAAATATTATGTTCCGTTTGTCTTAAACCATTTTGATTTGTTTATTTACTACATTTTGTATTTGTAATGTTTGCAATGTACAAATTACTTAATACACAGATTATGCAAGCCTTTGAGCTACAGAAATAAACTATTTATGAATACAATTTTTTGTTTAATTGGTATTATTTATTGTTGTATCTACATACTTAAGACATACTGGTCATAGATTTGTAAAATGGGAAATTATAATCACATCCATGTACTTACACACACACACACAAATATTTACTCTGATATTTTTTTTAATCAAGCAGCACTTTCACAACATCTTTTTATATTTGTTATAAAGTAGATTTCCTTTTTAAAAGGTACATTCCTTGGTTAGATAGCAGATTGTACCAAACATTATATTTTAAGATGTCGAGTTACACATTAATCTATCCCTACTTAAAAAGCATATTGAAAAGGTTCAGGTATGAAGATGAGCATTCTTAAAGCTCTGGAGAAAAGGAGAATCTTGAATAATGATCTCAATTTTTTTTATTTGGCATTTTTAATCAATTATTCATATACATGTATCCACTCCTACATGAAGGTCAGAAAAGTCAGACAAAAATTATTTTTCCATAACTTTAAGTAGACCAACAGAAGGATGATGGAATCCAACCCCTGATGCTACATGATTCCATTATGGCTTTCCTGAACTCTCCTCTGCCAACAAATTTATGTAAATTTATCATTATCATTATCATAGTCTGGTTTGAGTTTCACGTCATTGTTTTATTATTAAATGCCTTCCACAGGAATAAAGTTCACAATGCTTTTATCCATTTCTAAATTAGAAAAACTACAATTAGCCATTTAGAGTCCAAAACATGTACAAATGTCTTGGGCAGGATACACCGCCTACAGCAAGGACCCGAATCATACAAATAATGATGTTCAAAAGACAGGACGTACAAATGTATGTGTACAAATCAAGGGTATATGCAGTCAAACTTGCCTTCACAACCACCTGTATAAAAAGACCACGTGTCTATAAATACACTTTTTGTTTCCCTTGAAAAGTGTTTGTCATTGCATCTCGTATTAAAGCTAGGAACCTACACAGATAGACCACCTGCTTACAAAGACTACTTTTCTTGTCTCCCTTGAGTGGTCTTTATATACAGGTTCAACTGGAATATAAAGTACAATCAAACCTGCCATTAGAGGCTAATCAAGGGAAACGCACAAATTGAATACTGTAGACAAATGGTCATTCTGGACAGGTTCTACAACACAGGTTCTCTTGTAAACAATCAGTAAAGGGACCGCTATAGACAGGTGGCCTCTACAAAGAGGTGGTCATGAAGAACAAGTTTAACAGTAACTGTGAAAGGAGGTCTATATTGGGTTCTGGCAGCGGAAATACGTCTGGAATTTGTTGGCCCTGACTCCGAGTGAGAGATGCTTCTTACTGCGGAACTTCTGAACGTAGCGGAGGTCTCGAATCATCTTCTCTGACGCTTCACCTGAAAAAGGAGAGAGAGAAAAGAGGCATGTTATAAAAGATGTACTATTGAAAGACACTATCTAAACAAAATTTCAAAGACATATTAAAGCCTATCTGCACTAGTACACTGTCATTGTATTGAATCATTGAATCACAAAGAAGTAATTTTGGGTTGCGGTAACATTGAAACAATTTTTGTTGTTATTGAATATATAAACAATTTGATTATAATCATAACTCATACATATCTGGTCTGATTTGATCACTATTAATCACGGGAACGGGACGTACAGACGTACATACGGACGGACGGACAACCCCAAAACATAATGCCTCCGGCTACTTTGTACCAGAGGCATAACAAAATATATTGGATTTGCCCTAAAGCCTCTGATAGAGAGATAACTATTAGCTTTAGAACAGGATGTTCACCTTTGAGACCATGCCAGCCGAGGGCCTTATACTGTGTCATCAATCTACCAATGAGGGCGGGATTCTTCTTGGCGACTCGTCTCTCTAGGGGAAGGTTCTGCTTGTAATACTTGCTCAGCTCTCTGTGACCAATCTTGATTCCTGCAATTCAAACATGGAAATGGCCAACATGGACATTTTATTATCATTAAATCAGTGATGGCATCAGTTGTTCAATGATGAATCTCACAATTGCATGTAGGCATAAATCCATCTCGTGGGTCACCAGCAGGCCTCCACATACCCCAAAACCTTGAATCTTACTTCTCAAAAAGACAAATCAATGAATGACATATATCCTGAAGGATGCTCAAAGGGTATATAGAGTATTACTTTTATCCTGGTTTAATTTAGCTGCCATACAACTTCAAGGACTTTAAGCGAACAAGGAACTTCTTCCAACAGATATAGAATTTGATATGAGGATTCTCTGATACTTCATTGGACCTAACTAAATGAAACTCTGTGTGATAGACCTGCGCAAGAAAACACAAGAAGGGAGTCTTTATAGATTGGTGGTCTTTATGTACAACTTCCTCCCTAAATGAAATACAGGCTTCAATGAGATATTCTATCGATGGGGAACCAAACCATGTGGTTGTTATAGACAGGTGGTCACTCAAACTTAACTGAACTTACTAAGGTTGTTTTATAACCTTATTAAAGAAATACAATAAAATAATTCAGTGCTATCACCAGAGGGCAGCATAAGCTCACACCACTCCTTCTTTATCCCGAAAGATAAGATGGCTCTGCACACTTACCAGAGGGCAGTGTAAGCTCAAACCCTTCCTCCTTCATCTCACAGCTGCCTAAGTCCATCTCTTCTTCTTCATCTTCCTCCTCGCCATCCTTCACCTCTCCTCCTACCGCTCCTCCGTTCTTTGCATCAAAGTCTGGATAACTTTTCCTGGTGGTTAAAAATGAACATGACAATTATTTATCACATGAACAGATCCAATCTATCAACAACAACAAATTGTTTTGACCAGTGTATTCAGGATTGTGTGCTGGTATCTATGCTTGAAATTTCAGCATAAAAATTATTTTGGTAAAGAGATTATATGCATTCTGAATAAAGATGACAGTAACACGAGAGTAGACAAGTCGACACACACATAGTTTTTGCACACATGGAAGTTAATAATAAATCTCTTCAAGAATGTTCATGCAGGTTATAATCGTGAAATCATTTTTTACCTTTAATTTGCTGTAAGTAATGATAATCTTTAATCATATGAATTACACCAAACCTGGAAATGCTAATTTATGAAGGCAAGTAATTTCTTTGATTTCATAAAACAAAATCAACATGATGAAAGGCAACCCAATTAATTACCTGAAGTCATAGAAATCTGAATATTCATAGATAGCGTCTCCTTCATAGAGCATCTTACTGTGGCCCTTATCTCTCATATGTCTCTGAACTGAGTCCAGGGAATAGAAGGCCTTTCCCTTGTTGTTACACCAAAGACACATGAAGTCACACCCAACCTTGACACCTAGGACAGGAAGAAATAACAGGAATTTTTAAAACCATATAACTCTTGAAAATATAAAAAACCCTTTGAGAAGACAAGATATGTCAGGAGGGTATTTCTCAGCTATCCATTGAAAAGTGGGAGAAAAGTCCAAATTTTTGTTTGCAGATAACTGTAATTTTACCAATTTGCAATGAAAAGTGAACGTCAGTGTTTATAGTTTTTACTTGGAATAGAGCGGTCTCTCTCTCTAGAACTTTATGCTCAAATCATTTCCTGCTCCGAAAAATATCTTTGGCTAGTCACTGCACTGGATTGATCCAATTTTAATGATCAAATAGAAAATTGTCAAATAAAGACATACATAAAAACACAAGTATAAAAGTATAAAGTAGGGTAAAGTAAGGTATTCTAAAGAAGATTAGAAAAGATTCAAGAACAGGTATGGTCACACCCTTCCCCGGCTAAACACAGGTTACAATTCAATTTTACTTATCTTATTTCATGTCTTTAGAAGTTTAGATATCAATGGAGCATAACAGACTTCCTATTTAATACTTTTCAAAGTCGTACCATTTAACATAAAAGTCTTTGTCAATTGTTAACTCACATTATAAAGCAGCTGTTTTATTATTCTTACCAAGATATGTCAACAGTTCTTCCATGTCTACAATGAATTCAACATTGGGCAGAAAGAAGCTATGAGACACGGTCATGTGATGAAGGTTCTTTTCTATCGACGACGACGATCGACTGCAGAAGAGACAATCTGATGGTGGTATCTCTTCTCCTTCAACATCCTCCCACTCTGCTTCCCTCTCCTCATCGTCCATGACTTCATCATCGTCCGCCTGAGCAGGTACTGCAGGCTTGTTCCCCTTTCTGGAACTGGACGATGATGACGATGGTGATGATGATGATGCAGCATTGTCTTCAATCTTCAATTCTTTCTTCTTCTCGGCGCCTTCCCTCATCATCTTCTGTCCTTCATACGCATCAACCTTTGCCTGATCGCGCTTGTTCTTTTCATTCTTGACGGAGACTTCATCGCCGTTGTCTGCACTGGAAGCTGCTTTTATCTTAGCCTCTGCTTCTTTGTGCTTCTTGGACCCTAAGTGGTTTGTGTAGGCATTCTCTGTGCCAAAGTGCTTCCCACAAACGCCACATCTCGTAGACGTGTCTCGCGCTTCCTCTGCGGTCTTGGACTGCTGGGCAAGCAGCCGCTGCTTGAATTCGACGGCAGTGACAGGGGGCAGCTCAGCGACCTTACGCTTGAGGTTGTAGCGATGCCAGTCTGACTTGTAGTGGGCCCTCTGGAGGTCCATACTGGCGAATGCTACTCGGCACGAGATGCATGTGAATACCGGAGCTGACATGGTACTTGTATTGTAGCTCAGCCTGGTATCTGTACAAAAGAAATGTAAAAAATTGTGAAAACTGTAAAGTTTAGTCTTTAGACTTCTATCTTGCTCATCATCAATTCTTCAGGGTCAATAATAAATTGTTGCACAACACCAACACTAGTTCTATAGATTTAACCACTGGTTGCATGCATATTACTGGGTCTGCATTGCACCCAGCCCAGACCAAGCTTATTTTTACTTGCACCGGTAGGGACTGGTGGTCCGATAATAAGGCTCGTCGGCATAAACAAGGATTATCTTCGTAAACATGCCCTAAAAAAAAAGGATCGTCTGCTATTTCGCAGACGATTCCTAGAGTAAAGTACCCGGTAATCGGTCAGCTCCGGTTTTCGGCCAATTGGTTGGATACATGGTAAAATCACTTTAAAATACATCGCATAATAGCATAACACATATCCCACACATACCATACCATGCCAGTGTCACTGAAGAACCACATTTGCAATGAAAAATATATCCTAAAATATCACATTTTAGCGATGTAATCGGCGGTCCCGCTACCCAAATCTGAAAAATCGAGTTTCTTACGCGTGTATGTAAGAAATATGGGTACCATAAAATGAGCTTTATTTCAAGTATTTTTCAGATATAGAGCCCGATTTTGTGCTGGTCGCAAGCTCAAAAGTATCTCATCGCATGTATTAAATCAATGCAGCCGCACACCGCGACGCACACACGATATGTCTGTCTAATTCAGATTCCAACTTCCGATCACCGCTGTGCCTGTATTCGGCCAGGCGAGCACCCGGGAGCTCCGGCGTGGGATACCTGCTCCGCCCGGTGGTGCTATACATCAGCGCAGAAACGCACAGCGCGCGCGAGCGCTTCCTATTGACTTTGTACATGCGGCCGTAAACTGAAACGCTCGGCCGATAACCGGCTCCAAAACAGTGAAAATTGAAATGAATATTGTCATGGCAATTCGTGATTTTTTTTTGGGATTCTTTTTTTGTTTAAATAATAATAATATTTGCTTCATGATTTGAACAAGAAATGATAATAAATAGGAAGTAAAGAGTCCAATAAATAGGATTTTGTCTTAAGTGGCCGAAAACCGGGTACTTTACTCTATAACCGATCCGCGTGTTGGTGATGCGAAATATAGATTCCACAATAATTTTCGTCATGCATTTCACATCGACTTTGTACAGAGACTTTCACGTTATGAGCGATAAATCCTCGGAAGACGGACAACTCATAATAGTAGACAGTAAACTGGGGGCATTTATTACGTTTTAATCTGTTTTTCGCATTGCCAGCGCACGGATCGGGAACCCGAAACCCACAGAGCGCCGAAGAAAAAAGTCAGCGAAAGTGCGGACAATCCTTATTTTTTGGAACGCAATTTGTCCGCGTTTACGACTCCAAGGATTTCCTCGTTTATGCGAACGATCCTCATTCTCGGACCAGCCCCCCTACTGTTCATGATTCTTTTGGCATTTTGCAGTTTCTGCAAATCACCGTCCGAAATAACTCACTCCTTTTGCTCATCATCTCATTCATTGTTTCACTCATCTTCATTAATTTCATCGTGTCGATAATTGAAAAATCCACAAAATAATTAGTCTACGACTCAACCAACTTTCAATGACTTTCTAGTTTCTCTCTGACTCTGACTCTGTTTCTTAATCTAATTCCTTACCTCACTCACGAAAATCAAGATAGGTAGGCAAAAAATGACGTAGAGACTGTGTCCGGTCCGAGACTCAGAGAACTTCGGCGACGTGTGTTGAGGTCTAATAAAGTGGCGTGTGTGTTGTTTACTACGTTGTACATAGGCGCATGCATAGTGCATATGCGGTGATTGCACAATATAGCGCAAGAGGTTTGCGACAACTCGACCTATACCAAAACCGGGTAGATATTTTTGCGGCCTCTCTATTTAGTATACCGATATAATCTTTCTTGACACTGGTGACGAAGATCGTCGGGTTTTGAAATTGTTCCTTTATTTATTTATTCATGTTCAGTTTTATCCAGTCAAGGGAGCTACTGTCCAAGAGCAAGATTCTAGAGGGTCCTTGATATAAAAACAATACAAACAATGTATGGAAAGAAGAAAAAAACATGCACCCTTGTATCAAGTTGGGCCTTCATCAACTTGGCTTCTGGTGATTCGAGAATAGTGACAGGCTAGTTTAACAGCTACAGAAAAGGAAGACGGATATGTTTGTGGAAAAATACGAGAAAGGATATGAAGAGTAGATGACAACTATTTATGTAAGTTGTAGTTTTATTTTAAAAGCGAATAATTGACAGTTTCATATCCGATCTCGATCCACAATGGCCCTCACAGAGTTTAATGGAAGTTCGGCTGGGGGGGGGGATCGAGGGTATACGCGAAATGGATACTGAATTTTAAAAAAAGCAAAACGATAGGAAGAGGATCGGAGAATCAATGCCAGGGTGACTCGGAAAATAATTTAGACCACAAAATATACAGTTCCTCAGGTAGACAAAGAAACATCCCTTCACTGCTATCATGTAAAAATGTGTAGAACAGGTGTCACAAGCATATTCATCTGTTCTACACATTTTACATAATAGCAGTGAAGGGATGTTCCTTTGTCTACCTTGAGGAACTGTATATTTTGTCCTCTTTCTTTGTCCGTCATGTTCATAGTGAGATGAAGCTTTATCTTCTCTCAAACCAAGGACAATGAATGACCACCCAAAAAACACAACAAGAGAACAAAACACCAACAACACCACAAGTTCATACGCAAATGAGTGCAGTAAGTTTCGTTTTCATATCGCTGACTCTCGATTTGTCTCCTCTCCCCCCCCCCTTTCTCTCTCTCTCCCTCTCTCTCTCTCTCTCTCTCTCTCTGATCTCTCTGCTCACCATGGACCTTCATGCTCTCACCCTGGACTCACTCACCCTTTCGCTCACCCCTCCCCAAAGACGTCAGTCCCTCTCTCTCTCTCCCTCTCTCTCTCTCTTCTCTCACCTCTCACCTCTTCACTCATCCCCTCTTTCCTGCTTTCTCTTTCTCACTCTCTTTCTCTCTCTCTCTCTCTCTCTCTCTCTCTCTCTCTTTCTCTCTCTCTCTCTCTCTCTCTCTCTCTCTCTCTCTTTCTCTCTCTCTCTCTTTCTCTCTCCCTCTCATTATCTCTCTCATAACCCATGTGCATGATTCATGGCTGATAGCTTTCCAAAATGTGTCCTCTCATTGGCTTATCATATTAAAGGTGCACGTCAGTAACATGTTATTTAATGACCGCCAGTCATTCGGGTACTATAGTGCTCCTTAACTCTTCCACAGTTATTGTTGTTTTATTTGTTCTCATAAACCCAAATAACGGATTGATAATACAACGAAAAAGTGACAATTTATAGGAAGTCAGTCAGTGAAGGAATTTCTATAAAGTAATTTACTTAATATATCTAGAAATATTAGAATTTCCACAAACTTTACAAATTATAATCAAAAGTAAATCGTGGAAAAGACGTGTTACAATAAAGTGCTGTTCATCAAAGGGAAATCATTGGTCGCGTACCACTCTAGAGCAGACAAATCAGAAAAGTTTTAATGAAATTGTACACAAAATAAGAAACGGATATGAATTTTTGAAAGTTTTAACCAATGTATAGGGTCTTCGAATCGATTAAATCCGGTAATATCTCTGTAATGTAGTGGCGGGAAACTTTCCCATTGTCAACACACAAAATGTCTAAAATTTCAAATTTGCAAAAAGTATGATTCAGGAATCAGGAGGGTCTTTTCAGTCTTTAGAGGACCTAATGCAATCCATGATCTATGTAGAACGCGGCAATGGAGAAGGCACTTGTAGGAGGAAGGAAATTGGTGATATTTTGATTTGTACAAATGATTTTTGTACACGACAGACGAGAGAGTTATCCGTGAATGACCACTGCCAATTTGTGGCATATAATATAGACTCCGTGGTCCCATATTTCAAACTTTCATAACTTACTTATTGTCCTATTTGCTGCAAACTTTCGCCATCGATCCCGGTTGTTTCTTTCATGTGAATGAACTTATCATAAGGGTTTCCCTTTATTGAACATTTAGTTTAATTTTCATGTAAATGGGGTGCAAGGCAGATCTGGAAAATTCAGTTCCGTGGGTACAAATCGTGGTTTTTGTTGTTCATTCAATTATGAATATTTACGACTGTGCGATATGACGATACGCCTATACTGAGCCCCCCCCCCCCCCCCACCACCACCACCATTTGCTTTTCGGAGGGGAAGTTGTATGGAGGCCTATATCAGGTGAGAATACTTAAAATAGTGGCAGCAATCATTATTTCCTATTTAAAGAAAATACTAGTGTAGAGGTCTATCGACTTTTAATTAACAAATCAAATGATTTAGGATTACACCCAAAATTATATTGTGGGATAGAAATAGGGCCGGGTTTTTGTAAGAGGCGATTTTCTTAAAGGCCGATGCGTTTGAAACTCCTTATGCTGCCAATTTCTCTTCTGTTGCAAATATCATGTATGTACGATGGAATTTTCAATACAATTTTACGTTTGTGATTTTTTAATAAATACGCAATATTAATGATAATAAATCAATGATTTATGAAAATATATAATTCATCGGTTATAATCTTTTTTAAATAATTTTTTTAATTATTTAAACAAAATTTCAATTTACAGCAGTGTGACCAAGGGTAAGTCTCTTCGGCTAAACTCCGCAAATTGCTCAAAATGGTCAGTACGCAACCCCAACAATATCCTTAAAAATCTCCGATTTTCGCCCCCAAAGATATGAATCAACAATATGTACATGTTATAAATGAATTGTTTATTAGATGTATTACATAATAAAATCCATGATCTAAGTTAGAAGTGATATTTATGGCATAATCTGTACCGGCTTGACACAGCTCCGCTTACGTATGTAAGATGAATAACACTAGCAGTAAACTAAACTACTAAAGTCATAAGATTTTCTTTTTTAACCTGTCCTTGATAATAACAGAGATCCTATCATATGAAATCAATATGGTCTTAATTTGTTAGGAGTATTTTAGCCATTGATTAGTCTGAATGGTATGATGAGGTGAATGAAAGACGAAAAAAAGTGTTGAGTAAAATTTGCCGTGTTTGTGTGCATACGCGTCTCGTAATACGTGGGACTGGATTGTATAAATGGGGGAGGGGGGGGGGGGGGGGTGCGGCGCTAGTTCCGAATCATATCCAGACTTTGAACCGTAACTGTGGCGTGGAACTACCCTACTAAAACATACCAAAAATGAACTAAATCTTCATCAATTGTTCAAATAATGGTCATGATTTAAAACTTTAATTTATTGGTCGTGATTTTTCTTATCTGTTTCAACATGTCTAGCCTAGATCTAGATCTAGATCTAGGTCTAGGTCTAGACCTATTTTCTTATCTGTTTTGGAGTATTTTTCTTAGAAACAAAGACATTATGATTGTGATTACACTTTCTTAAACATTTTTTGGCAAACCGCTGCACAATACAATTGCTACCATACAGACGATAGGGTGCGAGCGCGCTTGCGTGAAGTTATCGACCGTAATGATGATTATTGTCATACTCAGTAGTAAGGACGCTGGTCGGAGAACGATCCTCATTCTTAGACCAGCGCGGCAGCGCCCTTACTGCTCAGAATGTGAATTACTTACAAAGTTGCATTTAATGAGGATCTGGGATAACAGTCGCTAACTTCATGCGCACGCCCACTCTCCACCGTCAGTACGGTATGCAGCTGTTTGCCGTAAAACCTGTGAGAAAGTGTTTGACGTAATGTCTTCGTTTAAGGACAAATTCAAACCAGTGGAAGTCAACTAAACTGCAGTCAATCTTTGAAATAATTTTTATTCAGTTCTAGTAGGTCTTGTTATAACAGATATAGTTAAAACAAGAAGTGCCTCAAAAAAGTAAAAAATCTTTGAGTGACCGGTTTTACCATACTCGTTTTCCCCAATAGACTGTAGTGTTATGAAAACCGTTTGGCAAACGGTTTTCAAAATTGTAATTCCAATCATAAATATCTTGATGATAAGACAGGCGATCGGCTTGTAAAAGTCATGGGGTTCCTGACTGACCTAAAGGTTTATAATTATGATTGCAGCATGAGCTAAATCACGGATTTTGTTTCACAATCTGAGACATAGTATTAGTTACCGGGTCCCTTTAAAAGTGTACTGTAACAGAAAAAAAAAGTTTGAAATTGTTTGCTTGTGCAATGTCATTGATAAATTCTCATATACATTTATATCTTTCTTCCAGGCCAAACGTACAAGGAAAGTAGGAATCACTGGAAAGTATGGAACCCGTTATGGTGCTTCCCTCCGTAAGATGGTGAAGAAGATTGAAATCTCCCAGCACGGCAAATGCACCTGTGTTTTCTGTGGAAAGGTAATTTCTCTCCTCACATTCAGGAGCTAAATCATCAATGTACTGATGCTCATTGATCTGTGTCTTGAAGACTTTCAAATATTTGGAAGAGAGGGTTTAGAAAAACATCTCCACCAAGTTAGAAAGGGAGCATATTTTGTACAGCAGAGACATTCATTTTGGAGGGAAGTTTGCAGTTGGGTGCCATCATCATAGTCATGACATACAGCATGCGCATGACCGATGAACATGGATTCATTTCCAAAGTTCTTTATAAAACACCCTACCGGTAGTCCAAAGTGATTTTCTCAAACCCCTGTATCACTTTCCAATCTCCTGGTAAGAGAAACAAAGGTGTGATATATTTTACTTGTTTAAGTAGGCAAGTGTTGGTGTTTTTTGGTAAAGACTTCCTTATAATCGTTCAACCCACTAACACTAAATGATAACTCAGATTTTTTTTCAAAGATTCTTGAATGTTTAGTTCTGCCATCATTTTTCTTCTTCATACCCAATAATTGTAATGCTTTTGGAAACGTTATCTATTTATGTGTATGATCATTCTCTGCAATTAAGTCTTTTTAATTCTAATGTGATTTTTTTCTTCTTCTATAAAGCAATAAACCATTCAGTCAAATCATATTTAGGTGTTGTAGTACCCTGTTGTTTCATATAAATCATCGAGCAATTTTGTTTGTTGTTGTAGGATTCCATGAAGCGTAAGGTCGTTGGCATCTGGCACTGCAAGATCTGCCGCAAGACTGTGGCTGGAGGTGCCTGGGTATACAGGTGAGTACAGGAGTCCTGGCAAGGATTTGCGAAATATGCTGGTGCAACCATTGACCAGCAGTTAATTTCCTACTCTTAAGTCCTCACTTCAACCCTGGACCTAACCCCAAATCCAAAGGCATCACCAATCCAACCCTTTATGACAAGGTAGCCAGTTTTCAGGCCCTAGCGAATTATTTTCAGACCATAGTTTAGGTTTTTTTTGTGTACAAAATAGCTCATTCTAGGTCATTTTAAGGACCTCTGATGATCTGATCAATTCTAACTGGCATCCCTGATGAGAATTTTCCTTATGTGTTGGTTCTTCTGAAGTTTGTCAGGAGGAAATGTGATGTTTATAAGACCCGTAACTCATAAGTGAAGTTTCCTCTCTTGATTATTGATAGCTTTTTATCAGGCGAATGCCTGAATGGTGTAGAATTCTCAATGAGAACTAAAAAACAGTTGGGTCTTTCCCCCTAAATATATTTAGTTATCCTTACTTGTTCCTCTGTTAAACTTTGCTTGTAACTAGCTAGTTTTTACCTATCCTGAAGACCATGAGTGAAAAAATGTGTGACTCTTGACTTCTCCATCACCTTTGATCACCTTTAAATATTATTATCTTTTCTCTTTTCCACCTTACAGCACCACAGCTGCTGCCACCGTCAGGTCCGTAGTACGTCGTCTCCGTGAAATGCAGGACATTTAGAATGGATTTCCTGTAAAACACAAACTCTTTCAAAACACTTCTTGTACAGCCAGTTATCAGTCTTCAGATTCCACCCAATCTGTCCTGAGATGCAGCCAAGTCAGATTTCCCTGGAGAATTCATGGAAGTTCCAAAAACAAGAGGGTTGCTTTGCACATCATGCCATCGCTATTGCATCAGGACTCTCGATCAACGTACTGTTGGACATTCAGGGAATGAGACCATCGTCATGGATCACTTTGATGAATCTGTCTTTGCTCTGAGCAAATCACAAAACTTTCAGTGCGCATTTTGAGCATGTGAGCCAACACAATAAAGCCAGCAAATTCCCACATAAATTGAAAGTGTCTTTGTTGTAGTTTGTACACGTTTTAAGTCCACCACCTACTATAAAATTGGACTTTTTTGGTATTTAGGTCATTTTTGTTTCATGCTTTTCTTTTGAAACTGTAATACTGCCCTTCACCAATGGTGTAACTATTACATACATAGAGGAATCAACAGTAACATTTAGAGGGAAGATTGTAGAGAGAAAATTGACACAAGGAAAATGATATGAGAAAGTAAGAGAATACACGAGAGGAAAATTGTGAGATAGAAAATAGTGTGCTGTGGCAGATGAGCCTTGCTTGTGATAAGCAAGTTGTCTAATAAATTAGAAGAAGAAAAACAAGAGATAGAAAGGGAAAGATTAAAGGTAGGCTTTACTACTTCAGCAAGAAAGGATTAGACCGCCCAGCGAGCCAGCGAGGTCACTGTGACAGGTGGCTATCTCATTAACTCAGCTCTCATATAACATAAGAAAAAGAGGATCATGGGGGACCAACAGGCACCGATTGGGGAAGTTTTCTATATAGAGGGAGCAAGTAGCTACAAGTAGGACAGTGTGCCTTTAAGTCAGAAGGGAGCTTCATGAAATTAGAAAGGAGACAAAAAAAGAGAGAGAGAGACGAGACTGAGGAAGAGAGGTGTAGAGACGCAGTAAGAAAATGGAGATTGAGGTCTGGGTGGACCAGGAGTGGACAGTGACATTGAATTGAAGCAGGGATACCCATTTTATTAACCATTCACATTAATTCACATCCAAAAAAATATAGTACATTAACATGCATTATTATTATGGAACTCCTAAAACACAGAACAAATTATTTGTTCTTTAAGTTAGGGGTCTTGTGTGACTATACTATATTCAAAATACATGTTTGAGGTTTCAATATTAGTGCTGTAAAGACATATTTAGTTAAAGTTAAAATACGCTTTCCATTAACATGAGCGTGACTTGCGAGTAGGCTACTTGATGCGCCTAGTCCTAGCTACACGATTGCAGCATTTTATGATATGTTCTATTTTCTTCATAGTTCATACTCCTTATCCCTTGTCCCATCGAATGCAAGTTGTTTGAGGTTGAAATGTTATATAATATTCTAGCGGTTATTTACAAATTATTTTTGGATGATTGGTACCCTCCCAAGTTGAAAAATGCAAATTTATCAAAGTAGGGGTATCCGGGTATGTAAACTTCTAGAGAGTTGAGAGAATAAGGTCATTTTAAATTGAAAAAAAACAACAAGAAAACATTTGTAAGATTTTGTTATTATTTTGTGCATCATGCACCCTTTATTCATTACTCTGCTCATGCAATACACTGTATTAATAGTACAATACATATCTCACACAAACCAATTTATTTCCATTTTGAGATACTGATATAACCATGTCTGTTTAGATTGCTTGATTATAACGTAAATAAAAGTCAGATAAAGAAAAAGACAATCTACCCTCTATTAAACTAACTACATGCAGTGAAAGCGGCGATTGAAATCATTTGTTTGTACGCAACAAGGCAAAATACAAGCGACAATCACAAATACACACACATATAGCAGGGAGACACCTAATGCACCAATCTGATTAAAATAAGCATGACGATTTTAGAAGTTGATGCACCAATTTCACAGTCTTCGTATATTATACTCTATGAATGGTTTATCCCTGAGCTTAGTAAATTGCAATTTAATTAACAATTAATGTTTTATTCTGTCTAACCTTTATTGATCCGATTAGTGGTCCGATTTAATACCAAACAGCTTGTTTATTAGTAATTTTTTTCAGTGAAACACTTTATGGATCATTAAGGATGCTAAAATGGACTTCAGTATTACAGAAATACATACCAGTTAGATGAATAGACTAAGTTGAACTCATTTGATTTTGGGGGAAGTTAAATATCTGTATTAAAAGTTTTGGCTTCTTGGTGGGATAAAATGTTAACAAAACCTCTACCAGAAGTTACAATAGTGTCACACAGCAAATCTAATATACACATTCTAAAATCAACCCATGTAATACATACAAATATATGTATTGGTAGTATTTTCTGCTATTACAAATCATGAAATATAAGCTACATGTAAACTAATAGACTTGGATGAGGTAAAAATATATTGTTTCAGAAAATAAAAATTAATATACAATATCAATATAATCTAAATTAAAATATAAATAATATGAACAATTTATAATCTTAAAATAAAGCAAAAACCTCTTTAAACCTAATTCAAACAACATCCAACATATTTAACAAAACTGCTCAAAGAAATAATAAGGACTTAATTTGCTTTACCAAATTACAAGTTGGCTGTGCTTTGCAATAGAAGTATATGGCATACAGTAATTCAAAGTACCACTTCACAATTCGACATGGGTCATGAAAGTAGTCAAATTGTTTGTTAAAATTGAGAGAAAAACATCCCTGCGTTCAAGTAAAATGATTACGGTATGTTTACTAAGGGGAAAAACAAGATCTATTTTAAAGAGAATGATAAGAAATACATTTGTATCCAAGTATGAAATATCGAGAAAAAAAATAGACTATTTTATCAGAGGTAAAACACAAGTTCATTCTTTCTACTTTCTAAAAATCACTTTTAAATAGTGAATATGTATGGTTAAAATCATTAGTGTGAATTCTATCATCTACATACAATACAGGTATAAGAACAAAGCACTCGATGGTTCAAAAATAAAAATGCAGCATTTTCTACACAATAAGTAAAAACAAACTTCAACATAGACATGTACGTTTCATATTTCTCTACATTTACATCAAATTGGTATTCAATCTCAATCTTATGTCACCTTGTTACAGCAGGATAATCATTAACTGAGGGCTATAAAAGCAAACATTTCAAATTACAGTTAATTTAACAGCATCATGAATCATGATGAAACTTCATGGTGAAATGATATTAATAACAACAGCTTTTTTTGTCAATCAAGATATTGTCATTGGAGTTTATGTAGTTATGATCATATAAATGACCGCCTTGTCTAAAACCAAAGTTCTCAAGAGTATACAAAATGATAATTTCATCTTCTACGTGTAGTGGTGTTTATTTCATAGTCATACACATTATATGTCGTCTGAGATTTAGATAGCAAAGCCGATTTTTTGTTACCTGAAATAACTTAGATTTCTTATCCTTGACCTTTACAAGTTCACATCTGTACATATCAAAAACATAAGGCCCACTTTCTCTGTGTACATAATAAAGTAATAAATAAACACTGAAGCACATTATACCAAATCCACTTTACTGCAATTTATCAAGAAATCCTTCAAGCAAAAATACTTTTAGTTTAACCTTTAAATTCATTGATTCTCTAATCTGCTCGCTCACAAAGTGGGCTAATATATTAAGAGTTATCTATTCCCTGAATATTAAAATATCAACAAATATACATTCTTTTAAATAGTCATGATCGGTAAAACATTTTAAATTTAAAATTTAAGATTATTTATACTTAAAATGCTGACGAGTATAAAGAATCGCCAATATTTAAATTTCTATATTTTATTTGTTTTTAAATTGCACCCATTGAATTTTGATTTGTGCTGACATATATCTTTACAAAAAATGCACAATTTTGTGTCATCTATATAAGTTACAATTTACCTTTGAATGCAATCACGATTTCAAAGAGAGGCTTTCTTTAGCATACTGGCCTTATCTCAATCAGAGAAGATTATCAAATTAACTTGACCCACTCTCCCTCTATCACATTCCACTTGTTTATCAACATAACATGCATATGCCATATAACAGCACAGAAATACAACTGTAATGTAAACAATAGCCAAGACAGTGTTCCCTTCAATTCACTTCCTCGTTTATCCGTTGACAATGGTGACCGAGATATCTTAGGCTAGGGTCTATGAAAAACGTGTGCTTTACCAAAATGAAACCGTATCTAACGATCTAAACCTTTTTTCTTTTTACCCTCCCTGCATATACTGAGACCTTTCCCCATCTAGCAGGACCGAAAATAGGCTAGTATAAATGTATATGCATATTGTGTGATTACTTTAGGAAAGGTAGGAAATAGGAAAAAAGTGGGTTCAAAACAACACCGCTTTTCCACTTGTAATTGGACAAATTCAAGATCAAGTTACAAGGATTCTAATCGTGTGATTTCATCAGCCACATCCTCTTTCCTCTAGGTGAATGACCTTTTCCTCTGCATGATGTAAAGATTTTAGTATGATGTGGACTAATACAGTCAATCGCATTGAATTTTCTTCTGGTGAATCCAATCATCCCACATTCTTTTCCACAATAACATGATTCTAACATCATGTGAATTCTCTCCTTCTCATTATTTTCAAACCATTCAATTTCCCTAGCAGGACATGATGATTCTAATACAATGTAAGTAACACAGTTGATCACATGATATTTTCTCTTGGTTGATTAATTCATGCTACATTTCCTTGCATGATATGATGATTCTTATACAAATTGAATTGATACAGTCCTATTTTCTCCTGGAGAATAAGGAAGACAGGTAGGTGATGCCAGCGTTGATGGCTCCAGGACTGCTCTCAGTGGATGGTGACTTCTCTTCTTCCGTCGTCGGACTACTGACATTGTCCAGCTCGGAGCTGTCCAGCAATTCGAACTCAGCCAGCTCCTCGTCCGACTGCGGGGACGGGGTAAGACCACTTGGTATTGCATCAGAGTTTGTTGGACCTGTCAACTGAACGGATTTCACGGGCAGCGTGGGATGTTTCTGTTTGACCAATTGTTTCTCACTGGTGGCAGCGGTGGGATCGCTTAGCCCGGCTAATGAGGTAACAGCTTCTGACATGACAGCTGCGACGGTTTGCGAGAGGAGTTGAGCAGCGGCCGGTGGCAAGGACTGACCGATCACTTCAGCTGCTAAATAGGAGGTCAGCGGTTGCCTTTCCTGGACACGAGGCTGCAGAAGGTCATCTAGAGGAGATTCAGGAGTGTCTAATTCATGGTCACCAAAGTCATCGTCTGTGGACATACCGAATAGATCTGATGGAGGTCTTAATCGTGCAGGATTACCTGTGTTGCCATCTATAACGTTACCGGCTGATCTTGAATCAAGCTCATCTCCACTTGGGTCCAGAGCCCGATCTTGAAATGACGGCATTTCATTCAACCCTACTAATAGGTTAGTGGATTCATTGTCTGTGTTTAGCTCTGCAAGGTATGAATAAAGAATAAACAAGCAATTTTGATCAAACTGTTTCATATGAACAATAATAATCATCTTTCATAAATAAATCCAATTAGGAAGAAGACATTTCAATAATATATCCAAGTTTGTTTAAAAGTGTGTCAGACTCTGACTCCTCTGGCAGTCAAAAATTGCTATTTCCTTTATGAAGTTTGGGTATTTTGGAAAGATAAGCCAGTAACAACTAATCTGCCCTACATCACTTAAGCCTCTCAATCACCAGCCGAGGTAATTGTCTCAGACTTTCAACAAATGGAAACACAGCCAAAAAAACTAAAATAAGTTGTTATAAGAATATCAACAAAGTGCATACCATCATCTGTAAACTCTACAGAGCCTCCCCTTGGTATAAGACCTCCAACAAAGCCATAGGTAGGGGTTCCAAGGCAGCTGGAGGAAGGGGTGGCCCCGATCACACGTGATGCGTGAGATAACGCTGCATCGACTGCAGGACCAGGCGTGGGGTAGAATTCATTGAGTTCGCTGTCTGAGCTGCTTTCCTCATCCCCGTCTGGGTTGCGAGAGGATCTCCTGCGACCTATAGGGTTGTGTTATAAGAGCAGAGGGTGGTCAATGGAGCCAAGGAGAAGAAAACCTAATTCCAACATGGAAGATAAGTTAATCGCAACTAGTCAGGTGCATCGAGATATATAAACCCATTGACTACTGAATTTTCATATTTCCTATAGGTTTAATATAGGAGCCTCAAGGTTCCAGTAGGCAATGGTGAAAGGGAATAAGAGGCACATGGGTGGTAGCCCTATCACTAGCTAGCTAAATAAGCTGGAAATGCAAAGTCCTGTGTCTTGGGAACTCACAGCGTACCAGACTACCAGGACACTTACATACTGGATAAACAAAACCTCCCTTCCAAGATAACTACTCACTGAAGTTCGCCTTCAAGTACCTGCAGGGTAGTTGAATTGAATTTTTTGTTAAATACAAAAAATCTTTTATCTTTTTGGAGAGGAGAAAAATTATCTCATGGGATAGTTAACCATGGGTTAGTATCCATGGGGAATTTTATTGTCCAGGGCACCATTATCTCATGAATTAGTTATCCTAATGGGTTAGTTAGACTGGAGAGTAATTATAAAAGGGGTGATCGTCGAGGGGGCACTTGGCCCAGAATCATTAGAATCATACTCGACATCTAAGATGGGTAGATTTTTATTTATTTCATAAAGAGAACATGAACAATACTCTCAGATGTTACAGATGAATCCCTGTCCCAAATGTCTGACCTTACTGAAAAATCTGCACTTATGGCATCTTTACTCCTTCTTTAAACCCATCATACACCCTTAAACAAATTCAAATCTGCTACAGTGATAATTCACACTATACAGTTTGAAATTAACTTCAGTTCTCCATGTTAAATGGCATAGGGCCTGCATCAAAGCTATATACCGTAGTCAAAACACCTGGGGAAAACCCAGTCAGGATGTGCTTGTTGAGCAGATGTCTCAGAGATAGGCTCCGAAACCACTATTATTGCAGAGTATCAGTATACACTGGCTGTTCACCATGGTTGTTATCTATATTCTAGTACATTATGAGAGGCATTCATTGCCATTTCCTATGATGTCATGATCATGATAAGCCCCATTACCACATCCTAACATTTCCTTCCCCTGCACTCTAACTGACAGATAGGGGGCAGATGGGGAAAGGCAAGTGTCCCCCCCCCCTTCCCCCTCTTGGGCTAAACAAAATTTACCTTTAATACACTCCAGAATAAAAATGTGCTAGTCAAAGAATGTTTAGTCTTCTTCCCTCTTCAAGTGAAATTGTGATTATCTTTTTGTTTGTTGTTTGTATTCATTGAGCACCCCACCCCTTTCATAATCTATCAAATCCTTGATCTGTTTTTGATTTTGTACATGAGCAACATACAGCTTGGAAACACCCGGGTCCTGTCTTATACAGACAGTTGCTGATTGATTCAAATCGATCCTAACTTGATATCAATTGTAACTCTGAACTAACGAGATAGGAGTTTGTAAGCTTGTGATGGACTGGAGAACTTGCATTCAATCTAGATCGATAGCCAGTCTTTATAAAAACAGAGCCCTGTTGTAACATCATTGGTGAACAGTGCTACAGTCAAACCTGCTTTAGTGACCACCTGTTTACAAAGACCACATTTTTGTTTCCCTTGAAAATGGTTTCCTTTTGAAACATGTACTAAAGACCACCTGCCTATAAAGACCACTTTTCTAGTCTCCCTTGGGCGGTCTTTATAGACAGGTTTCACTGTATATGTGTTCATGGGACCAGCCCTTACGTTTTTGACGTTTCTCTTTACGCTCCAAGCTGTCCATGCTCTGTTCAAACTGGCGCAGGAAAGGATGAAGCTTGGTGTAGATTTTACCGGAGACGTCGTGGTATAGGTAGGCCGGCCACAGAAGCAAACATATCACTACATAGGATAGTTAGAATAGAACACCATATACATGAACATAGATTAATACTTTGCAAAAAAAAGACCTATGTTATTGTTTACCCTTTAAAGAATTACAATGGAACTCGTAGAAATCCATGGAAAGCTATGTAAATAAATGCTCAGAAATTATCCATAATTCTATTTTATGAAATGTAATGAAGATATCTAACGTTTTGTCCCGTTCATGTAAATTTTATACATACATGTACATGTACTCATGCTGAGGTATGTGACTTGAAAGCATGCTCCTCCCATAATTTTCCAGTCACTTAAAGAGAACCCACTTTTTATTGTCTTTAAAATTACCTTTTAAGAAACCTATAGTCCTGTGAAAGCAGATTTTCAATACATAAACTAAACTTATTAACCAATAGCAAAGTTCTGTGTTATGGAGGCCTGGTTGAATACTCTACATAAATTAGAAAATCTGCAACTAAAAGCTAATATATCAGCATTTAAAATTCAATACACAGATGCTTAACAATCTCCATATGAATCCTAATCATTTGCCTACAGATATATGCTTTCACCATCATATAAAAATGTTAAATACAGTGAAATCTTGCTATCTGAAATCCTTAGAACCAGAGAAATCAATTGCTGTACTAAAACGCAGTAAAGCAATAAAATACAGAGCAGTGGGACTAACAAAATATCGTTGTTAAATCAGAAGTTTTTTGTAGCGGTGTTCTTTATATCATGGCTCCACTGCAGAACCTGTAGTACAATTCAACATCATAGTGTACATGTATCTTGAAAGCTATGTGATGGCTTATACAGGAGGTCACATGATACTGTCACCTGATACTTACAGATGGTATATGAGATGAGTACTCCAGGTATGTAGAAGCCGATGGTAGCCGTAGTCAAACACAGCAGACAGGTGAATGTACAGAACTATATACATGGACATGAAGGGAGAGAGAGAGAGGGGGAGGAGGGGAGAGAGAGGGAGGAGGGGAGAGAGAGGGAGGAGGGGAGGGAGGGGGAGGGAGATGGGGAGGGGGAGAGGGAGAAAGAGGGAGAAAGAGAGAGAGAGAGAGAAAGAGAGAGGGGGAGGAGAGGAGAGGGAGAGGAGGGGAGCAGGAGAAGAGATGAGAACAGCAGACGATAAAGAGCAGCATAAAGAAGAGATAGGATGATGAGGGAGAGGAATAGAGAGAGAACGAGAGAGTACAGACAGACAGTGAAGAAGTAAAAGGAAAGAGAACAAGATATGGGAAATACAGCAGTGACAGAGAGAAAATCAAGAATTCAAGGTAAATCGTTTATCAAAAGAAATGTTTTATTATTCATGGTTTTGCAACTACCAGGTAGGTTAAGTGTATCTGGAATACGATGAAAATCAAATCAAATCAAATCTGGAATTAATAAAGATGACAAACTTTCACCAGAAGCAAGCTTCGAAGATTGTAAATTCAAAATCACCTTTCTTGAGTGAAGACATGGAATAAAGCTTGTAAAGATACCCAATACTGTATATTTACTGTCAAATATATATATATTCAACAAATAAATGAAATGAAACAAAATTTGTGCCTCAGTATCACGTATTTGAGAGAACAAACTTACTTTTGCGGGTTCGTGTCTCCTGAGATCCCAGAATGCATTGTACCATTCATCAGCGACCTGCCACGCCCTGGCCACATGATCACACAGCTCCGGTACGCTCAGCAGGCGTAGATGTAGAGGTGTCCAACTAATGAATCAAGAACAAGCATAGCATCCATGTTTATAAATAAGGTTATGGGTAGTTTTGTTTTTCATTCATATTTAGTAGTACACTGTAGATCAGATGCTACTACCGGTATGCAGATATATTGTATGATGCACTTTTTCTTAGATATGTATTCATCTGCTACCTAATCTGTACAATGTGTTGTGTTAAGTTTTTCTTTTGAATAAAAAGAGAATAAAAAGAGAAAAAAATACATAGCAGATGATGAATGAATGCAGAACAGGGCCATATTCTTTAAACTACGCTATCTATTATGTTAGAGAAAATTATGTTAATTGTCGCAACAAACTGAAATTGCAAGTAAGAGATGCTTGTCAATGGTGCTCATGTAGATGTCTGTATGCGCACAAGCAAGTGTGCGCAACAATTATCCAATGACTTGTCCTAATTTAGATTTATTATACTTTTACTGGCTTTAAGGATGACATTTTTCTGAATACCATTCAAGGGCTTTATAAACTGTTGTTATGAGGAAGTAAAACTAGTGATCTACATTTGTAGCCACAGGAGAGGAGTACCTCCTAATCCAATAGCAGAAAAAGGAAGAACATACTGTATATCAAATGATAATAAAACATAAAGAAAAGGAAAGAGGAGGTACAGGACACAACAAGAAGACCTTTCCCTTATTCAGTAGCCTTGTCTATTCACATTCCACTCACCAAGTACATGTATAAAGACGAGTGCCCCCACCTCACCCCCTCCCATGATGGTAATTTAGCTCTTTCTGCTCATCTTTCAATCATTCATTCACACAATGTAGTATTTTTGATGAAAAGACAAAGCAAAGTGGCATTAAAATGTTATTTTGTACACTAAAAGGTCCACAAAAAAGAAGAAGATAGTTTTACTCACTCTTCTTCATCAGAACTCTTTGGATTGACTGTGAATGAAATGAAAGCAAAAAACAGTGCATTACAATCATACTTAAACAAAATAGTCCCAATGAAAAGTTGCATGACATGTTTAGAATAGAATTGAAATGTTTATCAGTAAATGTACAAACCTTTTACGGATTAATGAAAGTCCTCTGATTGCACTGAAAGCCAACATACGTGACTACCAGTGCAATCAGGCTAATTAAAATGTACCAATTACCAGAAAATAGATTGCTCTGTATGATTCTGTGTTAAAATTTTGAAAACGATCAACAACATATGAGTTTCAAATATTTGTTCTATGAAGAAATATTACAAGTTCAAATACACTTTTAATAAGCACAAGAGTGACTTGTGAGTAGACTAGTTAATTCCCCCTCCCAGATATAGATATTTATCTGCGCCTTATTTGTTATTAGCTTCATGTATTTCTTCATACCGGTACTTCTTAACTGTTGCCCCCCCAAAATGCCATGTTAAGTTTTTTTAGATTAATTTTATCTATAAAATATTCTAGCTGTATACAATTTTATGTTTAGGTTACCAGTATTTTTACATTTAAACAATTTTTTTGTAGCATTTTATATGTGTAATACCTTGCATTTTAGGCCACACCCTGAAACGGAAGGTCTCAATGCACATCACTATGAAGCAGATCATAGTAGATATGAAGACAACCCGCTGGTTGGTTGTTACAGCAAGCCTGCAATGATAACAAACAAAATACACCATAAGAGATAAAGATCTATTTTTCTTTGCCACTAATATAAGTTATTTCATTTTCTAAAAGAATGTGGTGCCATCATATTATCATCATCATTATAATAAAATGGGAATTTTAGTGAAATCAGTACATGTAACATAACATTTACAAGAGCATTAATTAAGATTAATTTGTAGAACTGGACTACTTCTCTAGAAAAGTCTCTGACTGAATTATGAGTAATTATACAAGACATTTTGTAAAGAAATAACATGGACAAAATGTGCTTCTGTTAGTAAATTGTCAATAACAAAATATACATTGATCAGCTAAATTGCTTGAGTAAAAATCCTTTTCTATAATGACAGAGTGAAAGGGATATAGAGAGATCCTGGATAATTTCTACTCAATTGGACTTCATTAAAGACAGTACATGACATGTACATGTACATATTTTTCACTCCCTTAATATAAAGAGGATTATGTCTGGAGTAAATTAGACTACATGTAGTGTAACAAATATACCTCTCACTGTACTACATTGAGATGGGTGCAATGAGAGATAAATTCATGCAGTCTACAGACTTCACAGAAATATATTGTCTTTGAGAGGGGTAGGGTAAGAAGAAACAATTAAAGTTCTATACATCTGAAACTCAGACTATCTACTCTTCTCAAGTTCAATGCTACCCAATACTGGAAAAGAAGTACTTGTAATCAAGAGGGGATTTCAAATGTCATTTGGCCTTGATCATTTACACAGCTGTGTTTTCATTTTGTTAAACCGTATTGATGCTATGTATGTACATGTACAGTGTATTCTGTTTACAGCTCATGTACATAGAAGACTTAATACACCAGTTTACAATTGTGTGCGCCATTTTAAACAAAGCTAATGACCTAGGAGTCATGTATTTATGCGTAAATTAAGATTGCGCCCATGCAAATAATGATGACATCACTGCCTGCGCGCTGCGTTGTGCGCGCACATCATCATTCGCATGGGCGCAATTTTAATTTACGCATAAATACCAGAGGTCAGAGGTTATTGGCCCTAATTTTGGGGCCAATGACCCGAGGTCAACTGTCTGCGCATGCGCACTGACACAACTGTAAACTGGTGTATTGAGCACCACACAAACAATGGACACTTCTAAATACCCAGTTCAATACATGACAATGATTGAATGAATCAATACTCATTGCTCAAAAACTGAAATTCAAGAACAAAATACTAAAACAAACATTTTTATTAAAAAAAGGGGGGGGGGGGAGGAAAAATGAAAAAAAGACATGAAAGTAGTCAGCAATTTAAACCTGGAAACTTCTAAAAAAAGCTCCAAAAACATGAAAATAAGACATAAACAGTTACATGTAAATGAGCTCAGAATTATCATTCTTAAGACCCTTAAATCCTTAATAATACAATTAGCAAATGATCCTGAACCTCTGCATGGTCTGATAATCTGCTAATTCAGTTAAAGCCCAAGTCCACTCCAAAAATAACTTACTTTCAATAGAAGCAGAAAAATCAGACAAACCAATCAAAAAAAGTTTGAGCAAAATCGGATAACTAATAAGAAAGTTATGAATATTTACTGACATGAAAAACTTTGAAAATCACTACACAAATTGGCAACTCACTCATGAGTCTGTGACGTATGGTCCTCACTATCCACTAATAATTTTCTTTATATTGATAATATAAATTTCCTATTTTCACCCTAAGAATCTTATTTCTTCACACCAGCATCCAAGTTAGATTGTTATTAATATGATTTTGTGTGGATGTACAAATTAACAGTAATTTTTGTCCAGTTAAATCATGAAAAATTGAATTTTGATAAACTATTTATATAAAAATCAATAATATTATGAAATACAATACTCAGAAAATAGTATCAATTCTTCAAAATTTATAAACATTTTTGGGAAAAGTCATGCACGCAATATGATACAAATCATATAACCTGGGCAAATGCATGGAGAAATTAAATTTTGGGGGATAAAAAGGGAAATTAATGAGATTAAACTATATAAAGCAATTGATACATGTATGTTGTGAGGACATGACGTCACAAACTGATAACCATCTTGGCAAATTGTGTTGTGATTCTCATTGTTCCATAGTTTTACATACTTTTTCAAAAATTCATAACTTTCTTTTTCTTATTAGTTATCCGATTTTGCTCAAACTTTTTTTGATTGGTTTGTCTGATTTTTCTGCTTTTATTGAAAGTAAGTTATTTTTGGAGTGGACTTGTCCTTTAAACCCAACCCTGCAGGTCTAAGATCAAAGTCAGAATTACTTCCTCTGCTAGCCTGATTTTGACCAAAAGCCCTGAGGATCGTAGAATATGGACCTTATATTGTACAACAGGCTATGAAGATAGTTGTTTCCATCTATAAACTCAACCTACAATGTAAGGAATTTATCTTGAATCTGTAATCTGTAAATGATCAACAGTATAACCAAAGAGATACTAAGCCTGTGCAGTTATATGCAAATCAGCTTTGATTATTATCATTCTTTGGGGAAGCAGGAAGAGATTTATACATGTAAAGTGTTATGGCTGTTTTCATTCTGACTAAAAACAAAATGTAAACAACAGGAAGAAGGATCATCTGTAAAATGTAGTTTACATGTATTATGTCACTGCCAGTGTAGTTCCAGGAAAAAAAGTGTTTATACTTTGGTTTGAAATTACAGAGCGTCACAGAGCTGCTAATTTGGGATCGCACCTTTGTTTATATACCTTTTAGAATACATGTACATGTATACACTGCACTGTACTGAAGTACTGCAATGGAACTTCTACAAGTGACCTAATAAAGTCTGCATAAGAGACTAGGCAACCAGCCAGACACACCTAAAAATCCGCCCACACACAACCCATGATTGTAAAGCAGTTGCTCACTGGCTGGGAAAAAACGTAAACAAAGATTTGACTATGTAGCACCGTACGTGTATTTTCATGATTCAATACACACTTGTAACTGAATTGTTACTGTACAAAATACATGTGATCCACTGAAGCTGCACAATATATACTGTAACCATATAAAAGGTAACCATTCCAATATTTGAGGAACGATTCCCATTTTGGGGCCTTCAAGCTATATTGTTTTGAACCCTAGATTCTTCTCTATTTCTGAAACTTTTGTGTGAAAAGTATACAACATACACTATATTCCTAATTTTAACTTGAGAGATTCCTAATTCTTGCTGTGAAAGATTGGCAGGTTTGTACTGACAGTATCTGCTGAGTGCCAGAAAGACATTTAACTCATATCATTCCACATACAGTAATGCCCTTCTGGCTGTAACAAATCATATACTGGTACATGTACTGGTACATGAACAACTTCAGTGCCTATCAGATGCTATATACTGTCAATCGCAAAGTGATGGTCTCTATTATGTTTATAAATCATTTTATCTCTGTAACACACCTGGCACTGTGCCAATAGTTGAAAAGTTCAAAGCAGAGTACTAGATCTGTATATTTCTCTATTTGTTCATGATAATGTACTACAGTATGTACATCCTGGTTACGAACTGTATATCTGCTATAAACAACAAATGAATTGTACATGTAAATAAACAATCTGGACAAATATTGCATCCACATATGTATTGATTAGAAACTATGAAGAAATGCACAAAATAAAATTAACAAATGTGTACATTACATCTTGATAATGAATTACAATGTCTAAATGTACATGTACTGTTCATTATTACACTATTGACACAAAGTCACGAAGAGTCAATATTTGTACACCATCAAACCTACATGAACATGAATGGTCGGGAATTTGGAATATTTGGATGAATAAATGAATGAACGAACAAATGAATGAATTAATTAATGAAATAAATGAATGATTGAACAAATGAACAAATGAATGAATGAATGAATGAATGAATTAATGAATGAATGAATGAACAATTGAATGAATGAATGAACGAACAAATGAATGAATGAATGAATGAACGAATGAATGAATAAATGAATGAATGAATGAATGAATGAATGAATGAATTAATGAATGAATGAACAAATGAACAAATAAATGAATGAATGAATGAAAGAATAAACAAATGAATGGATGAATGAATGAACAAAGGAATGAACAAAGGAACGAATGAATGAAATAACATATGAATGAATGAAAGAATATTTGGATACAAGTTCACATACATGTCTAATTGTACATCTCAAAGTGGGTCTACCCAATTGTCTAGTGTCACCCATGGCAAACAACAAGTACATTAACTGCACCCCCCCCCCCCCCTAAAAAAAAAAAAAAGGTTACCCCCAATGTATTATTATGTTGACACAAGATTCAACTAAAGTAGGGCCCTACTGTACATGTCAATTCTAGGGCTGTAATGATGAAGATCATAGCAACAATCCTATAATGTCTCTATATTTAGATCAACCCATGGACTTAATCAAGTAGATCTACATGGTACCTCAACTCACCGTCCCGTCCGACTGACTGACTGACTCAGGAAGCTCATGTTTTTATGAGTCAGCATATCATGTGATTTCCTTTATTCAAGGTCTAAAATCAAACAATAACAACTCGAGTCAAGATTCAATCTTGGCTCTTATAACGAGCCCAAAATATCTTCTTGTTGACAATTTGTAATGAGTTTGACACTTTGAAAGTTTGATGTTCTGATACACATGACAAGCCAAAAATTGATCTTAAAAAAAATACATACAGATACATGTGTATGCCTCTCAAGTATTCTGAAGACACTTAAAATTAGTGAGTAAACTACATGTAGGCCTACTGTAGGACATACATGTATGTGTATAATGTTGGTGAAAAAAGGGTTACTATGTACAGTACACGTACATGTAAATGTACGTGTGTTTAAAGTACAAGTACTTCACCAAAGGCCAAATGATATTTGACCATAATGATGCAGTAGCCTCAAATCATGCAAAGCACTTCAATTCAATTCATGTAAAAAAAATAGTAATTGTTTGGCCGTAATAAGATGAGCTGCACGTTTGAATTTGGACTGAACCATCGAGTCTGACGTCGAGGCTGGGACCAGCCGGCATCACTTGGCCTCGAGTCCCTGACTCACTGTCATTAACAACATGTAAATTCAGGAAACTGCAGCTACATGTACATGTACATGTACATCTTCATGTACAGTATATACATGTACATGTAGATCTAGACTAGACCCCATATCATAAAATTGGAAACCACTCAATCGTATTTAATAAAGCAAACACACACTTGCCTTAAATAATTAAAATAAGACAAAATAAATCAAACCCTGGCCCTGAAGAACTGAAACAGTCAACTGCAGAATGACTCGATGGTAATTTTTGTTCCTCCATTTCAATTTGTTTAATTGTACAATCAAAATGTTTTGGCCTTGCTAATTTGATACTTACTTAACATGTACAGTAGGCCTACATGTATGGTAATAGCGATAAGTTCACTAAATTCAGTGAATTCTGTATATGCGCCTTCATTTGCTAAACAAATAGCTATTAGTATTATCGTAAATACAGAGCTGCCAACCTTGTCCGACCAAAAAAAGGAATCATGATGGCAAAAAAAAAGGAATTTCAAGCCAAAAAAAGGAATTCATGAAAACGAAACTTACAACCACGCGCAACACACTTCCAATGCAGAAATGTTCATTCATCATGCTGTTTTTTACATACAAGCAGGTACTTTTTGTAGTGGTTATTTTGGTATTATCGGCATTTCATTTTTTTCGAGAATATTTTTCTCTTCAAGTATGTTTTAAAATTAGTTTTCTATTGAATTTGTGATCAAATCATCATTTTCAGGCAGTTGTACGACGTATGGTATGTAAAAAAAAAATTAAAAAAAATTAAAAAAATTATCAAAAACATATTTTATAAAAAAAAAGGTAATACCGTAATTTGGAGGAAAAAACAGAGTAATTCCGGTAAATACTAAGTAATTTAAGTATCAAATTTGCAACGCAAAATCAGTTATTTGTGCATTTGCATTTTGTGTCTTTGCATCGTGAACTCTTGTAAGACTAAGAGGTCACGGTTTTTGTAATGAATTTAAACAAATAAAAATTAATAGAATCAACAGAGTTATTAGAGGTTGGGCAAAAATGCGCCACTCATACGCATTGACCACTATTTGGGTGTTGCTGACTTGCTGGGCCTGGCCTGGGGCCAGTTTCTCGAAAACCGTCACAAGTCTAAGTTTGTGGACATCCCATAGAAATGGTGTTAATTCTATAACACTCTTTTCAATGGAATGTCTAAGAAGTTAGATGGGAAGTTGGATTTAAAACGGTTTTCAAAAACAGCCCCCAGGTGTGGACATTACATGATGTGGGGGGGGGGGGGGGGGGGGGCTAGAGGCCTCGGCGCGCGCTAGGCGGCCGCGGCAGGTGTGAAAAAATAATAAACAGCATGTTATCAGTAGGGGCGCTGGTCTGAGAATGAGGATCGTCCTCATAAACGATATTACGAAGACGATCCTCTTTTAGGTCTATATTATGATTATGAAGACGATCTTTATCCTCGGACCAGCTCTTGACTTTAGGTCATGTTTCATGTGTGCACTTAGAGTCTTACTCTCTCAGTCACTGCATGCATATAAACATACATTCATCATTCCCTATCTTCTTCTTGGCTTGGCTTCCTCCAGTTTGGAGAACTGCAGTTGGTGCAGATGTTGGTAGTACACATATCGTTCATACGGTTTATGTCATGGTCACACATGGATTACATTTCTCGTGCATGCAAGTGATGCAACAATGACACTAAAAATATAGTAAAACTTGCATGCGCTTGTGCACTCACCAGAATACGATGTTCACACACACGAACAACACGGCACTCGGTTGCGCATTTTCCCACACCAAAAGGCTCTGAATGTTCATCACAAGGCCTTCTATTGGGCTCAGAATACTCCTAAGACGTTCCTCTCTCGCTCTAATGATAGCTTCTCTCTCTAATTCCTTCATTTTATCTTCAGGAAGGGCGCAAGGACCCCCATCAATCTCTGCTTTCAGCTCATCGCCGTCCATTTTGGCTATTTAATGAACTTGGTTTGTTATGATGTGACGTCACAGAAGACTCGTCCATTTCTTCGATAGATCTCTATATGAGGGGAACAAGAAAACCAAAATAAACCCTCAACTTTCAAACATTCCAAAACAGGTTCAGGCGGGGTTGAGGGCCTTCCACAGCTAGGCCTAGCTAATATGGCCTGGAATTTAGTTCATAAAAGAATTTCAACCTTAAACCACAATTCACCAAAGTTTCTGGTTTTACAAACCCAGTACACTTATATTTCCCTCCCTTCTTCTCTTTTTAAATCCTTTAATTATCTTCTCCTTCTTCATTATTCTCTCTGTCCATTTTTGTCTCGTTTCTTCTTCTTCTTGTCCCCCCTTCTCTTTCTGTTTCCCATTCTTCTTCTTCAGTACTCTTTCTCCATTATCATCATCTTCTTCTTCTTTATACCTTTTCATCTCATTGATGTTCTTCTCTTCCTATAAATTTGCTAAATGATCTTCTTCCAACCTACTGCATACTTTATGTATATTTGCTTGGGTTCAATTTCAGGTTTAAGGCTTCACAGCATCGGTTGGCCTATTATATTCCAACAATCGTTTTCAGTAATTTACAAACTATTAAATGTGATTTTTTTTTTTTTTTAAATGAAGGATAATGACCAAAGGCTGCCATTTTACAAAAGATGAAACAGTATTTTTATTTTTGAATGTTTGTTTTTTTATTGTGTGTACATGTGTCTCGCTCCCCACCCTCTGCCTCTCTCTGTCTCTCTCTCTCTCTCTCTCTCTTTACCTCTCTTTCTGTCTCTCTGCCTCTCTCTGCCTCTCTCTGTCTCTCTCTCTTTCTCTCTATATCTCTCTTTCTGTCTCTCTCTCTCTCTCTGTCTCTCTCTCTCTCTTGTTCTCTAAATTCTTGAGTTAAAAGAGGAAGAAAGAAGAGAGAAGAAGAAAACATGAGGAAAAGAAGATGATGATGGTGAATACCACACTCATGAAAATAATTATGAAATTGGTATTACAAATGATAAAACATGAACCATCTTCCATTTAATTGAAAAGATTTATTGAAAAGCAAATTCAAAGAAAAAGTCATTGAGAAAGTACTGATAAACAGCTCACCTCTATACACCTGAAGTATGAAAAAATAAAAATACAAACATATTCATTATAAGAATTAGAAAAAGGCTCATTCCGGCCCTAGAATACATATATTAGTTCTCCTCGTTACCATGGAGAATGGAGTATATCGTATGTTGAGAGTCAGATGGGCATTACTCATATGCTTCAACATAGAGTTTAATAATTAACACCCTTCTGGCTCTGTCCAAGTGATATTTTCTCTGCCAACACAACTACACCATACCTGAGAGTTTTTCAATCAAAACATTTTCCACCCCTGCTGCTCACAAGCATGCAACCAGTTGAGAAGTACAAATGGAAATAGGCCAATATTCATAAAAGTTGATCGCGAAGACACACCAGAAATCAACCAAAGTTAATTTCAATAGCCTTGTCAATACCCTTTTGCAATGTCTGAACATTGTAACGACACATAATAATACAATCCGGACTTGATTTATCATGATAGCAAGAACATTCAAGAATCAACCTAAGGCATTTATAATAGCCTAATGCGTCACCTGTTGAAATATGTGAATGACGTACTACGTAATCCGATTATGATCTCTATTATGCTTTTCACACTTGTTTGGCTTAGCCCCGTACTTTGCTTAGCACATACTTTTGTTAGCCCCGGACTAACTTTCTTTGCTTATTTCATATGCAGTTCTAATCCGTACTAAGCACCTTTCCCAGGAACAAAAAGTACGCTAAGCTTAGCCCAACCTATAGTCCGGGGCTAAGCACCAGTGTGAAAAGCATATATGGGACATAGAACTGGCCCTTGAGTTTACTTTACAGAAATAGATGCAATCGTGTAATTTCTATAGAAGGCAATACAATAGAGAACTAAAATTGCCCTCAGATTGATTTTATGGTCTACAGAGCTTGACAACTGGTGCTCCATAAATAAGTGAACAACGAGGTGAAGCCATATTCAATTCAGTCTGCTTTTATGAATATGGGCATAATACATTTGGTTCTACTGGCCCAAGCTCACCATAGCAATAGCATTAAAAGCCGATGGCTGAGCGTTAGAACTTAGAAGGGTGTTATCTTATCAAAATTTGAATAAAGCCAACACCTTTCTAGTTCCGAGCAGGTGATATTGTTATCAAATAGTTTTGATTTTCATTTGACAGTCATATATTAGTTATCTTCTCATAAAATACAAACAGGCCACATATACATACATCAAAATAACATTCTATTTTATATAGATACAAAATTAGGAGAATCGCTTCTCTGTGACTAATTAGGGCTCAGAGTTGTACAAATGTCGTTACCGACAAAAGGCCACCTGAAACCTATCGAAAGACTCATGATATCCTTGCCATAATGCAAGAAAGTGAAATTACTCCCAAGTGCAAAAAGAACAGAACTATTCAACTTTTACGATACAAACATGTAAATAATTTTCATTAATCTGCTTCTAATCAGAGCTATTTCCATCCACATGTACTAAAGGTATGCATTATTTGAGAAATAAAAATATGTAGTTCACTGACAAAATTAAAGTTAAATTGCATTTCGAGGCAAATTTCATAATCAAATAGTAATTGCCTTGTAAGGTATATGTAGGAAAAGGCTTAATTGAGATGACAATTGAATGAATTTGAGTACCTATATGAAAACAAACTATTGGCCTATATATAATTACTTACAATACTTTAAACATGACTTTGACATCTATATTATATATATATATTAAAGGCAACAATTATCATTATATTTCAATTGTTTTAATATTGTCCCCACAATCACTATGAACATGACGGACAAAGAAAGCAGACAAAATATACAGTTCCTCATTCTACCCTCAACAATTACCGTGGTAGACAAAGGAACATCCCTTCACTGCTATTATGTAAAAATGTGTAGAACAGGTGTCACAAGCATATTCACCTGTTCTACACATTTTTACATCATAGCAGTGAAGGGATGTTCCTTTGTCTACCACAGCAATTGTTGAGGGTAGAATGAGAAACTCTATATTTTGTCCGCTTTCTTTGTCCGTCATGTTCATAGTGAATTAACACCTCCATATATTCCTACCCCAAGGTATACACATTTTCTAGTATTTATTTTTTTCTACAAAACACAAATAATTACAATGAAAAATAATTGAAAATAACATTTTCAACAAAAACAAAAAATTGCAATGAACATAGAGGTTGCGTATAATTTGCAGAACTATTTTTTCCCACATCTCTTATCTTAAAAAAAGAACATGTATGATAAAATGTATATGTACATTAAAGCGATGCATATCATGGTCTGAAAATGCACTCATTTATTAAGAGGGAGGGGGGGGGGGGTAAATAGCTTCAAACTACAAGGATGTCAAAAAGCATAAACTAAAACAATACAGATCAAACTGGCATAATATAGTCAATGAAACAATAATAACATAATGCACACAGTTCATTGCCCCCACCTACACAATTAAGAGTTTAAGACACAACAGAATTAACTGTAAATAAGCCATATAAAATATAACAAAATTATCTACACACCAGAGAATATATGTTACCCCAAAAAATATGGGGGAAATACTCCAATTTAAACATGAGTCAATATATGTTTGGAATACTGAACATGATTTCAATTCAGTTTTAGAATTCCTTCTCTACATGATTTTCATAATTTGCCAAACCGTTGAAAGGATAGATTCAATTGCTTTGAACAATATCAAACTCTGTATGAATAAAATTTCAAAATTCATTATTCAGCAAGTATTAAATATTAAGATTCAGCATAAACATAAATACTGTCAATAAGCCTCATAAATTTCAGTTTTACCACAATAGAGCTACATTTGCAAAAGTTGATATCTACAAGCTACAAGAGAACTACATATTTCCAAAAATATAAATTTGCACATACTTTAAACTCCAGACATGTTTGACCTAGCTGACCCCAATTTTGTTTTAGATTCTGTATACTTGTGGCCTTGTTTGTATTGCTTCTACTGCTAGATAATGCAGCATGTAATCTTATACATGCGTGTTGCATTAAAAGGAAAGTCCACCCTGCTATTTAGTTGGTTTTAAAAAGCGAAAAAATGAGAGAAAGAGTTCAGTATAAGTTAGAGCGAAATCTGATAAAAAAAAATAAGTTAAAATTGAATTCAATCAACCACAAATTCACAATGGCATGAAGTATCTTGCTAGGTCCTCTTCCATTTGATCTGTTCAGCAAATTTCATAATTTACATTTATGATTTTACATATTATAATTTACATTTTACATATATATATATATATACATATATAAATATTGTCATAGAGAGATGTGTAGAAACATACCGGGTATGTACAATGATTGTATCTAGGGGGTATGTATGATCAAACATTTTCTTTACTAAATAGAGAAATGTGAGATTCTTTTTTAGTTGAGATTGGAGAGGACTTTGTAAGATTTTGTGTGTTAGACTGATTAAAAATTCAAAAATTAATAACTTTGTTACTTTTTATCAGATTTTGCTCCAACTTTCACTGATCTATTTCTCTATATGTTCTGCAATTTCATATCAAGATGGACTTGCCCAGTAAGTTGAAAATATAAAGTCACATGATTCCATTGTTGACACCTATGAATACAAAAAAAGCTAACGCATATAACAAATTATGAAGCAGAATTTTGGGTCCTTGCACATCTTTACTAAAAGAGTCCTTTGAAAATTGCTGGATTGATCAATTCTGGCTCCTTTCTTAAACTTTAAAGACAAAAAAGAAATGAAATAAATTTAACAGATTATAAATTCATGATTTAAATCAATGTTGATATTATTAATCGTCCTTACCACCTTTACCTTGCAACAAGTATAACAAAGACAATATAATAATTCCTACAACAAATGGATTATTCAGCAAAAGACAGAAATACAGTGAGCTGACACGAACCTGAGGTGTAAAGTATTGCCATGCAATATGAAGCAATATGAAGCATTAATTAAGTATTTAAAGTTGAGATGTATTTTGTGGTGTGCATAGCACATGACAAATGAATGATTTTAAAGTACAATAGAGCTTGTGAGACTTAACAAAAAAGATTAAAGAGCTGTCGTTGTACCGAGTTTCCCAACAATATAGAGATCTTGATTTTCAACATTCATGATTCATCATTGTCTTATTGGCATCTAATTTTCTGCTCTCCAAGACTTCATTGATTTCTCTTAGTTCTTTGACTCTTCTTAGTAAGATCTGTATCAATAGAAGGACATTCATCCTTCTAAACTTTGCAACACTTACATTTTTCTTGCAGAGAATTTTCTTTCAACAACAATAAAGCCCCGAAGAAACTATGTAAGTAGATATCATAAAAAGTAGCAAAATGGTTGCCAATTTGAGAACAAAATGATTTTGTAAGTACAGAAACTTCATTGATATTATGTATCCCAAATATTGTGTTTGCCACGTGGAGTTATGCATCGGAATTAGAGTGAATTTTGCTCTTTTTGCTCATGCATGTATTTCATTTTGAACATGGTGCACTACAGGTATATACTGTGTATTGAAATATTGCATATGGTCAAACCAAAAATAAACGTACAAACACAAAAAGGGAGGCGGGTAAAGAGTTTTTAGGCCATTAAGCACTGTCTACATGAACTACATGCAATTCCACTCTGTTCCAAAAAATATTTCTTCTTCCAAAATACGGCACATGGTTTTTGATTCAAGGCAATGGGGACATTTGGTCTCCAACATCTACAATAAATGTTGACACAAACATCAAGAGAAAAATATTGCTCGGTAATCAGTTCTGTACAAGTCCATGTACGTTATTTGATTCCCATTTATACAGGGATACCATGCTTTTAAGTCATTTTGTTCACACACATACACACTCATTTCTAAATTCAAACTATTCTTAATTTACATTTACATGTATAAAGTGTATATTTATAATTCATGATTCGCAAGATAACACTATTTACTAAAAATGTATAATTACACATTATGATTTACATGAATAAAGCATTTTAAATAAACATCTGAGGCTTTGCAATGAACTCCTTCCCCACTTCGACCGACTCATGGAACAAGCACGGATTGCTGCAGTTGACTCTGGGCACGAGTACAGTATCGGAATATATGCCTCATATACCCGGTACTCTTAACAATATGGTAGTTAGGGCCTTTGACCCATAGAAAATATCAAAGAGTTAACAAATTTTAACTTAAGTAGGAAATGAAATGCCCTCTTGTGCCAATATTCATAGAACCTCACTAAGCCTAGTTGTTAATTAAAAAGCTAATTATCTACTATAGCCTATAGATGTCATTAGCTACATGTACTGTAGCTAGTAAGTTTCATGAATATCGGCCTGGGCAGCGTCTCACGAAACCGTCATCATTACATTGAAACGTGTGTTAAACTTAATACACACGTTTTAATGGGATGTCGGTGAACTTGTACTTATGACGGTTTCATGAAACGCTGCCCTGCTCTTAACTCCTTTGCATCTGCATAAAAAATACAGTTATGTTTCTGACATACAAACAAATTTACAAAAATCAAATATTACCACATCCTTATATATATATACCCTGGCCGTAAAAGCAATAGAATATATGCGATGGTGTGACCAACTGAATAAAGGCCATGCTATCCTCACCTATATACTGACCTCTTTTGACAAAATAATGAACATTTGTGAAAAGAATAATACTAATTCTGATATGGACAGACTAAAACAAAACATCAGACATAATATACGGTAGTGCCTGAGGATTGGCAGTATTTTTCCAAGGCCTTTGCTTTCTCCCAATTGTTTGCTTTATCCCACTTGTAGCTTTATAAAGGCAAACACTGTACTAATCATATGGAGATACAGTACAACAATTTGTTTCTTATGATAAAAAGGATGAAATTATTGCAATTTGTGCTTACTCCTTCGCGTCACACACAGAAAGGCAGCATATTCATGAATCTAGCGAGGCCAGTGTAACTCATAATAACCTTCTAAACTTCCACTGTACAAAATGCCTTGGAGCGCCAGGTTACATGAATGCCACAAAGACACACCCTAACTCTCAGTCCCAGACGATAGCTACTTCACAACCCAGTTCCACCCATAACCACAAACTGGCCCTACATGTAAATTATAGTTCTAATGACTAAGCTTTATGTTAGAGCTCAACACTATTTTTATTTCTTGTTTTTTTTAAAAGGGGATCTGGATTGAATCATTTTAAGTTTAAAGTCTGTACGCATGAGCATAATGTTAACATTTTTGAAATTTGGGGGCCAAACTTAGATTTTAGGCGGCCATATTCCCCCCCCCCCCTGAGTGCCTGTATAATCGAGCCCAGCTTTATGACATAATCATTTGTGCATTGTTTCCTCAGTTTGAGTGCCTTACTGTAAATCAAAATTCAGCCAGGTTTCCAAATCACAAAGTACCAGGATATCTGTACGAATTTTGACTTTCAAATGAACATGACATTGGGCACCTTGAAACAATATGAAGTGAAATTGTATGATTTGGAAAATGTGCCCCAGTGACAAGTTGGCAAACACTTAAAAAGGATTGTAGTTTAAAGGTATTACAAAGTTTTGGTATGGGGTCGTGAATTTGGTTCAAATTAACATATTGGAAGCATATGCGTTCCTACAATATTCATTGATCGTTGTCACGATTGAAATCGAGTCTAAAGTTATGAAATTATAAATAATAAACTCTTTATGTTGTATAGCTCCCTCTCAAGGTCAAGATATCAATTTAGCTATGAAACAATGTTTCTTGACTAAAATCTACTGAGTAGCTATTCCCGTTTGGAAATTATATATCACAACTACATATTCTGAGATTTTCATGGTCGCAGCCACCGTTGTACGGCCGTAGGCGATATTTGAAATTTATCAAAATTTACTGGGAGCACCGGTAATATATTCAATTTTTCTCGAAAACAGAAGTGTTTTAGGGGTTAATTTTTTTAGTGCTTATAATACATCCACGGGGGCATCCAAATATATCAAAATTGTAAAGATTCACTACCCACCCAATTTTCAAAATTTCCCAAAACTTTGTAATACCTTTAAAGGGAAGTATATTACAGAAGTATAGTTCCCCAAGGGAAGTCAAGGTCTTTTAACTCATTAAAGAGGTTATATTTTCTTAATTTTGGGCATTTTTGTGGCTAGAAACTTTTGTTAAATGCAAAAAAGGTTATATTGCGAATTGCTGGTTTTGCATCAAACTTGTATTATACATGTATTAACAAAATGAAAGTTATAGGAAATTGAATAAACCATGTAAATGGCTACCAGTATTTCAAGAAAAGGTAGGAAAATGTTCAGTAATAGTACTGAGGCATAGTAGTAGATCTCCACCAAAGTATTAATGAAGACATCTATTACCAATACAAGAGGAAGGCTACTATTTACCTGTAAATCTGTAGTACACTGACCATCAATATACAGCACTGGTATAAAATGAGAGTTGTAATAGTCATTAAAAAAAAAAATCATCAGACTTCTGAGGTTTTAATTAATTGGAGGAGATGTTTTTATAATTTCAAAATTCAAGTCGGTATACCCATTTGTAAAATGTAATTAAAAAGTAGATCAAATACACTAGCCAACATTTTGGATAAGACAGAGTGAGAGAGAAAATCTATGCAATTTAAGCTTTCCTAATCATTCCTAGTAAAAAAGAAAAGCCTGCATGTACATGTACTTCGCAATATCATAACCCAGCCTTCAGCTTCCTATGGAATGCATATTGAATACAATTTGATATTTGGTAGTCATCGCCGAATAAAATAGGTAATCTACAGTCTAAAGCTAATTTTGAATAACATAGTGAATGGTTCTTATGAATATCTACTTCACAGCCCTCTTTCTATATAAAGTGCAAAATCTATTTCAAACACATAAATATAAATATATTTGCTTTCATTTCTCCCTCTAATACATAATATATTGATATAATATTAAGTGTGCACCTTCAAATAGTACAGGAAAGAGATGTATTGCATTTAACCTACGTTTTAGCAGGACCTTCTCGTATTAATTCTATGAGGGTCTCTAAACCATACACAAAACCCTTATCTTCACCTTCATAATTTATCCCATCCATTCCAGCTACTTCAGCGGATGACGAATGCGCAAAATCGATGATCTTCACTAAGACGCCATCGTTATCGTCATCATCGTCATCCTCATCAGTCCTCTTCGCGTTCTCTGTCCTGAGGTCGCGGGCCTCGTCGTTGCAATCAGGCCTGTACCTACCACTTTCCGCATCTCCTTTGCTCAATGCCGACTCGACTTCCGTTGAACCATTCACCTCGTTACTCTGCGTAGTAGAATCGACCTTTTCCATGCCCTCATATATGATAAGCACCGAGCAGCCGAAGAAACGATACTGATCCATGCTCGAGATGAGCTCCTTGAGTTGTGAGATGCGCCGGATGATGGAAGCTCGTATCCTCCTACTGTGCTGGTGCTTGTCATAGACGAATCTGCCGACCTCATAACGAAGGTCATCCTCGGTCAGTTTGTTTCCATATTTCTTGTTGCAGCATACATAGGTGCCTTTGTCAGCTTGGTATACCTATGAAATAAACCAAACAAATAAAAATGGTTACTGGTGATCAGTGAAATGTAGAAATACATTTTTATTCACTGGAGGTCTTTATATACTTGCAATGAAATTGTCCTTTGTACAGTAATTATGTATTTTCTCTTAATCAGAGCTCTTCACTCACCACTCCAATGCGTTATTTCTTTTGCCGAACTGGATTGTCATCATAAGTTATCGCAGTGCAATTTTGCAGAACTAAACAGGCATTTTAAGGCTACATGTAGTTCATGGTTTCATACATGTATGTACATGTAGTTATGGTTCCATGTCATCTTTAATTCTAGTAACATAAAAAAGATGCTCCCACAGAATACTCTCATAGAATTTTAAAAGAAATTAAACTCTTTGAGAATAAATGATTTTCCAAACACCCCCTCCCCCCCCCCCCAACAAAAAAAAAAATAATAATAATAATAATTACAAAATCTTTATTTTTTCACTTTTCAAATTTCTAAATATTTCATTTATTTATCTATTTCTATTTTTTCCTATTTACCTACATGTACCATTACATTTTTATTTCATAATTTTATAAAGCGGTATTTGTTTTTTGCTTTTCAGGGGTTTGGACACAAATAACACAGCAGTAATGTGGAAAACCTTTAATTTTTCGATATCTTGACATTTTTCCCATCTGCCCCCCCCCCCCCCCCCCCCCATTGAATAAATCTGGCACAACCCCTGGAAGTACATATACCTGCATGCCCCCGAAGCGCACTCCTAGTTTTTTGGTTGTACTCTCTAAGGCCCTTGCAATGTTCAACTGCTTCTTCTCCTCCGAAAGGTCATCACCATGGCAACGGGTGCCTATCTTCAGGTCAATGACGGACGGGCACTGGTAGTCCACTGTCACATTTTCAAGGAGCATGTAGTCTGGGTTTGAAGAAATGAAACTGGATTATTTGAGAGACTCAGTCCACCAGATATAATGCTCGTAGGGGGGGGGGGGGATAAAGGGGTGGCCATGGCCCACTAGTGCCCCTCCTGGCTATGCCTACGGGAGTGTAGAGTTGTACCAATCCAGAAAGGTCAAGAAAGAAAGTGCTATGCACTCTTGATGACCCTTTTACTGCCTTTGTTAAGTCTCACATCTGCATAACTCCTACATATGTAATACTACTACTGCTACTACCCTTACATTACATTGAATTGCATTAAAAAGACCACTTATACTACCAGTATTCTGAGCTCACAAAGACATCAATTACGGACAATCATCGATCATCAGTTACTGACGCAAACTGTACCTATGTCAACACACCCACACAGCTTCATATTGCAGAAAGAGAAATGGATCTTACCATGTGCCCTCAACCAAAAAGAATGCCCTTCTACTTAGTCAATGGGCTACTACTTAAGGATTAAATTACAATGCGTGACAACCAGTCAATGATAAAGGTCATATTTTATGTATTCTGCAGGGTGCCCCTTGGCCAGTTTCCAGTCTAAATGAACATATTTTGTTCACAACCATATGTCAAACATGTATGTCAGAATATATATATATTTTATGCAGTGAACAGACTTGTAAGGGAAAGAAGAGAGAAGTTGAGAAAATGCAAGATGAATATCGACTAGAGGGAATAAGATGCCAAAATAGAGTAAAAAGAAGTTAGAGTAAAAAGAAGTTGGAGTGGGAAAGGTAAAAATGGCAAGGAGTATAAGTAGTTGTCCATGTACTATACAGGAAGAAGATGAATATGTTGAAGAAGACAAAGAAATACAAGAAAGCACGAGAAGAGAAAAAGAAAGTAATTAGAAGGAGTATGTAGAGGAAAGAAAAAAGAAAATCAAGAAAAGGAAAAATAAGATGCAAATGGGATGGTAAAGGAGATGAGGAGTATTTAAAGAAGATGATTAACGGTAGGAAAAGAAGACAGGCTAGGAAGAGACACATGTACCTTGTATGATTATGAATAAATAAGGGGTGAAGGGGACAGAACAACAAAATGAGAAGAACAGTGTTAAATGGGTACCAGGTAGGCTGCGACTGTCATTGTTGGTCAAACAGTTATTGAGCATCAAGTAACGCTTGGCTGGAATGCTCCCCAGGGAGTGGAGATTGTGCATACAGTGTGTGCAGGCAAGTAGTGAATCAAATGACCGGGGTAATAGTATATCTATAAAGCGCCTATAGACATTTGTATTAGGCGCTATATAAAAGCGGAATATTATTATTATAAGGTATGAATAATGGGAAAATGGGAGAAAAGGTTAGAAGAAGAAAAGGAAGACCAGAGAAGATAAAATAGGAGAATCAAATCAAGCATCATTCTTACCAGCGTGTATCTTGAAGGGTCTATTTTCCCCCATGGTGAACCTGAGAGCCTCGGCCTGATGAACTCTCAGACTCCATGGGTTCAGACCATTGCCCCGTGATAGGTAGGAGTAGTCTGTCGCATCCTCAAAAACCTTTCCTCTCGTTGGTCCATGCAGGGGAGGGCTGTCATCAAGGCACTGAGGGTTTGGGGATATTCTGCAAAATAAGCGGAGAAGAAGAAGGAGAAGCAGAAGAAAAAGAAGAAGAAAAATAAATAATAATAATAATAATTACAACAACAACAACAAAAACAATAGCTGTACTAATGATAATAATAATAATATATTGTACAATAACAACAACAATAGCTGTAATAATGATAATAATAATATTATTGTAATATTCTATTCTTGAAAAGTGCATTTACACAATATAATTATTGCAAATATGTTTCTATACAACCCCTGTATGGAAGAAAGAAAGAAAGAAAAAAAATGATTCCATGACAATAACAAAGAAAATGTTAGTTTATGAAATTTTTTGTGCGGAGTAAATGGGAGGGAAGTTCGCAAGATACGTCATATACTGTAGTTCCCAATTTATGTTTGATTGACCACAACTTCAAAAATTTATAACTTACTTTTTTTTTTAATCCGAACTTGCTAAAATGACATGTTCCTGTCATTTTTCTGCTTCTATTAAAACCAACTTAATATCAGTGTGGACTTCTCCTTTAATAAGTTTCATTCAACAGATTTCCTTGCTACTACTAATCTCCAAGGTTACCAATCAACAACAACAAATAAATAAATACAAATAAAATAGAAATACTAGCATGAGTACAGCAAGAATCTATCTCAATAAAACTTAAGCTGGCATACTAAGGGCTGACAGTTTAGGAGTATGACGAACATAAAGAATAACATAAAACCCAAGTTGGATTTGGGTTCTATTTTAGCCATATTCTATGCGAGCGCATACAGGTGCTTTGAAAAGTCTCCTCACGAGTCACTTTTGCATATATATTTGTATGTTAATGTAGAGTATTTAAACTTGCAATATTATCTCTTTACAGAAGTACACCATAGTATTTGGAGCTCTTATTTTGAATACAGCACAGTATTTAACATACAGAGCCTTTTTTTTGGGGGGGGGGGGGAAATGGTACATTTAAAGTTAATCTGGTACATTTCAAGTAAATCTGTCACAATTTAAGTTAATCTGGTACATTTTAAGTTAATCTGTTACATTTTAAGTTAATCAGGTACATTTTAAGTAAATGGTGCATTTACCTTTGACAAGGTGAATTCTTGTTGTTGTTTTGGATGCACCGGCCATCACAACAGGAGGATACGTGGGTTTTGTGATTAGTATAAACATCTCCTTTGTACATGTCATCAGTCACACTGCATTTTGAGTCCACAGAAGAGATCAGATCCAACTCAATGTTGCTTGACACCTTACCATTGATCGTACCATGGTCAATGTGCCTGAGAGAGGGCGCTGTGATAGCCCTGTATGTTATATCGTCTTCCTTGTCCTTCTCGACGACAACTTCAACAACACCTAGAGAGGGAATACAAGATTTAACATGAAAGAAGGGTCTTAAAGCCACACTGTACTACTTGTAGCTACTTGCTCCCTCTGTATAGAAAACAATGCCTAATCTGTGACCATTGGTCCCCCATGATCCTCTTTTTCTTATGTTAATTGAGAGCGGAAGTGACCTTGCAGTGTGGTCTAATCCCTCCTATAAACTAGTACAGATGAGCTTTAAGCTACCAAGGATATAGATTTTTAAAGGCTACATGAATCTGTTTTTCTTCTTTCAATTGACAATAGGTTATATTCTAATTTCACTACTACGGTTATGTCTGCTACCGGTAATCAAAATTATAAATTTTATTCAAATTAAAAACACTACTTCTGAAAGAAACAAACACTTGTATGAAAAAGCAAGCAGATATTTAAAAAAACGTTTTGCTATGAAGTAAAAATAAAATTGCCTTTTCTTTTTTTTTCTCCTTTTTTCTTCTTTTTTTCCCTTTTTTTTTCTTCGTCTTTCTTTCCTTTATTTTCTATTTTGTTGTCTCTTTGGTCAAAAGGATCAGAGATTAACTATAAATATGTAACTCAGCTTGAAAAGGCGTCTATTATTCAGAAATTATTTCTAAGTTAATGGAAATTCACAAATCATACCCAAGTTACATATAAGAAAAATAATCATCTATTAACTCACCCTTGAACTTTGGTACAAAGTCTCCCATGATAGGAGCCAAGTAACGGTAATTCCGGATCTCCCGTTCGAACATTGGCTTACAGATTGTGCATTTATCGTACAGCAGGATTCCTCTGTGACCCCCGACCTGATGAATGAAGGGCGTCAGAGGGAGCCCTCCTTCCGGCACAGCCATGGCTTCCTCACTACAATGCGACCCTTGACCTTTGATATATATTTATTACTTTTTTTATAATTCTAACCCAACAAAGGTGAGATCTTTATTGAATCTTTATCAAATCAAACGGTAATGAAATTAAATTTGGAATGTGCCATTTCATGTCTTATAGACAGATTCTCAAAAATTCTGTAGTATGTTGAAGGATACCAAACATATAAATACAAGTTCATTTAAATGTTAATGCACAAGCACATAAAAAAGGCACAAATATGGCATCATTTACAAAAGTATTACAACATTCATAAAATCTTGTTTCTTTTCTGCAATTCTCTCATTTTCTCTTTTGAAAGAGCTCCCTATTCAACGGCCGGAGCAATAGATTTGACCTATGCAGTCTTATTTTTCTTGCTCTGTCCAATTTAGGAATGTCAAAGGTAATTGCACTGTTTGCGTTAAGGGTTCATTGCTGCTGTGACGTCACACAAACTAGAAGAAAAAGAGCTCTCAAGTCTGTCACTCTTTCTTTTGTTCTTTAATCAGGCCATTTTTCTTCTTACTCAGCACTCTCCTCTCTGTGAAAAGAAACATCAGATAATTAATTACCTGAGAAACAGTTTACTAAACAATTTCAGACCTCCCAGTCCCCCCTTTTCAAATGTACATGTAGATATAAGATTACATTAAGCTATGGGTGCCAAATACAGAATTTAAAAACAGTTAAGTTTCTCACCCATTTTACATTCTACTTTCTTTCATCTTCTCTTTTTTCCCTCTTTAAATTTAAAAAAAAAAATATGAATTAAAGGAATAATCTTAGGAAATCTAACTTTTTAAAAACTAAGTACAACAAATTGACAATTAAGGTAAAACAAATTGTGATTTATAAAGTTTCTTTAAAGGTGAAATTCAAAGAAAATCACAAATATGTCAACTAATGTATCACTAGAAACTGGTAAGCTAACAGATGGCCATCGTACAAGTTTTAGGTCAACTACATATCAGGTGATTTATAAAAATACAAATACAACCACCTCCAGAGCAGCTGGGATATACGAGAGATTCGCCGGAAAAATAATGATGTTTTAATGACGTCACTATATGGACCAATACTGCCCAAGCAGACGACATCCCATAAAGAATGAACATAATTGCAAAGCTATTATTTGTCAAATTATAATGAGTTTAGTGTATATAAATGTAATGGAATGTCAAGCCATTCAAAAGTGGATATGACCAGATTCTGATTTAATAACTAAAATCTTTTGCTTGTAAATACACAGGATAGGGGTTAACAAACAAAACAGGCAACAAAACAGCCCCTGTAGAAGCACAAGAGTAAAACTAAAAACAATTGTATATTAAAAACATCATAAATTTCAAATAAACAATTACATAATTATATACTTCATGATCTGTATCAGCAAAAATGGTGTTCAGTGAATTGCCCACTGCACTATGCACATGCACCACTTTGGACTTCTCTGCAGTAATGTCCTCTCCAGTAATGTGAAAGCTGTCACCTCTTGCAACTGAACCCAAAGCCCAGGCCATTGTCCAGCGTGCACTCAAGCCATTGCAAGAGAGGCCAGAGTGCACACCGTACAATAGCCCGTGCCAAACCCAGGCCCGGAAGAAAGATGGAAAACGATAGAATCACCTCTAAAACGATTTGAGAATCATTCATGTATATCAATCAAGGTAAACAGATACAATGAGTGAAGTAATATTACATAGATTGAGAATGAGTGTTCTTCAACTGAATCAACAAAAGGCTAAAGTGGGTTTAAGTGAAACAGAATGTTGTGAATATTGTAACATCAGTGAAACAGAAGAACATTTTATATTTTATTGTAATAAGTATATCATCGATGCTTTTCTCAGATTTAGACACCAAAACAATAGAAGAAACAAAAAGAATACTTTTCAAGTTTTCACAGAAGGGTCAATATGCCATCCTACTATATATCCATAGAACAGGTCGCTTCAAATAAAACAAGAGACCTCATTAATAAGTTTACCTACAAGTAAAGTAAAATAAGCCAAAGTACTTCTTTAGAAAATTCTCCCAAAGAAAATAAAAGGAGGAATAAATAAAGAAATAATGTTTGTATGTATGTAATATATAGGCCTATATAGGCCCTTTTTAATATGATGAAAGAAAGACGTTCATATTTCAATTTGTTCTATTTTTATGCATTGATACTAACAAAAAGCCCACTTTAATGTTTGCTTACAAATAATGATAATGACTTTGTGATAAGATTTGTATAACATTTTACTTGAATGGAATGGAAATTCGGTTTCAGGAGCGCCTCTGTACGATGTGTCTCAATTTGGTGTATCTGTGTTTCTGAGTGGTCTAGGCACCGTGCGTTACAAAATAAAAAGATCAATGCGCACGCACGCCGAGTAGCCGAGAAGCCTGTTTCAAATCGGGCAAAGCTAGTTTCCATGCAATCGAAACCGGGCTGACCAGATTAAACTTTAAAAAAAGCAGAAACACAAAGTTGCAAACCATCCAGAGACTCCTAATAAATTGCATTACTTATTAATTATTTCATTACAAATCTTTATTCTCAGTTTTCTTATGAAGAATAGACTCTATAACTGATTTTCTTATAAAATTGAAGATATTTATGGCCAACCAAAAAATTACTTTTTTTTTTACGAGGGCTCTTTTCAGATTTTCCCTCAAAAAAATAGCCCCCCTTAATTATTTTGCGGTGGCTATTTTGGAGCTCAGGGGGGCTTTTTTTTTTAAGGTTGTATTTTTTAAAAACATGGTTTTACCTACTTAAATTCCAAGCAAAGGCAAATATACATACAGTTGTAATGTACATATGTCAGGTAGAGTATTGCAGACATATTCAGATACCCATGATTTATTCACTTTGGGCTAAACGTGTGGCTTAGATCTATATGTACATGTAACTAAAACTTGTCGAAAGGAGAGTTTTGTTCAACTGTTCGTTTTTCATATCGTAAGAAAATATTATCACTGACACGCAGGCCAAGTTTTAATTTTTTTATGGGGGCTACTTTACCCCATTGCATAAAAAAAAACCAAGGGGCTACTTTAGGAAAAGTGGGGGCTCCTATTGAAAAAGAGGGCTACTTTCTTCAAGCCAAATTGTAAGCTGTAACGATAAGTTGTGTTTTTCCAGCAACCAAATTGGTAGGTAATATGTTATTTAGGTTTTTTTTCTGTCCCTAATTGTTAGCATGGACAATGCGATCCCATTTTTAAAAAATGTAACTCCATTTAAAATTGTGTTATTTATAACTTAAAACCATTAAATGTGAATGACTTTTTTTACTGTTGTCCCACATACCGATGTATTTGTTATAACGAAACATGCAAAATCCTGGCCATATTTTTTTTCACATATAGACTCTATTTCTAAAGGCCAAGCTAAAGCTAGTTTAATTTCGTAGACTGAAATTGATGCCATCACTCAGGCATCAATGACAATGTGCCTGGCATAGTAAATAAATAATATAATTTAATTTAACAGTTGTAAGAAAAATTCAGAGGTTTAGGAACATCTACTATATATTTATTTACGTTTTTTTTATAACAAAATTCAATTTCTGTCTACGAAACTAGCTTTATACCGATTTTATAGGGAAAAAATCCGGCATTGATTTTGCATGTTTCGTTATAACAAATATATCGGTAGGTGGGACAACAGTAAAAATATACTCGCATTTAATGGTTTTAAGTTATAAATAACACAATTTTAGACGGAGTAACATTTTTTTTAATGGGATTACATTGTCCTTGATAAAAATTTGGGTCAGAAAAAAAACAAAATAAACATATTAAGTACCAATTTGGTCACTAGCAGTAGCAGTTCAGCACTCGTCACTCGCCAATACTTATTTGTTTTCATACTAGGAGCATGCGCGCCGCTGGAGCTGAGCTACTTTCTGTGTTGTGAATGTGTGCGAACTGCGTATACACGTGCACGATATGTACTCTGTATTTCCATCGGGGGCCTGGCCGCCCAAGAGCTTAGGCGGATACCGCTAGCGCGCTGTGTGTAGATCTACAGGTAGGTACGACCGACGATCCGCTTCAACCACAAAACTTTTAAAATGTTGATAGAAGTTTCTAGTTTAGGAGTTGGTAGTTGGAATGGAGATTTCACTCAGACACATCAATAAATTGATTTACTAATTCCTAAGGAATATCAATTTATGGCGGGGGCGATTTTTCATTATATATATAGATTTTTTTTCGCCCTCGTCTTGATTTTTACTGTGGCGATTTCAGAGGTTTAGGGGGCGAATCGCCCGTCGCCACCGTGTATTTTTTTCGTTGTTTATGGCGTATATATTCAATACTGAATGAACGCCATAAAACATTTACCAACAACAACAACAACCAGGCCCAGCCACAGGAGGCAACTAGACCTATCTCACATTACTACAAATAATTATTAAATTTGTTTGTCTTTGTCATTTTTGTGTCTCTTTCAATCATTTATATTCATGTCTCTTTCCTCTTTACTAGTGCTCTTTACTTTCTTTATCAATGAAATTTTTGGTTCATTCACCATTGCCACTTTTGATTTTAAATCAACTTCAAGTGTACATAGAGTAAAAGAGCCGGTAATCGGCCAGCTCCAGTTTTCGGCCGATTGGTTGGATGCACGGTAAAATCCCTCTAAAATACATCGCATAATAGCATAACACATATCCCACACATACCATACCATGCCAGTGTCACTGAAGAACCACATTTGCAATGAAAAATATATCGTAAAATATCACATTTTAGCGATGTAATCGTCGGTCCCGCTACCCGAATCTGAAAAATCGAGTATCTTACGCGTGTCTGTAAGAAATATGGGTACCATAAAATGAGCTTTATTTCAAGTATTTTTCAGATTTAGAGCCCGATTTTGTGCTAGTCGCAAGCTCAAAAGTATCTCATCGCATGTATTATATCAATGCAGCCGCACACCGCAACGCACACACGATATCTCTGTCTAATTCAGATTCCAATATCCGATCAGCGCAGTACTAGTTTTCGGCCAGGCGAGCTCCGGCGTGGGATATCTGCTCCGCCCGCTAGCGCTATAGATCAACGCGGAAACGCACGGCACGTGCGCGCGCTTCCTATTGACTTTGTACATGCGGCCGAAAACTGGTACGCTATGCCGAAAACTGACTCCGAAACAGTGAAAATTGAAATGAATATTGTCATGGCAATTCGTGATTTTTTTCTGGGATTCTTTTGTTTAAATAATAATAATATTTGCTTCATGATTTGAACAAAAAATGATAATAAATAGGAAGTAAAGGGTCCAAAAAATAGGATTTTGTCTTAAGTGGCCGAAAACCGGCTCCTTTACTCTAGTATATCTCCCTTGCTTGTTACGACCCTTGGCAGTGGAGTCCGCGTCCGCGCTCGCTCGGCCTCCTACTCCGTCACGCCACGGCACCTCCGGCCTTCAGAGCAGCTCAGAGCGGTGCAAATATCTGCATTGCGCTTACACACATTTTAACACGTCGGACAACACAAATGAAATCCACATACAAACTTACAGGGCGTAGGCCGCAAACTTCTAGTATATTTGCTCATTAAATGAACTTGGATCTTACATGTGGTCCGACATAATAAAACGAAAATCCTACTAAATAGCCGAAAACTTTTAGAATATAACATACACTCGCACTTACTTTCTCATATCCATGTTTTAAACGTCGTTTCTGAAGGAAATATTTAGCTTTTACCAACCCAGGTTAGTCTATTGTCCAGCTTTAATTGATCAGTATTTAGTCTAATGCGCAGGGGCATTTTACTTTTTCTTTCTTTTACTTTTTATATATTTTTATTCGGCGGGGTATACGATGGGATAAGAAAGCTTCAAGAATATTCCTCCTAATTTTGATGCACGATAATAGTGAAAAGGGTATATTTCTATATCTAGAAATATATCTAATAATATTGTTATTATTATTGTTATTATGGTGTAAAGGAAATAGAAAACTATGCTCATTTTAAGAGGAAATTAAAGGAATACCTAATACTTGACAGTCAGATAAGAGAAGTAAATGACATGTTATATGATTGAAATTTGTATTCTTCTGCCGGTTCATACTTTTTCATTTTGTATATACTTATATTTTCGTACGTTATAGAAATTCTACAAATTCATCATTATTTTCCTCTTCTTCCTCCGCCTCTTTTTCTTCTTCCTTTTCTTCCTTTTCTTCTTGTACTTATTATCATTTCTATCATCAGTTTAATGTTGTTATTATTATTATCTTTAATAAGTAATTCTTTTATTTTTCTTATCTGTCTGTAAATAATTATTACTATTTTAAGTTATTAATTTTATGTCTGTAAGGGACCCCACTGGAAATAAGCTCTCGAGCTTTCGTGGGTTATCCTGATCAAGCTGACTTATTTCTGATCTGTTATTATTATATATTGTTGTATGTTGGAAGCTTGTCAAATAAAAATCAATCAATCAATCAATCACCACTAATTTAGTAAGGAGTCTAA